AACGCTTGTTAATTGCAAGACATTAAATATTTAAATATAACTAACTGCAGATGACATTTTCTTTGGACTTACTAGAAATTTTACTTAGTTTTTTTAAGATTTGCATAACAGAAAAGATACTCTGTAGACCTTTACAGTGCTGCTGTTACGCACCCTACAAAAAGTACATAACATAACGACATAACTGTAACTGTAAAGATGAGCTGTCGCTTGCAGTGATGGTGAAATGCAATTGTTGCTGTTGTTGTTGTTGCTAATGTGATTCACGTACCGCTGCGCTCCGAGAATTTTCTGGAGAGAGAGAGAGGGGGAGCGAAACAGGTGCTCTTTCCCTCTCCCTCAGCTCCATTGGGGCATGAAAACGAACGTGAGCGGTGGCACGAACAAACATGTTGCGCGGATGTGTGGCTGCACTTGTTATATCCGCCGGATGATTGTGATTATATGATATGTGGTCACATTGGCAATGCACCGTTTTCAAAAACACTGCTTCTACATAAATATTCAAATTTCAATGGAATTTAAAAATTGTCTATTTGAAAGAATTTTTCATTACTCATAATGTCTGGTTTTTTTGGAATATGATGTTAAAATGTTATCAAAATTATTAGAAATTGGGAATTTAAGCTGAATAATCAGTCTTTTATTGGAAAAAGTATTAACATACATACATACATATGTATATGTGGTTTTTTTCGTAAATCAAATGAAATACTCAGATAAACAATGCACTCCCCGTTTTTTGTTTCTTCAACTGATACACCCATCAAATGTGGAACGGAAATAAATAAATACGTACAGTAAATGGGGAATTGTGGTGTATGGTGTGTATGTGAGTGCGCGCGTTTGCATATTTTATTGTAGTTTATGATTCCTCCTGTCAGACACGTAGCTCGCATTTCAAAACCCTTCCACTTCAAAAATGAAAAAATAATAAATAAACTCTTTGAGCGAGTCGAGTTCCAGTGAAATTGGAGATCATTTCAATTTGTGGGCGGAAAGGGGGCGGTAAATAAGGGCGAATCGTGGGAAATTGTGTGTGGTAATCATATTTTGAGAGGGTTTCAAATTTTTTCTTTGCCAGATAGGCATAGTTTCCCCAATCGGTTTTTAATACCCATGCTTAATTAGTATGTCATGTGGGTACAGTCAAGGGTCGAGAAATGTAAACTTTTTTCATAATAGAACCTCTTATGTGACAAAAACTAGTCAAATTTGTACACCCTACAAAGAATTCGGGAACTAATATTTTGTAAAATTACAAATTAAATAAGGCTATTTTTTGGGTGTGCACTGTACCTATTTTAAGAGTGCTTACTGTACTTTAAAGCGAGGTTAGCTGTCACATTGTGCCTCGAAAAATCATAGATTTATAATAATAAAAAATAAGCAATAAAAAATTCAACCTAAAATGGCGGATCGTCAATTGTGAATTGCGAATTGACAATTGTGAATTGCGAATTGTCGCTTGGCCTTGAACCTGAATTTAGCAGTTCACTTTATTTTGTTTCTGTTTGCCGTGTGCTCACTGTTTTTGTTGGTTATTATTGTTAGTATAATGCCTTTTGTTTTATCTGCCTCTCCTTCTTCTTCCTCCCCTCCCCACCCTCCTCTCTCCACCCTTTTCACACATTGCACTCTGTTGTTCTCGTTTTCATTTTCGTTTTGGGTTAATGAACTGAAATTTTACCATTTTTTTGTGTTGTTTTTGCCTTATATCTAGGGGTACTTTTTTGCGTAAATTTAAATTTTACATTTCTCTCGGTTGTTTTTAGCTCGTGCGCTTGCGTGTGTGTGTGTTGGTGTTTTAAATTTGATTTCGATCAAATATTTTGCTAAATTTTTCGCATTTTCTGCTGGCTGGCTGCTGTTTTTTCTTTCTTTATTGAAATTCTAGCGATTTGCATCTATTGTGCATTTGTTTTCGCTTTTATTGCTTCCTATTTTTGACCCTCTTTTTGCTGTTTTTCTTGTTGTTGCTCCTCTGTTGCCGAGCTGTTAAAAATAGTCGTCTCCACAAAGAGAGAGAGAGAGGGAGAGAGAGAGCGAGTGGGGAGCGGAAAGAGCAGTCGAAGAGAGCGCGAGAACTGTCAAACAAAGCAAAAAAAATTGTCAAATGTCGACGTCATGTGAGTGCGCACACACACGCACGCGCGCACGCAGCAATTGTGTTTGTGCAAGTGACGTTTCATTTCGTTCTGTTTTGTTTTGCTTGCTTTCGTCGCGTTTGCTGATTACTATTTACAGTAAATAACGGCGAGATACGCGAAATAACTGTGATCCTTTGATTAAAGGTAAAGATGCCGCATAACTACATCTGATTTTATTTTAATAAGTGAAAGAATTCGATGTTATACATAACTGCGATCCTTTTTTAAAGCAAGGATATGTTTGTATATATAAAACGGTTAACAGGTACGCGAAATAACAGTGACCCTTTTTCAAAATGCATGCAGGCAAAAAAACATTAAGTAAATATGTGTCTATTATGGAATCTTACTAAAATTCCAAAATTTAATGTATTTTTTTTAGTGTTTAGTGATCATAAAAACATCGGGTCAAATAGGGTCAAAAAGAACGTGTTTCGTTTTATCTAAAAATCTAAAAAGGTCCAAATTAAAACCATTATTCTGCAACCTTTAACTTTAAGAACCTTCTTTTATTGTTTTAGGGTAGAAAAAAGTAAAGCAAACGAAAACTGTTTATCCAGGGAAAAAATGTGGTTTTTAAATAGCTTCAATTCTTTTTTTTGTAGGTCACCCAAAAAGAAACCAAAATACCCACGCACACCCACACAATTTGCCCGTTTCGTTTTGTTTTATTTCATTTCGCTGGAATGCAAGTCCAAGTGTATCTGCCCTTTTTTTCTTTCGTAAATGATTCACAATAATATATATTCATAAATACATACATATGTACATATGTAAATGAGTGGGTGGATAAAGGGGCTGGCGTGGGACATAATCTACATCCGGCACCCGGCTTTAAACAAAAAAAACAGCAATTGTCGGTGGAATCTTTAACTGAATACAACTAAGCATCCAGTAGTTTTACTAAACCCACAGTCCTACCTCTCTATAATGAACTGATTGTATGATAAAAAGGTTTTAAGATAATTTACGATAGTAAAAATGTTTTTTTAATAAAGAATATATTTTATCAAAATTATATAAAAAAAAACAACAAAAATTTAAAGTAGAAACGTAAACGACATAAAAATACAAAGAACTAAATTAAATGTATTCATTTCAACTTAAATAATTTTTTTTAATGTCCACTGTAGTTAAAATTCTCGCAGGAAATTGGGTTGTCAGAATTTTTATGGAAATGAAAATATGTTTGGCAACTACATCAGTACATGTATATACAAATATACATACATGTGTACATATATTCTAATGCATATTTCCGCTCTCATAAACGCTCTTTATTGTAATTTATGGCAATTTGCTAATTTACAATAACAATTTTCATTTGCACTTTGCTCCGAAAATAGCGCAGTGTTGCATTTGCCAGCCGGCGGGTGCGAGCGAGATGGCGACAATCGATGTTAGGTGCATAACTGTTGTTTTTGTTATTGTTGGTTGGATTTTCTTGTTGCTTCTATTATTTTCGCCACTCACTGCAGGCTTTGTTGTTGTTATTTTTGTTTTTGTTGCTGCCGTTGCAGCGACGTCGCGCTCAATTGACAGATTGTTCCACTTTTGCGAGCGCGTCCTTGACCCAGCACACACACATACACATTCTTACACACAAATTCTTCCTCTCTCTCTTTTTGTCTCCTTTTTGTTTTCCTCCTCCTCCCCTCCTTCTCCACCATCTTAACAGGCATGCGAAAATCTATGTTAAGGTCAGCGCACTTAAACAATCCTAAAAAAAATTAAAACTGTTAACCCACTGTTAACGCGGCCGGTAATGTAAAAGTCATGTTTCCATCATCTTGAAACGTCAAAACCTTTTTTTTTTTTTTTTTTTGCAATTTTTAGTGCGTACTAAATATTTTTGGAACAAATATCATATCATATTTATTCTTAATCGTTCTAATATCGATATTTATTGAATAATCTATCCCTTTTTACTGTTAATAAGGGTAACCCTTTTTTTTCCATGGAAACCCCTGTTTTTAATGTTAACTGAGGGCAACACTTGATTATTTTTCATACTGTGAAAAATATCATATCAAATTTATTCTTATACGTTCTAATATTCGATATTTATCGAATAATCTAACCCTTTTTACTGTTAATAAGGGTAACCCTTTTTTTCTCCATTGAAATCCCTTCTTTTTAACAACACTGATTATTTTTCATACTGTGAAAACCCTTTTTCGCAAACTATTGCCTGGGCTTTCGTGAGTCTCGTGAGTGTCACTTCAGAGTTCCATCTCTGTTCTGTCATTTTCTGCCTTTTGACCATATTTGCGGCCGTGTTTCCGGGTCAAGTGGTTGATGATTGGATTAAAAAAAAAAAGTCCTGAAATTTAATTCGATTGGTTTTAGTGAAATATTGTAAAATATAGTGATATATAATTAAGTGCATCTGGAATTCTGGATTCCATTTGATTTACTATTCTCCAATTCCACATTTTAACAACTCGCTTTTTTTTACCGGCTCTACTTTCAGACTGCAAAGGAACAACAAAAACTACAAGCTAATTTAAATAGGAGAAAGAACGGAAGACTAGACATAATCGTAATACAGAGTAGTTTAGCATTAGGGAACCGACAACAACAAAAACCACTGCAAACACTAATTCTAATTCAAAATTACACTAAAAGAGTATTTTTTCAGCCCTAAGAGCAAACACACACACACATACACACCACACACACAAACGAAAGAAGAAGAATTTGTAGAAGAATCACTTTTAGCCTTATATACAACTACAAAGAAAAAAAAAAGAACGCAAGTTAGTATTAAGTTAAGATGCTAGAAAGAGAGGACGTAGCAAGAATCCTATGAAAGAAAACGAGAAGATTCCAAGTAATTTGCTTGAAATCATGGGGATTGTGTAAGTAGGCTAACATACTAAAGACCGTATATTGTAGAAAAACACAGAAATACACAAACACACACACGCACCAACACACACACACAAACAGACTTGGCAATAAACCCCACACACCCTAAACAATCAATTATCATAGTCTCAGTAAAAACAGCAGCGATTCCGGGCAAAGGACTTCGACTTCGACTTCTGACGTGAATGAAGAAAACAGGGTATCTTCATTCGAGCCAGGGCGTCGTCTTGTCTTAAACGAAGTAAGCGGAGAATTCGCTCAAGAAAGAGACACCGAGAACACAAGTTCCCCGTCGCCACGCAAGGAAGAAAGCAACGAAGAATCAGCAGATTCTTCGGATAAGGAGAATCAATACCCGAATCATCGTCCTTCAAGGGCAGACGATAGTAGATCTCCGGATTCTGTCGCGGAAACTGAAAACTTTAAGGATTCTGACGTTGAAATCGGCGCAAACTCGGTAGTACTTTCTGAATCCCAAATTCAGCACGAACAGGACGAATCATTAGTATCTGATCCTCTCGAAGAAGAAGAAGAAAAAGAACACGAAGAAGAGGTCGCTAGCGGTAACGAGTCGGAAGAAAAGGATAGTCCGAGGCAAAATAGCTTCGAGGAAGGTGAGAAAATACATACACTATAAATTTTTTAAAAATATTTATTTTTTAACATTTAATAAATATATATATTTTTAATTTTACGCAGGAACTTCAGGCGATAATAATAGCGATAAAGATAGTCCGTCGAAAGCTTCAAATTCTTCAAGTTCGACTCCAAAGCGGCCTTATTCGGGTTCAGACAATCGAAGCTCCGAAGAAAGGACCCCCAAGAGGCGACGTCAGTCAGTTTCAGATAGCGAGGACAACCGCCGAACTTTATTTACTGACTCGGAAGATAACCCCATTAAACAGAGGAGATTAACTTACCGTGAACAAGTAGAAGCCTATAGACGTAGAGTTGACGCCGGAAGTACACCAGGACGGAAGAGTTCATCTTCAGAAGAAGAACCGCCGCCGCCTTCGCCACCATTTAGATATTCGGAATTATATTGGGAGCAGCGGCGTGCTTCAGACGCCGACTCTGAACCTGATTCCGCCTTCAAATATAGACCTAATGCGAATTATCACCGTACATCACCGCGAAATTATAGTGACGAAGAGGAAGAGGAGGAGATCCCAGAAAGCGATACCGATCAGAATTCAGGAGGACCACTAGGCTATAGGGTAGAAACCCGTAGTACCAATTACGAGTCAAGCGAAACGTCAGAAGACGAGGCTCGCAGGAGGACCGTGAGGCGTGTAGTTCGCCGGCGTCGTAGACCACGCAATCCCGAACATCGCGAACCTGAGTATCGCGGGGAAGAGCAAAGTGAGAGTTCGCCACTACCGTCCAGTGAATCCCCCGATCGCCAAGACAACAGCGACGAAAACGAGAGCGACGAAGAGGAGAAGCGGGTTATACCTTCAAGGCGTCGCACTACCGACGATCAGCAGCCCAGCTTCTCAGGCTGGGGATATCTAACGTGTCGTCAGGACGCAGACTATTTCTCGGAACCCACCGACGGGAAGATCATCAGGAAGAGGAAGTCGCCATTTGAGGAAGAATCCTCGAATCAATCAAAGAGACGACCATCAGAAGACACCGAGAGCGAAGACTCTGAGAAGGAAGACTCTGAGAAGGTAGATTCTGAGAAGGAAGATTCTGAGAAGGAAGATTCTGATAAAGAAGATTCTGATAAAGAAGATTCTGATAAAGAAGATTCTGATAAAGAAGATTCTGATAAAGAAGATTCTGAGAAAGAAGATTCTGAGAAAGAAGATTCTGATAAAGAAGATTCGGACAACGGAGGTTCTGATACCGAGAAGGAAGATCGAAATACCGATAAACGCGATTCCGATACCGATAACGATTCCAATACTGAAGATCCGCAAGATCCCAGAGATTCTCAAGATTCGGCTTCTGACAACGAGCAGGTTCCCGATTCTACTGGGGAGCCCGACCAAGACAACGAGCAGTTTCCCGATTCTACCGAGGAGCCCGACCAAGACAACGAGCAGTTTCCCGATTCTACCGAGGAGCCCGACCAAGACAAGGAACTAGGACAGACTGCCGCTTGGACCATCACACCCGATGATCCCAAGGGCATTCAAGACTTCCAAGACTTCGTCCTAAAGCAGGTGCAACTGATCAATGAAATCATCGAGGTCGGCCATCAAGTATTCCAACTGGGATCAATAGTTTGCCATGGTGACTTTACGTTCTTTCAAACACTTTACGAGCGGAAAGTTCCAATAGAAGAGGTCGTTGAGCTAGTCTACCGGGGCATTCTCGGTGTCAAGGAGGAGCTCAGGGTGGCATTGATAGCCCGCCAAGATCTAAGCGAGCCACATTCGAAAGACATCATCAGGCCAGGAGATAAACTAGCCTATTTAAGATTGGATTTGTTCAATAAATTTGTATCAAAAGTCAATCAGTCCGAGAGGATCGTGGATCAACGCCTTCTTGAGCTGCAGGAGGTACGGAAACAGCAGGGACTACTGGAGCAGAAGCAGCGCGTCTTGGAGAGAGTGCGCCAGCAGCGGGAACAGCACCGCCTGCAGCAGCTTCAGGTGGAGCGGGAGCGTGAGGAGCGCCAGGAGGAGGAGCAGCGGCGCCTGGAGCTCGAACGCCACTTGGAGCGTTGGAAGGAGGACTTCAATCGCCAGCTGCGACTGCAGCGCGAGCAGGAGGAGATCAAGTTGAGGCAAGAGGAGGAGAACAGGAAGCGAGAAGAGGAGCGCAGGAGCAACTACGACAGCTACTACTGCCAACTGCCGAAGCACAAGCACCGCGAGCAGATGCAAAACGAAATGGTCAGCATTCCAGTGGCTAATTTGAACGGTGGCCTCAAGGCGGCCAGCAGTGGATCCGGTGGTGTGGTCGGTGTGGTCACCTCCTCCGGCGTTGTCTCCTCGGCCGTGCTGGCCAATGCGCCGCGTGTCTATCTGACGCCCTCCTCCACATTCATGGCCAATCGTGGTCAGGTGGCGGCGGGGGCGGGGGCCACCGGAAAGATTGCAGGAGGGAGCAACGTAACTTCATCCGTCGGCACATCTTCGGCCACCGCCGGCACTGTACGCTACTTTTCGCAATTCAGCAAAATGCAAACCGCCGGCGGACCCAGTTTGCAGCGTAAACTGGCCAACGGCGACACCATTGTGCTGGCCAACGGCAACAAGAGTCTGTTCCTCAGCAGCAGTGGAGGCGTTGGAGGCGACAAGGCCACCAATGGCAATAGTTTGCTAACGGCCAAAACGGAGCTTCTCGAGGAGGAAGTCATGCAGCCGGGAACTGTGATTGTCGACTGCGACGACGACGACGACGAGGATGAGAATGAGAATGAGGATGAGGACGATGAAGATGGGGAGGATAAGGATGAGAAGAACAACAGCCACACTGCCAAATCCAGTGGGGTTCAACAGGAGCAGCCGTTGGCTTTGACCACCGCAACCAACAATGCAGCCGCCTCCGATGATGAACCCGAACTGGATATTGTTATTAATAATGTGGTATGCTCCTTCAGCGTGGGCTGCCACCTCAAGCTGCGCGAAATCGCTCTCCAGGGCTCAAATGTCGAGTACCGTCGTGAGAACGGTATGGTGACAATGAAGCTCCGCCATCCGTACACGACGGCATCCATTTGGTCCTCGGGCAGGATCACGTGCACTGGAGCCACCTCCGAGGCAATGGTGAGTTTTTATAGAGCTTTAAGATATAGTTTTGAGCAGGGTTCGGAAAAAAACACTGTAAAACATCAAAAATTGTATCCTACATATTTTAGAAACATAAATAACACACACATGTCAATTGAGTTATTAACACGTGTTTTATACACAGCGTGTTTTAAACACAATTAGTTTTTGACATGTCAGAATTAAATGTTTTCTTGAGTATAAGAATGCATATATGCTTTGAAATGTTTAAAACTAACATATAATGTCAGTGAAACGAAATTTTTATTTGTGTTAATAAAACATTTTGTAACAAGTATTTTTATCACATGTCAAGAACTTTGCTCACACTGTAAAATACAATTTTTATGTTTTTAACAAGTGTGTTAATCGAACCCAGCTTTTGCGTAAAGGCTCGTGGGCCTTAGGATACTTTTGAGTGTGTTATAAGGCCCACTTTTTAATATTCTCCCTCTCCAGCGCCTCTTTACTTGATAATCTAATTATTTGTATCCTTTTTAGGCCAAGGTTGCGGCTCGCCGCTATGCGAGGACCCTGGGCAAGCTGGGATTTCCCACCCGCTTTCTCAACTTCCGGATCGTGAATGTTCTGGGCACCTGCAGCATGCCCTGGGCCATCAAGATCGTCAATTTCTCGGAGCGCCATCGCGAGAATGCGAGCTACGAGCCCGAGCTGCACCCGGGCGTGACCTACAAGATGCGCGATCCCGATCCCAAGGCCACGCTCAAGATCTTCTCCACCGGCAGCGTGACCGTGACGGGTGAGTAGATAGTAAAGTCGCCGTTCAAGTGCCAATTTAAACCACCTCTCTCTCGATCTGCAGCGGCCAGCGTTAGCCACGTGGAGTCGGCCATTCAGCACATTTACCCGCTCGTCTTTGAGTTCCGCAAGCAGCGTTCGCTGGAGGAGCTGCAGCATCTGCGCCAGAAGCAGCACAAGCAAGCGGGCGGTGATCCCAGCGAACTGGAGAAGCTGATCGTTGCGGAGAACAAGGCGGCCGGACTGGATGATATCTTCCTCAACACAACGGCGGCGCACACGAAGCCCTCGCCGAATGAGCGTACGCCGGCCACATCGGGCATCCTCACGAGCACCATCGATAGCATGCAGCGTTTGAAGCAGATCGAGAATTATTCTCACATGATGAAGCTGACGCAGGAGGAGCGCCGACACATACCCTTCCAGGGTGAGAAGGTTAACCCGGCGGCGGCTTCTACTTCGGCGGCAGCTGCTGCTTCGTCGGGGGATAATATCTGTGCCAATGCCCGTCGCCGGGCCACCGAGTGCTGGGCCACCAAGCTGCAGTACAAGCGTCCGCGTTACAATGATCCCGGCACCACGGGCACCGTCAATGCCTCGTCAACAGCCGCCTCCTCCTCAGCTGCCTCGTCATCCTCCTCACAGGCAGCGCCACACCTGCGTACTAATCCTCTCAAGACGGCCGCTTTGGCCAATGCCCGCATGCGTGGCGCCAAAATGCCAACGGTGCTCAAGCCGGGCACGCGTCTAGCGCCCATCGGCGGTGGCTATCTGCAGCACCAGCAGCATCTGCAGCAGCAGCAGCAGCTGCAACAGCAGCAGCAGAAGATGCGCCAGACCAGCTTCTCGCCCAGCGAGTTCGATGTGGACGATTTGATCGAGGAGGAGGAGAGCAACGAGCTGGACATGCAGTATTGAGCTAGCCAAGCAGCTGCCCAAGCCAAAAAAACACATTTAAACATTAACATTTAAATGATGATAATTCGATGGAAAAGAAAAGCAAACAGAGAGCTTTTCCCCGAATTTGTTGGCACTTTGTTTAAGCCATTTTTCATCACAATACAAACACACACATTTATTTTTGTGCTCGCCGCATTTAAAACACGAACTCGAGGAAAACCGGACGCAGGAGCGAAAACAAAAAAATATTTAAAAACAAAAAAGGATGAAAGGAGAACATTTTAATCCAAAGCGAAACAAAATTCCCAGCAGCAACACCAACTAAATAGCAGCAGCAACAACAAAACCAAGAGCCAAATATTTAACTTATAAGGTGGGTAAATATTTAAAAAAAAATATAAAATACACACAAAAAAATATAACAAAATGAAAAAAAAAATTAACAAATGATATATACAAGCATAAAAAATAAACGAATATATAAAAAGTAAAAAATCATATAAAGGATATAAAAAAATCATAAAAAGAATATAAAAAAAATAAAAAAACAAATAAAAATAGAATATAAAAAATGTATACAAAAATAAAAAATCATAAGAATATAAAAAAATTTAAAATCATAAAAAGATTATAAAAAAATATACAAAAATATTAAAACTAATGTTCCCCCCTTTCCTTACAGATTTACGTTTAAACGACTTTGTAACTTAAGCGAGCACATCTGAAACAAACTAGCAGAGTTAGCATATAGCGATGATTTCGAACCCGAAGGATTCCCAGCAGCAGCAGCAACCTCAAGAACATCCAGATGGTAAACACACAGAGAGAGCTTACCACAACGTAAACCTAAGTGTAGACTTAAAGAAAGCGTTATGAATACGTATATGCCAGCGTTTTACGTATGCAACCAAAAAAAACGAAATGTGCGGATTGCTTTGAAGGAGGAGGAGTTACAATCTATTTTTTTTTTACTCGGTTTAAATAGTTAATTTATGTGAGCAAGACCACCGCCTAAGCAAATACTGTAAACCCGAATGGATCACATACGACTTATATATATCAAGATAGCCTTTCCCTTTTTTTTTGTTGTTTGACCAAGACCAAGTTCTTCCGGAGCAAACCAAAATTCTCAAGAGGAAAGGAGCAGAGGAGGAGACCAGAGAAAACACTAGGATAATATTAACTGATTTATTTCATGTATTTTCACACACCCATTTAATAATTTTTTTTGTTTTCGCTCGTAAGTTCTAGATGCTATAAGCGTTGCTTCATGTGAAGCAAAACAAACAAAAACATTTGAATACGATTATAATTATATTATAATACCAACACACACACAAACACCTATATCTGGTCACTAATAACCAATTATAACAAAACTGAAAATACAGCAAGTAATTATGTTTTAATTTATGCTAGTAGTTTTTGGGTTGCGCAGAAGAACACTCAATCGAATTAGGAATAAACACCTGGATGATAGAAGATTGTTGTAGGGTTTATTTTTAAAGCAACCAGGTGAATGCGCGACTTGAAACTATTATCAGACGATGTATACCTAATGCATATATTCGTATATATACTATAAAATATATTAATGTTTTTTTTTTATGTAATTCGCATTATTCGCATAATTTAATGACAAATTTAGAGGAAGCAACTTTAAGCGTAGATTTACAAACTTGTTCCTGTGTTGTTAAAATCAGAAAGTAAAGAACTTATTTTAGTTAACGAAACTTAACGAAGCATACGCATACACAAACACTCACACACACACACACATTAACACAAGCATACGTATACATATACATAATGTTAAGGCATCCAAACAAAGCAACAAACAAACAAACAAAAGAGCGAATCATAAGCAATAATAGAATGTTTTCGTTGTAAAGAGGTAAAAACTAAACAAACAAATACTCACGTTAAACATAAAAAATAAACTCTAGATGTTTTGGCGTGCCTTCACCCGTAAATAGGAAAAACAAAAAGCGAGATACGATAGCCAATTGTACAATCATTGAAATAGTACTTCCAGACCAGAACGAACCCAAAACTCTTTGTACATAGACCCAAAATTGATGTTTTCCAATTGAACGTGAATATTGCCTCATCAACTTGAAATTTCTTTTGTGCTTAACGTAAAAACCAACTTTCATATCGTTCAAAACTTATGCATAATCAAAATAGCTAAAACAAACAAAAGAGATGGGGAATATTTAAGAGACGTAATATCATATATTTTTTTTTATATTTTTTTTATTTTGTATTCTGTCTTTCTTTGATAATTTATATTTTGATTTGCATAAACAAAATCGAGAAATGAAAATGCCTTTAGGGAACAAATAACTAGCGCGGAAAGGAAAGAGAGGGGAGATAGGTTTAGGTATTGAGAAAGCGAGAGATAGAGAGAAGGATATTGAACAGATCAATTGGAGCCGAAATGTATTTTTTTGTGTATGCGAATGTGGATAGAGATAGTAGGGATAGGAATAGGTCTCGAGACAGACCCGAACGTGTTACAATTGCAAAATTAACTAGCCACTAAGCCACTTAGCCCTAAGTTAGCTGAGAAACGGAATACTAAATTGTAAGCCAAAATGCATATAGCAATCTAACAAAAAAAACAAAATCTAATGGAACCTAACGACGAGAACCTAAATGTAATCTAAATGTACATAAAATAGTTGTTAACAAATCACAAAAAACAAACGAAAGCAAGAAACCAACAATAGAGTAAAGTCTTCACGTCTAACTGCCTTCGAAAAAACAAAAAGAAAGATACAGAAAAAGAAAAAGAAAGGAAAATCGGAAGTATTCTATTCTAAACACCGACTGTAAATTGCTTGTACTTTCACCACATTTTCTTTTTTGTTAAAGCAACGACAGCAACAACAACAACATTAATAGAACAGAACAGACGGATCGAAAGGCCTAAATAAGTGTATTTGGTTTCAAGAACTTTAAAAAAGCAAAACTAAATATTAATGATAGTATACAGATATATTTTTGATTATTATGTATTTAATGAGAACAATGTAATGAAAATGATGCAAGTATCGATATCGATATGATAACTAAGAGAAAACAAATTGAGAAATCAAATAGCATAATTCTGTTTTTGTTTTGCCGTAAAGACTGCATTATACCAACAATTAATTATATACAAAATAATAATAATAATAATATTAATAAATCAATAACTGATAAATGGCGAGTAAGCGAGAGCTTTGCATTGAGCAGAGACCAAAACGGATGAATAAATATATATATATATATTAAAACAACCAGAAAAAATATTCTAAAAACGAATACAAAAAAAAAAAAAAACAAACAAATATGAAAGAAAAACAAAAAACATGGAAAACAAAACCAAGAAACATTTATTTATTAGATCCTAAGAGAAGTTTCGCTAGCGGAGATCGAGTCAGGCCAGAGCGGACCTTAAAGGTACCCCGCATCCCAGAACGAAAAGCAAGATGAAATTACCTTACCAAAACGTGGGCGAGTCTACAAAAGTCTATAATAGGGCGATAGGGAGAATCGGAATAATTAGAGAACTATCGTATGATAAATCAATTACCAACTAACTGGCTAACTTATACCCACTAAGATTTATAGTTCCCCCTAATCCCTGAAACTAGTTCTAAGTACATAAGTTGCAAGCGAAAAAAAAACTAAAAGTTAGATTTATACACAAAAGGATATATACATCATATATATATATATATGTGGAGAAGGAGGAAGGTTTACTTTGGTTTTGAGATTGCCGCATCTTCACATCTCAAGCAATACGTTTGTATACCATTTGTTATTCCGAAACGCGACGGTTTTCGAAATCGCCAGTTTTGGGCGATTCGAAACATCGAAACGTTTCGTAGCTAACACTTGGATATGAATATTTAACAAAAAGCCACACAAACATTAACACGACAACAACAACAACACTCATTTGATGTATTTAGTTTAACGTTTAGCCCCTAGTTTCAAGAAAAATCACACACGAAACAAGAAAACGCAAAATTCGAGGAACGTGAAAATGCCTTTCCTGAACTGCAGTCAACACTCAAATATATGGCAACAAAAAAACAACAAAAATGAGAAAAGAAACAAACCAACCAAATGAAAGCAAATTGTTTGAATAAAAATCAAATTACATAAATCGTTGAGCATTTTTATTGATACAACTAAGGAATTACGAAAATATATGGGATTTAAAGTAGAGCTTGAAAAATGTCGATATTTAATAGGTGTTTTTGCCTTCAAAAAATCGATATTATCAAATCGATACCGCAAAAATATCGGAAATATCGATTAAATCTATAATTTTTAAGCTCTATTTAAAGGGAGACCGATACCTTTATACATCTGGTTCCAAAGGCCCACAAGATTTCCTACTTATTTCTCTCTCTTTGCTAAAACCCCTATATCATTTAAATTACTTTCATTTGTCATAATCGAATCACTATATTTCACATATTTTAATTCAGAAAGAGTTTACAAAATCATTGCAATAGGGGATACTATTGAATATTTAAGGATTCATCACTCAAAGGAACGATTGGTCGTTAGTTTGGTAAGTAAAGTACTACTAAAGTCTGATTGCTATATCTTGGGGTGCTTATTGAATCTCTAAATTGTTCGTTTTATTATAAAGATATTAAACCATTTTGAAAATGTGTATGAACAACACAAGTCTTAAAAAAATCCTCATCAATAGGCATACATTTTATATGGTTCAGCAAAGTGTTAACAAAACAAGTGAATAGCTTTTAAGGGACTTACAAATTAGAGAATAACTAATTCATGTTTTGATTCTTGACTTAAGTAACTTGTTTTGTGCGTAGAAATGTCAGTGGATGTACCATATATCACTGATTTATATAGTAACCACCTCTCCCATCCAATTGGAGGCTTGGCAGCTGGGTAAACAGTTTTATTTTACAAATGTTTTGGCGACTTAAATGCAGCTTAATCATAAATGACGATGTGTATATGCTGAATGCATGTGGCTCTAAAATTAGTCAACTTGTGGAGGAGCATTTCTTAGGGAAACTACCAAACCAAAAGGGGTTGTGTGTAAAAGAAAAACGTAGGATTAGGGAGTCCAAAAAGTATTATGTGTGTCAGAAGAAGGCCCAATCACTGGCTGAACTTCACGCCAATGTTGTTCACGCGCGTCTGCATGTGCTGCAGGACATCCTGCGAGAACTCCTCGATGGTCGTGAAGCGGCTCTTCTGGAAGCTGAAGATGTCGCCCAGGAAGGCGAGCAGCTGCTCCCGGAAGTAGTGGCAGATGTCGCGCAGGTTCTCGTTGGGCCCGAAGAAGCCCCAGGCCATTAGCGGCGATATCTGCTCGGATATCACGTAGAAGTGCGACATGAACCCGTTGGGGAACTTCAGCATCCGCTTCTTGGCCTTCAGCACCGACCAAACGGCCGTCGTTAGGGCCTGAAAATAAAAACAAAAGTTTTTAGTAGGATCTCGACTGGTAGAATGAATCATTGAATTTTTGTTTTATCATAGTATGCCAGGAAATTTCTGATTTGTTTAATTCAATTCTATGTGTAATAAATTGAATGTTTTTCTAATTCATTTCGAATTGAATGAATGAATGAATCATTTTTATGCCAGATTTTTTTTGTGCTTTCTTTTGAGAACAAAAAGTGGAAAATTTTTAAAAATTAATGTTAACTGCTTAGAAAATAAAATTCATGCATTCTGCTTCAAAAGAAATTGTCGTTTGAATTATTTCGGAATTCATGCCATTTATTCATTTATTCAATTCTATTAAACTCAAAATTTTAATTCATTCAATTCTATTAAACTCAAAATTCAAATTCACTCAATTCTATTAAACTCAAAACTCAAATTAATTCATTCATATAAAACAAATAATTCTAATTTCATGCAGGGCAAAACTATCTACTAGATACTTCCACTCACCGTCTCTTTGAATCCGTTGGATAGCCAGCGATTCTGCACCACCGCCGTCACGCTGGCGGGCGGAGCATCTAGGTCCTTAAATGAATCCAGGATGATAAAATCCAGGCAGATGTCGTAGAAGGTCATGGCCTTCACGTTGCGCTGCTCCAGCTCCATTTGGATGCACGGCCAGTTGCTGCTGTCGTGCAGATAGTTGACCATGTCCTCATAGCCCACTAGAAACTCCTTCGTATCCTTGTCGCCCAGGCAAAGCAGATCGGTGAGGATCTGCCGCCCGGCATCGCATATCCACTGACCCACGGCGGGATCCTTGAACAGAAACTGAAAGGCCAGTCGGACGCAGTGCAGCTTGGCCAGGTACTCGGTGTCCGTGCTGCAGTGCATCAGCTCCGCCCGAATGGTGCGACAAGGCACCGTGTACTCATCGTGGTGCTTCAACGCCGTCTGGAACAGCGGATACTCCTCGTACGAGGTCTCGATGAAGCCGTCGAACTCCCGCAGATCCGCCACTTGGTCTAAGGCGCTGGCAAAGCTCTCGGCGGAATCGAAATTGGGATCCGAACCCGCGCGACTCAGGACGCTGCCCGATTTGCGCGACCGCCGATCGTCGTCCGTCTCGCCCGCCGCCTCCTCCTCGGCCGCCTCGTCAATGGAATGCTCCTCGCGGAACAGCACCGAGCGCTGGTCGAGGAAGAGCAGCTCGCTCTGCTCCTGCAGCGTGTAGGCCATCTCCAGCAGGTTCTGAATCTCGCGGCAGAACTCCGAGTCCTCGGCCGTCGTCAGCAGAGCGGGCAGTCCGCCGGGCGAGTAGTGTGCCGCCAAGGCGTCCTCCCAAAAGTTAATCACCGTGTCCAGCGCCTCCATGCCCATCATGCCCAGCTGTTGGGCCGTCAATTGGGTGACCACCGAACCAGCTGGCCCGGCACTCTGTACGCCCATCAAGGCACCCACGCCAATTGAACCCGAGGCCATGGAAAGGCGGTCCGAATAGGCCAAAGTGGAACCAACGGGACTGCCCGAACGGGCAGAGGCCTTGGAGCCCGCTATCGAGATGAGGTCATTGGGACTGCGCATGCTGTTGCGGTTCCGCCGGCCCGTGTACTTCCTCGCCCGGCGGGGCGGACGCGGCGGCTTGCGGCGTCGCAGGAAGCGCGAGAGGACGCTCATCAAGGCCACGCCGGCGGTCAGCGAGAAGAGGACAACCTGGCGGGAGGAATAAAGAGGTTAATTTAAGGTTCCAATTGTCATTTATATATATTCTAAAGTCGAAATATCTGTCTGGCTGTCTTGGGAACTTAGTTTATCATACTAATCCTTCTTTTTCAGCACCTAATCTATCGTATTTCTAACACAGTCTATAGTTCTGTAGGTTGTTTAACATGAGGATGGTGTTCTGGTGACTCAATGGTGCTCTGGAGAGACATCCTGTTTAGTTATAATGAATCTTCTGACCCTATTACATATCTAACATTAGTTTTTGGGTACTTCTAGGCCTTTTTCATCATTTTATTCTGTACCCTCGTTGGTTTTTAAGGAGTATTTTGATTTTGAAAGAAATATAAAGAATTTTAAGACCCTATCACATATCTACCATTAGTTGTTGAGTATTCCTAGGCCCTTTTCATCAATTCATCCTATACCTTTTCTACTTTTCAAGGAGTATTTTGATTATAGTAAGATTTATAAAGAATTTTAAGACCCCATCACATATCTACCATTAGTTTCTGGGTATTCCTAGGCTTTTTTCATAATCTCATCCTATACATTCGTTGATTTCAAGGAGTATTTGGACTATAGTAAGATTTATAAAGAATTTTAAGACCCCATCACATATCTACCATTAGTTTCTGGGTATTCCTAGGCCCTTTTCATCATCTCATCCTATACCTTTGCTAGTTTTCAAAGACCAGTCTGTTTGTAGAACCCACCTTTGTGGTGGTGGAGACGCGGAAGGGCAGCAGACTGCCGCCGCTGGTCCACGAAGCCGGCATGAGGCGCTGCATCCTGAGGAGCTCCTCGGAGGTGGATCCTCGGAATCCTGCGGGAATGCGAATGGAGCTGGAACGGAAATCTCTGCGAGTCGGTGGCTGTGCGTCTGCCTGCTTTGAGGTTAGACCTCGGCGCCCACTCCACGATGCCCGCTCATCGGCTGGCGCTATCTTTTGGTGTTTCTGGCGCGGCTTTGACCCTGCGCTCCATGTGCGCCCTTCGCCCTTTGGAATGCGAAGCGAGTTCGCTGCTTTCGGTGGCCCAAACGATAACTTCTGGCGACTGGCTGACACGGATCCGGGTCTCCTCTGGTCGGCTACGGGGCGGGGTCTCTGGCGACGGCTGCTTATCAGTGGAAACTTTCACTTTTAGGCCTGAAAACAACAAAATTGCATCACAACGTTTCAGGGAGAGCGCGGCGGCAAAAAATCCAGCTGATTGGAGCGTTGCCACCTGGGGTAGGCCTAGTTTCCCCCCAGGGGCGTTGCCAGACCCACGGACAGCTGATGGTGTGACAGGAAAAGTCACAGTGACTTCATTTAATAAAATGTTTAATATATATAAATAATTTGGATTTTCAAAGCACGTAGGTATGTAAAAAAAAAGGTTGCTATAATTTGGAATTAAAATAATTAAAAATGTGAAGATGTCAAATCAATCTGTGTTTCCAAATCATTTGTACAGAACCCGTTGAAACCGCTTTGCACCAGCGGTCACTGTTCACCGCAGCCGTGAATTGCAATCACCGAGTGCAGCAATCGCGCATCTCTAGCACGGTTGCAGGCGATAATCGATAAATGATTGATTGGCTGCAATGTGCAAATGGCGGGAAAGGGGAAATTCTAGCTAATTTAAACAGAATTAAGAACAAATCGATTAAGACTTGAATTAATTAATTTTTGCTTGTAATTATTGTGCGGCGGCTGTGGGGGCAAACGGAACGAAGCGATTCGATAACATGGCGGCCATGACGTCACGCCCAGCCACGGCGAAGCTGGGAGAAGACAACAACAAAAAGCACTTTGAACCGGCAAGAACTGCTAAAGGCGAAATATTTTGGCATTATTATTAAAAATTCAGTCTTTTGGCATTGGCACGGGCCAAGAGACACGCAATTAACATTCGGGCGCACGCTGTGCGAGCGAGCGAGACAGCGATCGAACGCTTACTCATGCGAGAGACTTTCTATGAATATATGTACATATTTCCTCGGCGATTCGATGTGGATGTGAATTGTTATTATACTTTTTGTTATTAGTTCAGCACTCGACATCAGCCGTCACCCGTAAACGATGTCCGAAGATGCCAAGAGTGAGGGCAAAATACATAGAAGCCCGGAATTAGTAATATCAAGTCTAATTCAAACAGGTCCAGGACCACGGACGCGGAACATCATCGAGAACCAGCTGTTCCGCCGGCAGCGCAGCCTCAAATTGGAGGCACTGCAGCGCCAGCGGACCTTGGATTCCGGCGACGGGGCAGAGGGATTGGGCCCGGATCCGGAACCCTTCGACAAGGTCAGTCGGTTCTTGAATTCGATTCGAATCACATACATATCTTTGCGTTCCCCGAACAGACCCACATCGTCATCATCTTCACGGAGAAGGCCAAGCTGAGACACTGCCAGGATGTGGAGAAGATCATCCAGGAGTTTGGCATCCAAACTACGCTGGAAATCGTGGGGTAAAAAATATATAAAAAAAAAAATATTTAAAAAACTTATTAAAAAATTATTTATATAACTCTATGGTCTATAAATTTAAACATCATAATTAATGTTAATTAACTAAGTTGGCCCAAAAAAGTGATAAAAATGCATTTTTTTTTTTACAAATTTATAACGAATTAAAACACTTTTTATAATAATATAAAAACATTATTAAAAAAAGATAAATCCATAAATATATACAAAAAAAAAAAATGATTTAAAAATAATTTATATAACAAAGATAATTTTAAACAGAATATTTAACATCGTACCATTTTGTGTAATTCAACTAAGAAAGTGAAGTGTAAATATTCCACAAACTAAACAGAATAATCTTTATATAATCAAAAATGCGTTGTTTATAGATCAACAAATGTAAACACAATTTATGTAATTCAACAAAGAGCTCAAGTGTTTGTTTTTGTTAAATGAGCAAACAAATCCTTAGAAGTTTTTTCTTTTAACATAATTTTTATACAAAACAACATTACATTTTGAGCACTTCGAATCTAGGATAAATCAGTAAATCATTTAAAATTAGCAAACAAAAAATCGTAATGGGATCAAAACGGCATTGTTTATTAAACACACAATGTGTAAACACAATTGAAAATTGTAAACTTATCAAAGAAAATATGTTCTATCATATGGTCTTTGATTTTTTCAAACAAGAACTTTTGATAAAGTGATTAAGTGAAAATATAAAATGCTTTTCAAATTAGACCTTAAAAATCATCGATATTTTCACAATATTATTCGATAATTTCGATATATTTAAAAGCTGTATTTCAAATGCCTTATTTATTATATAGTAATCCAATTAAATTTCTTTTAGAAAAACCGAAAAGTACCTATACCTGTCGGCCAGCGTGGATACCTTGCTGCGATTGGCCGATGCCGCCGAGCTGGAGAAGATGACGACCACGAACAGCATGCAAAAGTTCAACAACGGCTGCATCTCGGACTTCCTTTTGCCCGGCATGGGCAAGGATCAGATCCTGCGCTACTGCGAGATACCTGTGCTCATCAAGGATGTGATCCAGGACGGCATTAAGTCGTATGTGCAAAAGGGCTACATTGAGGATATGTTTCCCCTGCACGATATCGTGAGTTTATTAATAAATAAATCATTATATATTTTATTATTAATCAATCTTTTTCTCTTTAGCTTTACCTAGATCGCTTCAATTGGAACCTGAAACGCACCAAGCTGCCCATCGAGGACATCCGCAACTACTTCGGTTCCAGCATAGGCCTCTATTTCGGCTTCATCGAGTTCTACACAAAGGCTTTAATTTTTCCCGCTGTTTTTGGCATACTTCAATGCGTGTTCGACCTGAATATATCGCTGGTTTGCAGCTTCTATGTAGTCTGGACCACGGTGAGTTCATTTGGGTACAAAGTAAACTTGTGCACATTAAAAATAATTGGCTTTTAAAATGTATAAATCTTAAATGTGTCAAAAGTCTAAAAATAACATTATTTAAGTGCTTTTAAGTTAGAAACTTTTAAGTGTGCACAGAAAAAAATTAACGTAAGATCAGATTGATATGTGCAGGTTAATTTAATATACTTTAAAGCCAATCAAGTTATTTATATTATTATGATACGATGTTATGATTATAATGTTTATCTTATTTTACAATATTTGTTAAAAAATAATATATTTGGTATTTTAAAGAAGTATTTTTATGACTTTTTTAAAATGATAAAATACCAAGTTGATATGGTTCAATCATAAATTTGATATTAATCAAATCTGCTTTTTATTAATATGAAATAAGGTAGAAATGACCTATTTCCTATACACTTTTCTTTCTGTGTGATAATAAAAATAGTCATCGTGCATTTCACAATTTTTTTTGTATCTTTCAACATAAACCATCTTTGTTAAAATCCCAATAAAATAAAATATAATTTTATTTTATTTTTACCACCTGTTTATTTATTGAGTTTATATTAAATATATGAAATCTTTGCAGATTTTCCTGGAGCTGTGGAAGCGCAAGTGCGCCGGCTACTCGTACCGCTGGGGCACCATCGAGATGAGCAGCCTGGACAAGCCGCGTTCGGCGTACACGGGGCAAATGAAGCCGGATCCCATTACGGGCAAGATGACGCTCCACTACCCGATGCGCTACACGTACCTGCAGATGTACTGCATCTCGTATCCCGTGGTTCTCGGTTGCGTGGTGGCCGCTGGCTGGTTTGCCCTCTACCAGTTCCAAATCGAGGCCGAGGTGCTGGCGGACTTTGGGCCCGAATCGTGGCTACTGTACGTGCCGGTCATTGTGCAGTCGGTGCTGATTGCGATCTTCTCGTGGGCCTACGAGAAGCTGGCCACATTCCTAACCAATCTGGAAAACCATCGAACGCGTTCGCAATACGATCGTCATCGGGTCAACAAGCTGATGCTCTTCGAGATCGTCAATAACTTCTTCTCGCAGTTCTACATTGCCTTTGTGCTGCACGATTTGCGGCAGCTGAAGTACCAGCTGATGATGCAGCTGCTGGTCTTCCAGTTGCTCTGCATCGCCCAGGAGATTGGCATACCGCTGCTGGCGGTGCTGCGCCAGAAATACGCCGAGTTCCGTCATCGCGAGGTGGCCGAGGAGAAGCTGCGTTCGATAAGCGATCTGCCACGCTACGAGCAATCGTTCTACGAGTCGGGCCTAGATGAATACCATTCCACGTACGAGGATTACCTGCAGGTGTGCATCCAGTTTGGATTCGTCGTGCTCTTTGCCGCCGTCGCCCCCTTTGCGGCCATTGGTGCGCTGCTGAACAACGTCTTTGCGGTGCACATTGACATGTGGAAGCTGTGCAACATCTACAAGCGGCCATTCGCCCGAAGGGCCAAGAATATCGGCGCCTGGCAGCTGGCCTTTGAGCTGCTCTCGGTGATGGCGCTGCTCAGCAACTGCGGACTGCTCTTCCTTCAGCCGAATGTCAAGTGAGATGTGGTCTTGGAACTTTTATTGTGTATTTAATTTAATAACTTTCTTCCTTCCTTTTTTAGGGACTTCTTTTCCCACTGGCTGCCCTCGGTCCCTGATCTTTCGTTCGTGATCTTTGAGCACCTGCTGCTGGGCCTGAAGTTCCTCATCCACAAGGTCATTCACGAACGACCGCGCTGGGTGCGCATCGGACTGCTAAAGGCGGACTACGAAACTAGCCAGGCACTCAAGCAACTCAAGTGGGTCTCACCAATCATCAGCTCGGCTGGAAAGAGAAATGCAACTCATGCCCAAACTCAACCTCAATTTATTTGCAGGAAATTCAAGGCGGAGGCCAACAAGATGGCCTGATACGATGGCCCAGATCTCCCACTCCTTTTGGTGCTAATCAAACCAGTCCATTTTAAAGGTTATTATTTATATAAAAAAAAACATACATACTAAGCGCTTTTACTGTGAATGTTTGAGACCATCGGAAGAAGATGAAGAAGAAGGTGCCTTAAACCTAAAACTCATATAAATATGTCCACAAATTACTTGAGATACTGCTCTTTTATATGGCCAAGGGATCCTAGCGTGAGCCGCGAAAGTGCCGGAATGCCAGGTAGGCATCCAGGGCATGCAAAATGCCCGCCGCATAGCCCATGTACTGAAAGTTAGGCAGATTTAAGATTAAGCTTTAAGTTAAGGTTTCTTTGGGCACTCACATAGCAGGCCGTCATGGCGGGATAAGCCCAGAATCCGGGACGCACGAGAAACTGCGGATGCAGCCAGACCACACAGGCGAAACCCATGTAACTGGCTGAACTGAAGTACATGCAACTGGCTAAGGCGTTGAACAAGGTCTCCTGGAATTAAGGGAATTTACCATTTAATAGTGTAAAAAATGTTAATTAATTGGTGTGTGATTATAAATGTACTATGATTTCTATACGTTTGTTTAGTACTCCATTTGGATTTCATTTAATTCCATTTAATGGAATTAGTATTGCTTAAACAATGCAAATTTAATTTTTGATATTTAATGATTTCTCTACGTTTGTTTAATACTCCACTATAGAATTTTTTTTTGATATAATGAAATTAATATTGCCTAAACAATGCAAATATAATTTTGGATATTTAATGATTTCTCTACATTTGTTTATTACTCCATTTTAACTATAGAATTTATTTTGTTTAGTATAATGGAATTAATATTTCTTAAACAATACAAATTTAATTTTTGATATTTAAAATTAAACATTTAATGTAATGAGCAGACATTGGATTATATGCGAAACAGTATTCTAAAATTCTCAATTTTTAAAATTCTAAATTCTAAAATTATTTTGTAATAAATCAAAATTTAATTTGCAATATTATAGAAAAATTTATCTTTTATCAAAGAACATATATTATAATATTTTGTAATAAAATATATAATATTTATAATATGTTTCTGCATATAACCCTATGTATAGTAATGATTTAGTTTTAGTTTTAGTACACATTTATTTTAATAAGCAGTAGCTACTCACAAACATCGACTGGCGGATGAGGCTGTAGGATTTGTCGGAGAACGCGTAGCACAGCAGCAGGATGCCGGTGGTGGTGGAGCAGTGGCCCGTGGTGGCCAGGAAGCTGGTCAGCGCCTGGCCAATGGAGTCGCCATACGGAATGCCATACTTGATCAGCAGGCCCTCGCACAGCATGGCCAGGCCCAGTTCCATCAGCTTGAGGAGCCCGATCCGGGACAGAACGAATCCGAAGTTGATGCAGGTGCAGACGCGGCAGCAGCAGATGCGGATGCCCAGCGGCTGGGCCATTCCCCGAACTCCGAACGAGGCCATGGTCTGATGGCAAATGATCTCGTGAGGCTGGGACTCCGCTTTGTTGTCCGCCCGATGGATGAGTTTGGGTTTCTATAAATAACTCCCAAGACATGTGGGCCCCAAGCGGCGCATTTCCTTGCATTTCGAGTGTTCTGATCTTCGCACCAAATCCTTCACAGTCTGAAGTTATATTTAGAACAGCCATGAGCCATTTTAACTATGTGTTTGGGTTTTTTTGTCTACGTGGAATGTGAATTCTTTTAATCCCTGCTCTGTATTTCTTAGAATTATATTATTTATCAATGAAAAGATTTTTTAAATGCTAAAAAAATATTAAAAAATATATCTTATTATCAGAATTTCTCAGATTAGATTTTTTTGAAATATGTATTTATTTGTATACCTGTTGATTATAAATGTTTTTTTGTTTGCTTACTGAAATTATTTTATAAAATTGAATTATACATAATGAAATTCATATTTATTACCAATATATTTAATTTTAATAATCTAAGGGCGGTTTTCTCATCCGCATATTAAATTTACAGTATGGTTTAAACTTAAAAAAAAGTATTTAAATTTAAAGTCCACTTTAAATTATTACCTATCACCTAAACTAAAGAACAAGTAAAATTTTTTGAAAATAAGCCATGTTAATTATATATCGAATATTTGATATCGCTGGAGAGAGATATTTTTATTCTACAAATATTGAGAGTAATTTAATGAGTTTTGATTTTATTGAATCCATTCACCAGTGCGATGACTGTCACAGTTTCAGTTTCACATTAGATGCCAGCCAAATAGTAGTAGCAAAATTCCAAACGTACAAAACTGTATAGAGAATAATTCCCCAAAAAAAGTGAACACATCTGAAGCCAAAGTTTCCGATTCCAGGATGTGCATGCCGTATCTGAACAAACTCTTCGGCGGCAACGGCGGCGATCGTCGGGAGCGTCGCACCCGGGATGGCGGTATTACCCCGCTGCCCAGTCTGGCCAATGTGAACCAGGTCTCGTTGGACACCGTCCATACCGTCAAGTCCGGCAAGTCGTCGAAATCCGGCAAGTCCGCCAGTCGGAGGAGCACCACCAATACCACTGGACAACCCGCCGATACCAGTGAGAGCAGCATGGAGTCCCAGACGGAGCAGCCGATGGCGGCCGCCTCACGAGGAGCTGTTCGCAATGCCTCCGCCTCGGTGGCACCTGCACCATCACCTTCACCTGCTGCCAGCGGATCGAGAACACGCAGATCCTGGTGGGGATACTTTGGCATGAACAAGAACAAGAAGCCCAGCATTGAGTCGCTCTAGGATGGAGGATCTGGGATCGAATTGCTATGGGTTACCAAAGGAGACGGAATTGGAAGATGTCGGTCCTTGACTTTGGGTCGGACTCTAACTAACCAAGAAAAAAATATTAGATTATAATAAATGGCCATCTTTCGGATCTGTGGAAACCCAAAACCTAGAGTAACCTAAATTTGGAATAGTATTTATAATACATTGGATAGATTTTATAGACTGGAATTTAATTCTTTTTATTATACTTTGGGTTATTCAAAATGGACTCTAGATAATATTTCAATTATATCATAATCTCCTATAGTAACCCAAATTTAAATTAGTGTTTATATTACATTGAAAAGATTTTATAGACTGGAATTTAATTCTTTTATAGAATATAGAATAGCATTTAAATTACATGATATCATTTCATTTTTTAGTAAGTAAATTCCAGAATTTAATCACTAACCAATAGGATCGTTAAATGAGTTACTGAACCAGTTAAGACCCAAAACTATTTATAGAACAAGTTCAAATTTAGCTGGCAATGAAATTGGGTAATAAATCAGGAGAGTTACTGCTAAGTACTTTCACTTTCCCCGTAGATCTTTTTAGCCCCATCAGAGCTTTCTTTGTTCTCTGCTTTCTATAGCATATACACTCGGATCGGATCGGATCGGATCGGATCGGCTGCTATAGAAGATCGTGTCGTGCCCGAGAAGGGGGCGTGGCAGGGGCGTGGGGCAAACAAAGCTCAAACGTCGGCACCGCCAGCGATTAGTGTAATTTATCAGTCGCAACGGCAATTTATATGGCTAAGCGCGATCGGTGGGATATATATATATGTATATATGGGGATGGGGGTGCGGGTGAGGGGGCGGTCATTGCGGGGGTGGATGCTTTTTGACAATAAAATTAATGTGGCTGTTATCACAAGTAATTGTTGCTGCCGGCAGTTGTTATTGTTGCCCTTACCGCTATTGTTGCGCATTGCCGCTTGCGTCAATGGGCAGCTACACTGCGAGAAAATATTCGGATTTAAAATATGATTAACATTTACTGTAAAAAGTATTTGAATTAGGATTGAAAACCAGAAAAAAAGTTGTTATTTTTGTCTAATATCCTAATAGTTTTTTGGCCGTAACAATGAAAATAATGATCCAAATATGGAATGCAATACCTCGTCGAGCTCGTAATTAAATTCCCTAACGATTGGCATTTAAACCTGGAAATTTTTAATTTTTGTCATTTTTCGCAAAAAATCATGAAACCATCATTAAAAAATGGAAAAATTTATAAAAAAATAAATTTCCCAGAAAGTGATGAGGATCGTTAGTTTAGGTCGTTAGCTGTTTAAAATAGTCGGTCTTTTAGCTGTAGGCCTTGATTTGTCCAAATTACGAGTGAAAAACCGCAAAAAAAAGGTTATTTTCGCCTAAAATTCGAATCGTATTTTCTACCCTAAAATATCAGTATTTTTGAGCTCCTTATTTTATTCCCAATCGATTGGCATTATTTTCTTAAAAAGAAACGTATTTTAATGTATTGTAAACAAATTAAGTAAATCACACCGTTTTTATTCTGCGTGTAGAGGAGAACAAAAAGACAGCTATAACGATGACGCTCCAGAAATGTTGTAACAAGTGAAACCGTTCAGAATTTGCATAAATTGTTTGGCCCGGGTGGGAATTTTGTAATCTGCAATTAGGAATTTGCCAATTTCGTCACGAATTTTGCACGTGCATAAATTAAGGGAGCGATTTAATCGCTTGACTTCCATTTGGGGTCGTGGGATGAGAGGAATTTTCAGTTATTCAGATTTTCCCTTTCTTTTTATTTCCTTTCGTTTACTTTTTTGGGCTTTTCCGACAGACAACGCTCTCTCGTTTATTTTTAATGCCAAGAATAAGAATAAGATATATACCATCCACCGATCGGCTATAGAATGGGAAAGCTCTGGTCGGCTTTTCATTGGGGCAAATGCCTCTGACGTCGCAACAGCTAAAATAAAAATAAAAACAAATTCGCTTTCGGCTGTAAATAATTCGCATCGTGTCGTGTTGCACTGAAAAATCACTTGTAAATTGTTGTGTCATTAATTGCGCAAAGACAAAGAGACAAAAAGACTAAACAACAAAAAAGAAGTGCGACACAGTGTGCTGATTGTTGACTCAAATTAAAAGTGCGACAAATTTTAATTTACATTTTTTGTTTATTTCGGTTTGTTCGTTTTCGTTTTATTTCGGTCGCCTGACAATCACTCCTAAATCGCCTTTAAAACGTACCCGTAAAATTAAGTAAATTGCTAACATCAGTTAATTCCAGTCGCCAAATCAAATCGGACATATCTACATATCCAAACATTTCGAGAGAACCCAGAACAGGAAACAATCGGAATCATTTGGGAAATTTATCATTCGGTATTTATGATGGGAACCTTGTTCTCTAAAGCTCTGCGTACGGAAATGTCGGCAATGATATAGTATTTGGCATTATTTTTAGGTGATAATATGACGTCTTAAGGTTTAATTAAACAATTGCAGAAAGTTTAAACAGATCTGTTGGGAATTTCCTCTACTCAACAAGCTAATAATAACAAATTGGAATTTTAAAAATAATAAGAGTAAAGCAATTTAAGAAATGTTATTCAAGAAATCATTTAAAATAAATGGAAAGGTCATTAAATAAATATAAATATTCATGGCTTTGTTTCTGGTTTTCCCAGAATTTTCCCCCCATACGTAAGAAGCCCTTAAACATCCGTTAATTGTTTTTGCTGGCCAAACAAACCGCTTTTCGCTATTAGCAGCCAAATGCAGCTGTCAATTGGCCCACAACTTGCACGCAAATGGCAAATATTTTCCTTTTCCCAACTTCAAGCTCGATTTTTACACACGCTCACAAAAACAATTGTAAATGCTGTTCATAAACAACCAAACAACCGAGGCAATGTTTTCTATTTTATTTACATTTCTCCATTTCTTTGCTGGAAACTGAAACGCAAATTCATGTGACAACAAAAACACAAGATGATTTCTTGAAGCGAAAGCCCGTAAACAAAAAACGCTTTATCTGGGCCAAAATCGCGAATCGGAGATAATGCCGCCGAGTGGTTCGGGCACAGTCTGGCCCACTGATTGACTATTATATGGCCGATTGATCCGCCGGAATCCTAGTCTATGGTCTACGTAGAAGTGGGCCTGCGATTGCCTGACTTATTTATAGCAATTTGTTTGCCGCCCCGTCGACGTCACAATCATTTGCGGCTGTCATGATTTTTGGAAGTCGAAAAACGTAGAGGGTCTGGGGGATTTTTAAACCGCACGCTTATGTTTTAACAGCAAAGAGTGTAAATCAAGTACACTTGAACGTTGAAAAGTTATCGAAAAATAATAGATTAAGAAGAAAAGGCTTTTTCTATATAATCCACATTTTATGGGTTAAAAACTTTATTACAAAAAGCCGAAATTAATTTTGGCTTAAATCTAATTTTGATTTTATGAAAAAAATTGTAATCAACAAAATGTGGCTCAAAATTGGATGGATTTAAAAAAAATTGGTAAAAAATGGTGCCTTAAAATGAATAATTTTTAATAATTGAATACAACTTTTTCTCACCGTGTACCAAACACTACGTGCCACGCACCGGAGATGAGTGGACAGAATGTGAACAAGTTGTCCATTGATTGGAAAGTCCAAAATCGCCTATGTTAATATAGTATATCTTTGAAAAACTCAGAATAAATTGGGAAAACCCCTGGGTAAAGTGACAAGGCAATTTAGAAGATATCCTTTGAGTTCCCCAGATTAAAGGCACTGATAAGCGATCCGAAACATTTCGTTTGAAATCTTATCAGAAACCAAAAACATGACAGCACTCATAAGTTTAATTATTAAATATATGTTCTTGCCATACAAAATAATCTTAGTCATTGCCATTTAATTGCAAAATTATTAGATTGATATGAGAGACTTTGTTATGATTACTATTTTTTAGGTTTTGGGCTATTTTTGAAATGGTTTACAGATAGGCAGTTTTTTTTTGATATCATGGAGTTGTATTTTTTCTACAAGTTCTTAAGTTCGATGATTCACCTGCTGTCGCATCCGAAACGGAAGAATATTCCCATTCCGGAATACCTGAGTACCGGAATAGAACCGACTTTGGGTTTTCAATTTGTGGGAGTGAACAAAAAAACACAATTTGCCAGTCGTCTGGCCATCTGCGTCATTGCGAAAACACTTGTCGCCCTTTTGTTGGCAGGATGGGCGTGGCCGGAGGCGGCAATTGGGGGTAAAATAATACAGGTTATAGAAAAAAAATAATTATAAATTGTATATACATAAATATAACTTATTTGAATCAATATTTTAATATATAATTTTATGAAACATATTTATTAGTAAATTTTTCATAAGGTTTAGTAATAAATATTCAATTAAGAAATATTTAAATTTAAAATTATACAAACCTGTTATAATGGATTTATAATAATAATTATTTAATACCAACAGTATTTAAAATTAAACCACTTTGCATGCAACACCATAAAAATTAATTTCACTGAAAGATAAGCAACTTAATTATTTTAGTATTAGTTTCCTCCATTAGTTGTACCTACCATTTTAGCCGCTGCTGTGATGGGCAACCCTTACTTACATGCGGTAAGCCGCCATGTATGTACATTCTACATACATGTACCGCAAATTCTTTTCTCGTGTCTCCCAAGGGGTCGTGTTCTATGCTGCTTATCAGCTATCCGCTATCGGCAAATCGATAAATCATGTCCCCATCCCCATTCGAGACGATCTTCCCCCACCTTGATCTACTGCAAATGCCGTTCTATTAGTAACTGACTTGATCGCTGGCATTGAGGCGCTGGCATCGCTTTCATTTGGCTACAATTTCAATTTCGATTCCAATTCCATTGCGTTCGTTACATTTTAATTAGATTTAGGATCATATTCGTTATATCGTTTGGCTTGGAGAGCAGACCCCCAGACCCAGAGCCAAAGCCAGCTCAACTTGACAACCGATCTCCTCCTGCTTAACCCTGATATACCTGGCCGTGATATACCACAAAATAACTGATCAAATCTGGCAGGTACTTTGAGTAATTTTGTTTAAAAGTATATTTTAGAAAAAAAATCCTTTGGGTAATTTAAATTAAATCTCATATAGGTTTTCACTTTCTTACCTAAAACCAAAACATTTTTTAAACAGCAAATATTATTGATACAATCGTATCAAAAATACAAAATCAATAAATATTAATTAATGGTAATTAAATTAAGCACGCTAAGACAACGGTGCGTATGAGTGATAGACTTTTAAAGCTTTTGTGGCGGCTTTTTAGTACATTTATTATTGTTTAGGCTTATATATATATGTGTTTTGCAAACTAAAATTTAGTGCATTAAAATTGCAAAAATTAAAAGTTAAATGTGGAGAGACAACATTGCGTATGAGTAATAAAATGTGTTTATATTAGCGTTGCTTTATATTGTGGGTATAAAATTACATTTTTATATAGCCTAAAAATTTCTTATTACATAATGAATAATAAATTTAAATTGAACTTTAGTTTTAAAATGAAACTTGAAAATTTTAGTATGTAATCTTTGGCTAAAATTTTTGCTATGTTAATAAATTAAATTTGTATTGGAGAAAGTATTATCATATTAAATTATAGAATTTCAAATACGGAATTTCGAAGAATATTTCAATATTTTGTATGTCATTTTTAATTTTTTTATAATTTTTAAAGAGAACAATAATGAAAAAATACAATTTTTACTATCAAATTTATATTATTTATGATAAACTTAATCACTAAAAAGGGTCTTAGGCTTTTTCTTAGCTGATATTGAGTGCTTGGCCTGCAGAGGGTTAAGTCCCCTTTCTCGGCGATCGGCCGACTGCGCTGCTGGCGTCGCAGTCGCCGCTTTTGGCGCAATCGAAAGTTACGTTTAAGCTTTACGTAGAGCGCATTAGTCGAACGGCGATTGTCGGCGGCGTTAGTTCAGAGTTTTAATACATTCAATTCGAGCATAATTCCCAAATACGAAAAATCCAGCCAAAATCAGCAGCGATATATCAAAAAAAATACCTTGGAGATATTGTAAGTGAGAGGTGGTTCTTACCTAACTTTTTGAACTGACGCTCCAAACTGAAGTGCTCTTGCTGCTCTCAAGATTTCCGTTCTACAAATTATCATTGATAATTATAATCAATTGATTAGTGTGAGTTTAGTGTCTGTCAGACCAAAAACATCCAAAACACAAGTTCTAAATTTATTTTAATGTGAAAATTAATATGATTACCGAATTTCGCCACCGTGTGCGCCGTAATTTGTGCCATTAAATTGCAAATTGTTGCCACCACAAATGATTAAATTAATTAAATTATTAATGGCGCACAAACTACTGAAGATGCGACTCGCCATATATTATATACTATATATGGGATCGTAGAATTTTATGTACATAATATTAAACTAACTGAAAATCGTGCTCGCATTTCTCCAGCGATTTAGCATGCAATCCCGCTTTCCTTCCGGCCCATCCCACAAAATCTCTATCTGAAAATATATAATCACGGACGAAAAAAGTACCACACAAATTGGTTTAATTTATGGGAATTTAATTTCTATAATTTTCAAATGTCAAATGTTTAAAATGATAAGGACACTAGAAAAACTTCAGCGATATTACAATTATAACTGCACCAAATATATTGTATATTATCTTATATTATATATATCAAAAACTTATTAGCCACAGTATCAAATAAGATAAAATATAATTTTACACACTACAAAATTCTTGAATCTAAATTTGATTTCTTTCGGTGTACCTTTTGCATTTCCAGCTCTTTTTGTATCGTTTAGTTTTCGATAGTTATTCGATTCGCATGCAAATCATGCGGGGGACCTAATAAAAAACAAACATTCTGTGCTAATCAGCCGGGCCTTTAAATTCGAATCATGAACCCATAAATTTCCCTTTTGGGCCCCCAAAATAACTTGTTCGAAAAAAAGAAACCCCCGAATAATAGGTGACAAGTGGAGATATTCCCCATTTAACAGCTACTTAAGGCCGTAAAAGGGTTTTTATGGCTTATCTACTATCTCTAACTTCTAAAATGGTTCTAGAGTCTAGACCTGTGTGCTGTGGCACGATTTTCTTCGCTTTTTTTGCGACGAATCCAACCTACGCCTAATTGGCACACGTGACAGATAAAATTCCTGTCTAATTTGGCAGATATCCCCCCAGTTACATTCGTTCTTCTTACAAACAAGTTATATATTCCCCTGGGGGAATTTTAATTAATTTTTCGTACATATATAGATAGAGATTTTCAATTACAAATCGCAGTTCTAGAAAATATACAAAAATATATACTTCCGCACTAGGTAAGATATATTTTTTTTTAGGGGAAACTAGTTTTTAAATTTATTTATTCAGTGTTTGCACAGCTTTTGAATGGTGAATGGATGTCTTATCAACTTATACAGTCAAACTTTCCTAACTTCCGACACATTATAAGTGGCTAAGGGAATCGGAAAATTATAATATATAGTTAAACTAAAAACTAGTTTTTAAATTTCTTGCTTAAACATTTAAGGATTTTAAGAACTTTTAAATGGGTAATAAACTCTAGTACTTATGTACCTATATAAAAACAAGGAAGCCTTACTTTTTTGCCAGCTATTTAGTTACTTGTCACTCACAATTAACTGAAGAATAATGCTTTTGAAAGCTGCGCCGCCGAAAATTGCCTGTAAACAATAAAATCAAATTAATTATGGCCAAATAAATCACTGACATCTCAACTCGAGCAGAATTATTGCCCTCTGCTGATAAGCTGAGCTCCAAGCCAATTAATAAGCACGCAGGCAGCGACGCCAACGTCCGACGGCGACTGCGACTGCGGCAGAGGCGGTAGCCGAGGCAGCGGCGGCGGCAGAGGCGATTGGCCAACAACAGTTCGATGTCGAAGCGGTGAAGTCGAGCGTGCTCTGTGCCTTTTCATCTGCCGCTGCGCGTGCGTCTGCGGTTGCTGCAACTGGGGCAGTACGGTCGAAATTCGAAGTCGAAATTTTAAAATTTGAAAGTTCAAAACTAAATTTTAAAATTTTAATACCCAAAGTTTGAAATTTTTAAGTTTGAAACTTTATTGAAAAAAACTACATCGAAATTTCGAGCCCGCGTAAGTTAAACATTTTCTAATCAATGTTTTGCAAAGTATTCAAAATATTTAAAACCCCCGCTATCAATTGTGATTAACAAAAGTGAAAAAGTTTAAAACTTTTGAAATTTCCGGTTCGAATTTTCAAGAAATAACTTTTAAAGTAAAATAAAAAAATGTAGTGCGTAAATCTTAGATGTTGGTAATTTATAGATTATACACTTTCTATAATATTTATTTTTCTAAGTCACACCTGTAAATTTCTTACGGTTTCGCGTCAACCAGGTTCCACTGTATTTCGTTAGATTAATTAGTGTTTGATCACTGCAGTTAGCTAACTGCATTTACACAGATGTTTCAGGGCCTCCTCTTGTTTTTCCTTAATTTGTACACTACCAAAAAAATGTAATAGTTTTAAACTGGGAATTAATTAAAATTATACGTATTTATGCAGAAACTCGTTTTACGAATATAATTTAAAATTTTTGCCCTAGAAAACCATAAAAATCTAACCATATTTATCAATGGTATTATTCCAGAACATGGACCTGAAAATGGAGCTGGGAGGTTACGTGCAATCCGCGCCCAACACCAAGCGGTTCGTTGTGGAGGACTCAAGTGAGTGAATAATTGCCGGAGTGGGGGTTCCCCTTTCTTCCGGTTTAGAAAGCCCGGAAGTGCGTCGGCGTCATCGTCGGCTCGGCAGTTAAATAAACCTGCTGCCGCCGATCCACTCCACGCATTTTGAATCGAATCGGATCGGATCGGATTTCGATCAAGTTGAAGTTCAACGCCAGTCGTCGACGTTGACGCCGTTGTCCCTGAGACAACAAAGCATCGTTACCCTGCACTTGAAAAAAAAATCCTATATTGTAAAAAAATCCTTCTTTTTAATATCTTCTTAAAAAAAAATTTGATTAGCCCCAAAAATTTTAATTACATTACATTTTACATTCTCATTTTGGTAAAATCAATACTAAAATATCTTTAACAATTTTTGTTTTTTTACGTGATAATTCGTATTTATCAAAAAATAGTTTTTATGTTTAGAAACAAAAAAAAAAAAAAAAATAGTACAATATTTTGATAAATCTTATTCCTATTAGGTAATAATTCTTATTTATCAGAAAATATTTTTTATGTTTAGCATTTTTAAAAAATCCGTTCTTTTCGTCACTCAAAAAAGCGCCTAATATTCTTGCACTGTTTTAATTATCATCAAATATGAAAGATCGACTTTCTAAACGCAATGCCAAACGAAAAGCAAATTTTTAACTATAAGCTTAGCTTTACAGTTGACCTTGGTTAAATTTACATTTCACACCTGCCAAATTGGAGCAGCACGTCAGCAGTCAATCACTTACTAGCTCACTCACTCACTCACCTGTTGCTTTCTCTCGGCTTTGCAGTTACCAAGGTGACTTCCGACGGGGAGCCGCATGGAATGATGACCATGGTGGCCGGATTGTCCGGCCTTTTGGCGGCCATCATCATTCTGGCCGTTCTCGTGTCCATGGTGGCCTGTCGCAAGCAAAGGAGGTGAGTGACCTTCTGGTTCTAGTTTAATCCTAACTTAGAATCAGGAATAACAGTCAAAAAAACATTACTCAAATCATGCGAAGCTCATGATAAGCCCATGTTAAAGAGGAAAAAAAACTAGTGACGATCGCACCTTCAACACATAAAAGTTCCAATATCTAAACTTGTGACGAAATATTGTTTAATAAGTGTATTTATTCAGAAATTTTGCAATCAAAATTTAAATTTTTTCAAGGTGCGATTGTCACTTCTTTTACACCAAAAAATAATTCGTTTTTTGACCGAAACAATGGAAATATTTATCCAAATATGGATTGTCATACCTTTCTGAACTCGTTATTAAATTTCCTATAGATTGGCATTTAAACCTGGACATTTTATTTTTTTATCATTTTTCGTAAAAAATCATGATGTACCCCCTTATAAAAAAATTGAAAATGGGCAAAAATTGTATTTTTCCAAAATCACACGTAAAGTGTTATGGATTCTTTTGTTATTTTGTTCTCTGTTCAAAACAGTGTGCATTTTTGGTGTAGGACCATTTTTGGCCAAATTACAGCAAAAAAACAAAAAAGAAAAATTCAAAATTTGGCCAAAAATTCGGATCCCATTTTTACACAAAAAAATAATTCGTATCTACCTCTTTAAAAGGTGATTTTGTTGATATTTATATAATAATAATAAAAGATTATTCCGATTAAATATATATTTATACCTTTAAGATGTACTTCCTTTTAATATTATATATTTCCCTCCTTGTAGCAACGCCAACCGGAAGAGCAACTCCTCCAGCAATGTGGTGCCCATGACCAGTGTTCCGCAGGATCAGCCCCAGTTGGCGGGCAATTTGAACGCAGCGTTTGCCGAGAGCACCCTGACCTTGGACAAGGTCAAGGACAAGGACGACGGGGGGGCGGGGGACCAGTGGCGGCCCACTTCCGTAGTGGTGGAGCGGTACTAGCTGAGGGGTAATATATCTCCAAATGTATATGTTATATACCCCAGCCACCGGATGGGCACGTGATGTTTTTTGTAAACGTTTGAGACTGAGACTTAGCCTAAGGATTTCCATCACCATCTTATATCTTGTATCATATATGGAACTATTTTTTTTTGCTTGTTAAAAATATATTATAAAATATACACACCATAAGATCAGAGATTTAAATTGTTTTAGAAATTTGTTAAACATTTTTAAATCGAAAAAAAATCTCTAATAAATATATATATTGGAATTTTCTTTACACTAATTTCTTAAATTAAAATCCAAGGATTTCTAGATCCCATTAAAAACACACAGATTAACCAAATGGAATAATATATTCGTATGCATTTGAAGTAGGGATTTAAATTGTTTTAGAAATTTGTTAAACATTTTTAAATCGAAAGAAAATCTCTAATAAATATATATATTGGAATTTCCTTTACACAAATTTCTTAAATTAAAATCCAAGGATTTCTAGATCCCATTAAAAACACACAGATTAACCAAATGGAATAATATATTCGTATGCATTCGTAGCACATACATGTGTAGTATAAAAAATTGTATACAGCAAACAAAAAAAAGATTGAGAAAGTCAAAGTAAGTGGGTAATCCTCTAGAGCGCCGTATTGCGACCGCCCACGACCATGGCCAGCAGGGCCATGCGGACGTACATGCCGTACTCCGCCTGCCGGAAGTAGGCGGCCCTGGGGTCCGAGTCAAAGTCGCGACTGATCTCGTCCAGACGCGGCAGCGGATGCAGCACAATCGAACGCTTCTTGGCCAGCGTCATCAGCTCGGGCGTCACCACCAGATGGCCACAGCACTGAGGATGGGAAAAGGGATTAGTTTAAAGATTAATGATCATGATCCAAGGAACACTCACCTCCTTGTAGGCCGACTCGCTGTCGAATCGCTCCCGCTGTATGCGGGTCATGTAGAGCACATCCGTGCTGGCCAGCACCTCCTCGAAGCTGGAGGCGAAGAGCTGCTTGATGCCGCGCTGGTGCACAAACTGGGTGATCTCGTCGGGCATCTGCAGGCCGTGGGGCGCCACATACTGCAGGGTCACGTTGTAGAGGGTCAGCAGGCGGGCCAGCGAGTGCACGGTGCGTCCGTTCTTCAAATCACCGGCCAAAGTGATGGTCAGCCCGTTCACGGTGCCGATCTCCTCGCGAATGGTGAAGATGTCCAGCAGCGCCTGCGTGGGATGCTCCCCGACGCCATCGCCGGCATTGATCAGCGGTTTCCGGGAGAAGGTTGCGGCGCGCTGTTTGAGAATCAACGGAAATAATCAGTTTAGGGTAAGATTTTAAGGGAAAAAAGGGTTTTGTAGGTTGCTACAACTTTTTTTCTGTTTAATATTAACTTTTAAAACTTAAAGTGTCGAAACTGATCTCTTTGCTTCAAAATGGTTATAAAAAATATTATTTATTAATTTATTTTATTTACAAATTTGCTTCAAAATAAATATTTATTTTTAAAAATGAAAAAAAAATTGTTTTTTTTTCTAAGATTTTTGAACAAAATTTATGTAGGCTAGGCAACTGTTTTAAAATTATATTTGACCCTTTTGGAAATATTGATTGAAATCATTTGAAAATTGTAAAGCATTAAACATACTATTTGAAAATTATATACCTGATTTTAAATTGTTAACGTAAATGTAAAAAAAAATTGTAAATATAAAAAACTGGTCTCATTTAGTCAAAGATTTTCGAATTGAGATTTAAATAACAAAAATCAATCCAATTAAAATTACAATTCATATTTTTATGATTTATAAGAGCTTTCAAGCAAGAGGAAAGATAAGAGTAATTAAAATATCATTCACATTATTTTATATTGTATTACATCATATCATATTATTAGAAAGATATATCAAAAGAGTTTTTAAACAAGAGGAAAGATTGGTGTAATTATAATATCATTCACAATATTTTATATTATATATCATATTATTAGAAAGATATATCGCAAGAGTTTTTAAGCAAGAGGAAAGATAAGTGTAATTATATCATTCACATTATTTTATATTATCAAAAAGATGTATCACATTGATTTCAGATATCATATTATTTCGGGATGTTGACCCACCAGCCCTTTCTACCATCTACTCACCGCCACAGCTCCCGGCGTTGGATGGCGCAGGACCATGACGTCCGCATAGCTGCCCATCACCTTGATGCTGTCCTCGAGGCTCTCGCCCTTCTTCACCGACGACGTGATCTGGTCCATGCTGATCACGCGGCCACCCAAACGCAGCATGGCAGCGGCGAAGCTGCACTGCGTCCGCGTGCTCACCTCGTAGAAGACACTGGCCATGATCTTGCCGCGCAGCAGCTCGTCCACCGGACGATCCTTGGTCACGCGCGACTTGAGCAGCTGGGCGAGGTTGAAGATATCGTTGAGATGCTCCTTGCTGAACATATCGACGGCCAAAATGTGCTTGCCCACCAACGAATGGGCCACCGGATTGGGGCTGGAGGAGCGTTGCAGGTATTCCCGCAGCGCCGTGTTGCTGGTGGAATCCAAACGGACGCGCGGTGCCGGCGAAATGGGACGCACAAAGTTGGCCCCATCCACAAAGTGCACTTTAGTCGAGGAAGAAGATGTGGTTGATGATGCGGTGAGGAGGCGGGCAAAGGTATCATTGGCATCGCTGTCGCTGGGCAGCAGGTTGTCCGGTTGTTCCAATTGTCCTTGGGCTCCCACTTGTCCCGTTTTGGAGCGCACATTCTGGCCAAAGCCCGGCTGAACCAGCACCTGGCCATCGATGAAGGCCACCTCGCCGCGCAGAACGACCCGATGGACGCGTCCCTTCACCTTGGTGCCCTCGAACGGCGTCCAGCCGGACTTGCTCTTCAGCTCGCTGCCCGTTATGGTCCACTCCTCGTCCAGATCCACCTCCACATAGGTGTGCGCCTGCTCGGGCAGATTGAAAATGCTTCGCGGATTGCGATGGAACTTCCGCTTGATGTCCTCCAAAGTTAAGCGACCTTCGGCGACGGCCTGCAGTAGCAGGGGTAGAATGGTCTCCACGCCCGGAAAACCAGGCGGCGGTCGCTCCGAACGCTTCTCGGCCAGCGTGTGCGGTGCATGATCGGTGGCAAACACATCGATATACTCCATGTTCTCCCACAGCGCCTCCTGATCCTCGGGCGAGCAGAGCAGCGGACGCACCTCCGACATCCCTGCGCCGCCTACACGTTCCACATCCTTGGTGCTGAGGAACAAATGATGCGGACACACCTCGCACGTCACCTTGATGCCCTTCTCCTTGGCGGCGCGTATCAGCTGGATCTCCTCCTTGCGCGCCACATGGCAGATGTGAACGGGACGCTCGAGAAGATGGGCCATCAGGATAATGGCCGCCGTGCTCTGCTTCTCGGCATGACAAACAATGGGCGCCCGCTTGGGCCAGTGGGTCAGGTGCCGCTGCCAGGCGGTCATGTCGCTGAGCTTCAGAGTGCCAAAGGTGTCGTTTAAGTACATCTTCAATCCGCACGCCTGGCTGGCCAGCTCGTTGACTTGCGACCAATTCGCGTCCGAGGCGCCCACATACAAAGCGTAGTCGCATCGCGATCCCGCCTTGGCCAGCTCCTGGAATTGGGTGAAGGTCTCGCGGTCGACGATCGAGGGATTTGTGTTGGGCATCGCGCAGACCAGGGTCACTCCACCGGCCAAAGCTGCCGCTGTGCCGCTCGCGAAATCCTCCTTGTGCGTCGCCCCCGGCTCACGGAGATGCACATGGACATCGATGAAGCCGGGCAGCTTCACAATCCGGCGCGAGGTCATGCAGTCCGTGTGCGTCTTCATCGCCGGCTTGCCGCCGTTCAGACGCATCGATTCCACCAGCAGCTTGGTGCACTTCACGTCCGTCACCAGCGGAATCGAGTAGTCCACGGCCAGGCGACGGGTGCGGTAGCCATGGGTCATGAACGAGGAGACCCTGCAGTGATAGTAATATTATTTAGAAGGTGCAAAACTCGGAGATCATATATTTTAATATTTTATATATTTAATATTTTATTTACTATTTTTTATATTTAATATTTTATTAAATTTGTAATATTTTATTAAAATAACCAAGGGTAATCACTTTGGTAATATTTATCATACTAATATTATACTAAAAAAAAATTTGCAAAAATGCTAATAAACTTTAAAAATGATCGATATTTTCGATATATTCACAATATCGATTTTCACAATCCAAGAAAAAACTTTTTTTAAAGATCGAGAAATAGCAAACTGTCGATATTCTATTCTTTTAAGCTCTATTTTTAACTCTATTTATTTTGCTTTTCATGGAAGCAGGTAGTCCTAAAATAATTTCGATAAAAAATAAACTTTTTTTTAAGATTTAAACCACATAAAAGATTAGGATCATGACAAACTATTTTTTTGTGATTTGGCACTTTAAATACAACTAAAAAACAGACTAATAGCTTATTAGTAATCATTAAGGTGGACCTTAATTGAACACAAAAATTCTATAGAATGTTTTTATGGTAAGTTATAACACTCTAAGAAATGTACAAATTAAATACCACTAAAAACAGACTAATAGGTTATTAATAATTATTAAGGTGGACCTTAATTGTACACAAAAACTCTATAAAATGTTTTTATGGTAAGTTATAATACTCTAAGAAATGTACATTTTAATATTATTAATTTTGTAGTGTCTTCGTCTTAAAATCGGTCACAAAAGAGATATATTCAAGAGACCTGCCAGATTATCCAGATTACTAACCACCCCATTAGCTTATCGAGCCCCGTAAACCGAGTCAACACCACTCACCTCCTGGCGCCCCCGCCGCTCATGGGCAGGTTGATGACCAGGTCGAACTGCTTGTTGGCCAGGACCTCGGCCAGATGCCTCAGTTCCCCGTTGATGTCATCGGGCGTCGTCTTGTCGAACGTCCACTGCACAGATTCCACCTGCAAGGGCAAATACCAAAGGTATATTTAGAGCTGAGAGCGCTATCAGTTATCAGTTATCAGTTATCAGGGAGCCACCAGTACCGCCACCGCCAAGGCCACGTGTATATAGCTATAGTATATATTAGTCGACCCCGTCAACTTCAACTTCAATCAATTGTTTGCCCAGAGCACACCATAAAGATATCACTATTTATGGATGTTCCGTGTCTACATTCAAGACAATAGAACAACAGGCCATAACAATAGTACAGTGGAGCAAGAATCTTTAATTGATAGTTATATCATTCAATTGGAATATCCAAAAAAGTGGTCAAAATTGTTAGCATGATTTTTTATCATCAATCAAAAACCTATTACATATATTAAAAATATTTATAATAACTGATTTGGAATATTTCCATGATTTAATATCATCATACAATTAATAGCTGAATATAACATATTTTCCATTATTTTTAAAAATCTTTTCATATAGGATATATTTTTTTTTAACTGACATGTAGGTAAAATTCTAAAATAATTATTTACTTTAATAACATACATTTCGATAACTGCTTAAATCATATTTTTTTAATGTTTTATAACAGATTTATCCCTTTAAAAAATTACAATATTTTTTTGTACACCAAGATATTTCCCTTTTTGAGCGCTTTTAAACCACAGTGAAGTGAAAATCGATTCCGTTTTCGTTTGAAAGTATCAGGAACTGTCTGATAACGATTGGCCGGGAAACGGGAAAGAAGAACCCCAAGGAGGAGAAGGTGGCGGCCAGCCGGAAGAGTCGTCCACAGATCTTATCTTTCGCGATTGCCAGAGTCATTAATTGGTGATTGGTGGAACTCCGATCGCACATTTGCCCATTTCGTTATCAGAACCTTCAGTCACGAATCAACGATCGTCGATCATGGGCTGCTCCTGGTCGCGATCCGAGCAGGTGGAGTCCGCAGTCACCCCGAATGCCCTGCAGGCGGGCATTCCCGGCCAGCGTCACCAGCGAAGGCGTCGCCAGGAGGAGAAGCGTTTGCGCCAGCTGCAGAAGCTCCAGAAGCGCAATGCCCGCAAGCGTCGAAGGAAGAGGGGATCGGGATCTCTTCCCAGGCGCCGTCTCAGTGGCAAACCGCATCCCGATCTCGCCCTGCAACTGCGTCTGCTGGGCGGGAGCAATGGGAGCAGTGCCACCGAGTGCGTGAGTGCCTTGTATGCCAGGACATTGGAGCAGCAGCGCGAGGAGTTCCAGCGAACGGTGGAGCAGAGGACGCTGCTCCAGCTGGACCGGGAGCTGCACACCTTCCTGCTGAATCAACTGCTCCTGGGTGTCCAGTTTTTCGGGCACTTCGAGGCCGAGATGGCCACGGTCGATGCCCAAATCCTGGCCAGGCGGAGGAACTGCTCCACTGAGCAGCTGGCCGAGCACAGCCTGCTCCAGAGCAGCGCCATCGATGCGGCAGTCGCCAGGAATCTGCTCTTCAAGACGCCGTGAGTATTTCTTAAATTTTTCTTATCTTTTATTTATTTTATTTCTTGAATTTTTAATATTTTTCCTTGAGGTGTATTATATTTTACCTATTTCTTCAGAATCCTTTTTACCCTTTTATTAACATTTAATTAGTAATGTTGAACTCTAGTTTATATTTTCAATTTCCCCCCGATTTATTATTTTTGTCTTGATTTTCCTATCTTTTATCTTTGTATTTCTTGAATTTTTGATATTTTTTCTTTAAATCTATTATATTTTACTTATTCCTTTGGAATACTTCTAACCTTTTTTAAATTAAATTTTTAATTTTAGACTCTAAGAAGAATTTATTTTCTATTTTGACATTTACTCTATCTACGGAGTTAGTTATGTTATTAACTTTTTGCTAAAAACTCTAAGTTAATGCATTATTTTTAAATTCTTTAAGCATAATTATAGTTTATACTAATAATACCTAATTATTTTGGTTTGTCGTTTTTGAATAGATTTATTTTTAGTTTCACTTCCTCATAATATTTTGAAATAATGTGAGGCTATGTCTGTTGACAAATTTTTAAAATAAGATTTTTTTGTACCTAATAATATCTTTAAAGTGCTTCCTTATCATATTTTTTAATAATTTGAGGTTATGTCTATGGATACCTTTTTCAATAATATCTTTCAAGTACTATCCTATTATCTCAAGAAAGTACTCCACAGATCGTTAAATTATTTTCCTTTCAGTAATATTAAATTCTTTTAAGTACTATCCTATTATCTTATTTCCCTCTTTTATAAATTTGATCTTTTTCTAATGATATCTTGTACATTTTTCGTCATATCCCTATTTTTTCACAACCCCTTGCAGCTCCTCGAAGATCCCCCCACAACCGCTGCAGAAACCGGTGACCTATGTGGTCTTTGAGAACGTGGACGTGGCCCGACCCCACGACGCCAACTACGACACGGTGGCGTCGCTGTGCAAGGTGCTCCTGGAGACAGACTACTACCGGACGACGCCCTGCTCCTCGGAGTTTGTCCAGCTGATGGAGCAGACCCGCTGGCTGGGCTATGTGCGCCTCAAGCTGCGCGATTCCATGAATTTGAATCCCAATCCCAATCCTCTGGGGAGATCAATCAGCGATGAGGAGGCCATCTATTCGGGTTTCTCCTCGTCCAGCTCATCCTCCTCCTCGGGCTACAGTTCGGGGCACTACGATTACGTGTACCTGGCCAGGTTGAATACCCCGCGACCGCTGGATGAACTGCATCTGGGTGGGAATTTCGATTTCCAGCGGAATGTGCTGCCCGCGAGTTGTGTCCTCCGTTTGGCCAACTGCCTGCCGGCGGGAATGGAGCAAACGGATGATGAGGAATCCTCCTCCTCTGATGATTGCTCTTCCTCCTCCGAGGAGGAGGAGAAAGAGGAGGAGATTGGAGCTCCAGCCTATCCCCCAGCTGGCTATGAGACGGTCCAACTCCATCGGCAGTGCCATGTGGAGCAACTGCAGCAGTGCTACCTCAGTTCGCAGCAGTTTATGCTCTACTTTGGCGAGGTGCTCCGCCATCATTTGGCCCCCCAGTTGGGCCTGAGTGCCTCCCAATTGTCCACCAGTTCCCATCGTGGCTGTAGTGTTTATACGGATAGAGAGGAGCTGGTGCCCGCCATCCATGTGCCGCATTCCTGGCCAGATTGTGCCTTCGAATTCTGGTTGAGGGCTCGTCCGCGGCTAACCAATCTCCATACCGCCGAGCAGTTCCAATGGCCCACCGAGCAAATGAAGAAACGCATTCGTTCCTTTGGCTTCCATGTGGTGCCCATGGGCTATGCCCCGAAGCTCGGGAGGAATCCCTTCAGGGAGCTCGAGTGGCGGATTGTCTTTCCGCAGGCGGAGCAGTACCTCGAACGCCATTGCCTCACTCCAATGCAGCTGAAGGTCTTCCAGCTGATGAAGCTGCTGGTCAAGACATTCGTGGAGGATCAATCTTTGGATTCCCAATCACCGGGAGCTCTGCTCGATCAGCTGAGGGCCCATCTCTTTTGGCAGTGCGAGAGGCATAGCAACGATTGGCCCGAGGAGTTTCTGGGCGAGCGACTGGTGCGATTCATTCGCTCCTTCGACGCCTGTCTGGCCAGGAAGCATCTGAGCGACTACTTCATCGAGCGCCGGAATCTCTTCGAGCATCTGCCCGAGGATGCGCTGATGAGGCTGCGCTCCATCATGGCGGGCATTGCCGAGCAGCCGCTCATCCATGTGGTGCAGGCTCTGAGGAATCTCCAGCATTCGCCGGATTTTTATCCGGCGATGGATTATAAGCGACTGCTGGAGAATCTCTTTAGCCGGGATTATCTGGAGCTGCATGGCTGGGGGAAGTTCTCGCGTCCCCGACAAGGATTCCCCCAGCAGGAGGTGGAAAAGGAGGAAGCTGCTCCAAGGAAATCCTTGAAAAGGGAGGGAGAACTCACCGATGCCCGGGGACTCTTGGGTTTGGCCCAGCACCAGGAGAAGGTGAGGGGTAAGCTGAGGAGGAAGACGATGCTCCTAAGGGCAGCCACTAATCATCAGCGGGAGGAGGAGCAGCTGGAGCCCTCGGAGGCGAACTCTTTGGATCTACAATTACAGCTGGCTCGCAGCTCCTCCATCTCCAAAGAGGAAGAGCCGGGAAAACCGCAACTGAACAACGGTCTGGAGATCCTGCGACGCAGCAATCTCCTCGAGCTTCTGCTCGATCACCAGCTGGCCATGTTGACCCATTCCATTCGCTTTGGCAACCGGGTGCATGCCCAATTGTATCTGGAGCAGGGTCAGCGGCTGTGTCGCCTCTATCAGCATTTGGGTTGCTCCCAGCAGGCCCACCACTTCATCCAGGCGCTTCAAGAGTCCGCCGGCGAAATGGAGAACATGTCAAACGTACCGGTTGGCAACCTTGAATCCCCGCCAGCGCCAAGGAAATCCATCAAGTTTCAGGAGCATGTGGTGCAAATACACTCAACCCATCACTTGCCGCATCATCTGCAGGAGCACCAACTGAATGGGATACTAAGGAGGCGTCACCAGGAGCAGGAGGAGGAAACGGAGGTCATAGAAACCCAGCAGGAGGAAATAAGGAGTTGCATTGAGCAACCAAGGGGATTAAATCCTCAAGTGGAAGAAGCTAAAGAGGAGGCGGAGGATATAGAAGCAGGGGAATCCCCCAAGGAGAACCCATTAACCTCGCTTAATGGACTCCTCCAGCGACTAAATCTGGACAGCAAAACGGAGCAACTGGTCCAACGAGTGGCCCCCTCGGAGGCCAAACGGGAGGAGCTCAGGGAGATCCTCAAGCGCAACACGCAGAAGCTCAAGGGCGCCTTTAACTGAAGATAATGCCGATTAGTGATTATTGATAAGCCAGGTAGCCAGGTGTGATAGGATCGGCATAAGATACGGATACGACTAATACATACTGTAAATAATACTTAGTCTTAGGCCATAAAAAAACTGTATATAACCTATCTTGAAATCAGTATAACTACTGGTTCTACTAAGTGTATTATAAACCAGGTCATGCTAAATAAATATTTAACTACTTAATTATAAACTAATTCATGGCAAAAATATATCAGAACTACTCCAATTTGTTGATAAACATCTTCAGAAAAATCTAATTAAATGATAAAAATCTGAATAAATATGATTATATAAACATAATGGGAAAACAATTAACACTTAGGAAAAATGGAATTCAAATGTTAGTTTTTCTATAAAAAAAAGAAAATAGAACCCTGAAGTTTTAAAAATCAAATTTACTTTTTTAGTAAATATATTGAAAACATGTAAGTACACTCACGCACAATATTAGAAATCTCGCCATTAAAAATAGGAAAGAAAAATTTGTTGCTATTAGAAAAATCGCCTTTAAATAAAGAAAACCTTTTCCATATAAAAAAATGCAAGAACGAATTTTCCAGATTGTAATAAGGGAAATATATGTTATAACTCGTAGTCTTATAACTAAAGTTTTAAAGTTGTTTAAAAACTTTGAAGACTAATCGACTTAGAAATCCGTTTTAAAGGCAAAAAAACCCTAAGTATAAGATGTACTTGAGAATACCTTGAGAATATATATAAATACATAGTTTTTAGTACTCACATCGACGCCATGTTCTGCGTAAAAGTCGCCGGTGCCCATGGAGGCGTACAGCTTGTAGCCCATCTTGGCCAGGTCCCGGATGGAGGGCAGCAGCTCCATTTTGTGCTGCAAAAGAACAATCCAAAGATGTAATCAATAGAGTAGAGGTCATCATAGCCAACAAACCTTGAAGCTGCCGATGGAGAGGAGCACCGCATTCTTAGGAATCTGGAAGCCCGTCGACATCATGGCCTTCAGATAAGCCTCATAGCGATTGTCCCCGAAGCAGGCCACCTCGCCGGTGGAGGCCATCTCGACGCCCAGCTGGACATCCGCTCCGGCGAGCCGCGAGAAGCTGAACTGTGGCACCTTGACGCCCACCTTCCCGACTCCATGGAGCACATCCAGTGGCTCCACATCCAGGCCAACTATCGCCCTCGTCGCCGTGGCCACAAAGTCATGATCCAGGGTCTTCGAGACGAAGGGAAAGGATCGCGACACCCTCACATTACACTCAATGACCTTGAGCTCATTATTCTTGGCTATTAGCTGCATGTTAAACGGTCCCGTGACATCCAAAACGCTGGCCAAATCGCAGGTGATCTGCTTGATGGCCTTCAGAGTCTCCGCATTCAAATCCTGCGGCGGGGTGACCAGCGTGGCATCACCTGAATGCACACCGGCATTCTCCACATGCTCCGAAACAGCCATGCAAAGGATCCTTCCATCCGCCGCCACTGCATCCACATCGATCTCCTTGGCCTCGGTGAGGAACTTGGAGATCACCACCGGATGCTCGCGACTCACCTCGGAGGCGGCATTCAAATACGTTTCCAGATCCTGATTCGAGTAGGCCACATTCATGGCGGCGCCGGAGAGGACATAGGATGGTCTTACTAAGCAGGGGTAGCCCACCTCCTCGCAAAAGTCAATGGCCGACTGGAGGTTGGTCAGCTCCTTCCAACGGGGCTGCAGGATACCCTTTCTATCCAGCATTCTCGAGAATTTAAACCTATTCTCGGCGCAATCAATGGATTCGGGTGAGGTGCCCAGCACCTTGGCCTGCTGGCGATGCAGATCCATGGCTATATTATTGGGCAACTGGCCGCCCATGGAGAGGATGATGCCCTCGCTGTTCTCCAGCTCATAGATATCCATCACGACCTCGAAGCTGATCTCCTCAAAGTACAAACGATCGCACATGTCGTAGTCGGTCGAAACCGTCTCAGGATTATAGTTGATCATGATGGTGGGTCGCTGGAGTTTCCTCAGCTCCCTTAGACAGCCAACGGCACACCAATCAAACTCCACCGAGGATCCTATGCGATATACTCCAGATCCCACGACTATGGTATGACCACCTGGGAAATCCACATCGTGCTCACTCCCATTATATGTATTATACAGATAATTAGTGCTCGCTGGCCATTCGCCGGCCACCGTGTCGATCTGCTTGACATGGGGACGAATGCCGAACTCCTGCCGCTGATGACGCACTGCCAATTCGGAGCTCTTGGTGGCCTTGGCTATCTGCTTGTCCGAGAAGCCATAGCGCTTGGCCTGAAGGAGTAACTCCCTATCAATGCGAATACCCCTCGTGGATAGAAGAGTTCTCAATTCTATAATCCTCTCCAGCTTGTGCAGGAACCAGCAATCAATCTTGGTCAAATCATGCAGCCCCTGGACGCACATGCCTGATTCGAGGGCAGCGGCTAAGACAAAGGGTCTCCTATCCGTGGGCTCCGATAGTTGCTCTTGATCCAGGGCAACGACATCGGGTTCAAAGCCCAGCACATCGCTGTCCACCATGCGCAAAGCCTTCTGGAAGGCCTCCTCGAAGTTCCTGCCAATGGCCATCACCTCGCCGACGCTCTTCATCGAGCTACCAATGTGCTTGCTAACCCTCACGAATTTGGCCAAATCCCAGCGCGGTATCTTGACCACACAGTAATCGAGGGAGGGCTCAAAGCAGGCTGTTGTATTTCCCGTCACCGAGTTCTTGATCTCAGGGAGAGGCAATCCCAGCGCTAGTTTAGCCGCCACATAGGCCAGTGGATAGCCGGTGGCCTTGCTGGCCAAGGCGGAACTCCTCGACAGCCGGGCATTTACCTCGATGATGTAGTATTGCTCGGAGTGCGGATTCAAGGCATACTGTATATTACACTCGCCGACGACGCCAAAGTGACGAATGACCTTCAAAGCGGTGCTCCTCAGCATCTGATACTCCCGATCCGATAAAGTTTGCGACGGGGCCACCACTATACTCTCGCCCGTGTGTATGCCCAGCGGATCAAAGTTCTCCATGTTGCAGACCGTAATGCAATTGTCGTAGGCATCGCGAACCACCTCGTACTCCACCTCCTTCCAGCCCTTCAGCGATTTGTCCACAATTAGTTGACTCGAATGGGCCAGCGCCTGTTGAGCGAGACTCTGCAGCTCCTGCTCGTTGTTGGCAAAGCCAGAGCCCAATCCTCCGAGGGAAAAGGCGGCACGGGCCATTACAGGGTAGCCCAATCTACCAGCCGCATCGAGGGCTTCGGCAACGGAGTAAACCGCCTCTGAGGGCGCCACCTGCTCACCAATCTCATTCACCCGCTCGGCAAATAGTTTGCGATCCTCCGTCTCGATGATCGATTGAATGGGTGTGCCCAGTATGCGCACGTTGTATTTGCTGAAGATCCCTGCTCGCTCCAATTCCACGCCGCAATTGAGCGCCGTTTGGCCGCCAAAGGTGAGGAGTACGCCATTCGGTCGCTCCGACTTGATCACCTGCTCCACATAGTGCGCGGTGAGGGGCAGGAAGTAGCACTTGTCGGCCATTCCCTTGGAGGTCTGCACCGTGGCTATGTTCGGATTGATCAGCACCGTCTGTATGTTGGATTCCCGCATCGCTTTGATGGCCTGCGAGCCGGAATAGTCGAACTCACCGGCCTGACCGATGGAGAGGCCGCCGGAGCCGAGGATTAGCACCTTGCGGGGCTTCTCGGGGATTCCCTTCGTGGGATTAAGCGTACGCAATCGCTGCTCGATGAGCTGCGGTATGGAGAGATCCCGCTGGGAAATGCTCTCCAGGAAGACGTCAAAGAGGAACTCCGTATCCTGCGGCCCGGCATGATGCTCCGGATGAAACTGCACCGAAAAGTAGGGCTTGCTGGCATGGACTATGCCCTCATTGGTCCCATCGTTGGCGTTCACAAAGAGCTCCGACCAGCCGGCGGGCAGCTGCTCCAGATCGACGGCATATCCATGGTTCTGCGAGGTCATCAGGCAGCGGCCGGTGGCGCGGTGCAGGCAGGGCAAATTGTGGCCACGATTGCCGTACTTCATCTTGTACGTGGAGCAGCCGATGGCCTTCGCCAGCAGCTGGTGACCCAGGCAGATGCCGAACACTGGCTTCACACCCTCCTCGATCACTTTGCGAACCTACAAAAAAAATAGGGATTGTAGTTAGTTGGGAAGTAGATAAATTCCAGTTATATGTCTAAAAATTACAGCAAACTTTTGCCACTTAAAAATATTTATTTTGGTAAAAACTAATCTAATCTATTAATCAATATTTCAATTGTAGAATTTAGAACGGATTTTGTACTTGAGTTAGTTAGGAAATAGATAAATCCCAGTTATATGCCTAAAAATTACAGCAAACATCTATTGATATATTGAATATTTTTCCACTTTTGCCAATCAAAGAGTTTTTTTGTTAAGAAAATATTTATTTATTATTTCCGAGTTGAAATCCCACTGCTAGAAATAGAAATATCTATTAATCAATTTTTCAAAATTGTTTAAAAGAATTTAAAATTTAAGCTAATATCAAATGTGATTATTCTGGTAAAAGCTAAAGAAACCATTTTTTTATTCGTTGTATTTGATTCATTTTTAATACTCAACCTCATATTAAATGCAATTTTAAATAAGTAAGTAAATTAGTTAAAAATGTAATATGACAAATAAAAAAAAAAAAAGAAATTTAATTAAATTAAAACAAAATTTTTTTCAATTTTCATTTGTAATATTTAAAAAATAAAAAAAATTTGTACTCGAGTTGTGAAAATATAAAAAACTATATATATATCTATAAATTATTTATTTTAAATGTAATTTAAAAAAAAATATCACAAAACTGGAAAACAGAATTAAATCAAACTTTGAGTAACGTTTTTAGTAATCACCTAATTTGTATTTAGCCTAGGTAATTCCTTCGATTTGGTATCAAAACAAAATCATACTTGTACTTAGACTTTTTGATTTTTCATCGTGTAGCAACTTTTTTGTAATAAACCAAAATTTTTGGTGATCATCTTTAAAAAAGCATTACAAATTTTCACAACTCACCTGTTGGACGATCTCGTCGCAGCTCTCGGGATTACCGGGTCCGTTGGACAGGAAGAGGGCGTCGAACTGCTCCTCCTCGAGGCGGGCGTTCCAGGGTAGCAAAATCACCGAGGCGCCGCGCTGCAGCAGGCATCGCAGCTGGTTGAGCTTCAGTCCGCAGTCGAGGATGGCGATCCGGGGTCCCTTGCCATTGGGATCCCCGTAAACGCGACGCTCCTGCACACTGCACTCCTTGGCCAAATTGCGGGTGTTCGGATCGAGGAAACTGGACTTGGGCAGCCCCTCAACCGGTGGCTTCTCGTAGACAATCCTGCCCAGCAGGCTGCCCTGTTCCCGCAGCTTTTTGGTCAGGGCTCGGGTGTCGATGCCACTGATGCCGGGCACTTTGTGCTGCTTCAGCCACTTTGGCAGCGTCTTCCAGGTGCGCCAGTGCCAGGCCGCATCGGCCACCTCGCCGACCACCAAAGCGGTGGCCTGGACGACGCCCTGCATCCACTCGAAGTGCAGCGGCAGCCCGTGCTCGTCCTGCTCATCCGGAGACGGAACGCCGTAGTTGCCGATCAGCGGGTACGTTAGCACCAGGATCTGGCCGCTGTACGAGCGATCCGTCAGCGCCTCCGTGTAGCCGACCATGCCCGTCTGGAAGACCACCTCGCCGCCAACGCCGCCTGCTCCCGATTTGTCCGCGGGAACGTGGCCAAAGGAGTGGCCCGGCATCACGGTGCCGTCCTCCAGTGCCAGGTAACAGTCCGCAGGGGGCATCATGGATGGTTGGTTGCTGGGGAGGAGGAATAGAGCGGATTAGAAAGCAGCACTGGGTCACCTTAAGGTTTATTTCCAGGGAGAGCGGGGTCACCAAACCCTTACTTTTTGTGAGATCTAATAAACCATTTCTTATTATAACAAATACTAAATTATTTTCAATACCTTTCTTAAATATAAATAAAATGGGTAAAGAAAATTAAAATTGTTATTTTTAAAACTTTAATGATTTTTCGATCATAGCTATAAAAATATTTATCCAAATATGGAATGCCATACCTCGTTGAACTCGTATTTAAATTCTCAAGCGATTGACATTCCAACCTAGAAATTTTTAATTTTTGCCAATTTTCGCAAAAAATTATGATGTAACCCCTTATCAAAAAAGTGAAATTTGGGTCGAAAATTGATTTTTCCAAATCAGACGGAAAGTTTACTAATATTAATTCTTAGGTTGTTAGCTGCTCAAAACAGTACGCCTTTTTTATTTGGGACCATTTTTGTCCAAGTTACAGCAAAAAATCGATTAGAAAAAATTTCAAATTTGCACCCAAAATCAAAATCCTGATTTTCCACCCAAAAAAGTATAGTATTTTGGTCATACAAATTTAAATAATAATCCAAATATGGAATGTCATACCTCGCTGAGCTCGTAATAAAATTCCCTATCGATCTGCATTTAAACCTGCAAATTTTTAATTTTTGCAAATTTTAACAAAAAATTATGATGTAACCCCTTATAAAAAATATGAAAATTTGGTCAAATATTTATTTTTTTAAATCAGACGGAAAGTTTACTTATATAAATTATTAGGTTGTTAGCTGCTCAAAACAGTATGCCTTTTTTATTTGGGACCATTTTTGCCCAAGTTACAACAAAAATCGATTAGGAAAAATGTAAAATTTGCCCCAAGAATCAAACTTTTGATTTTCCACAAAAAAAAAAAAGTATTTTGGTCGTAAAAACGGAAACAGTGATCCAAATATGGAAAAAAAAACAATGAAAATAATGCAATCGGTTACGGTAACGGTTTGTTATCACATTCCATTTGACAACTGTCTTCAATAAACAAGTAAAGTTAATTAAGAAAAGGATATCATATCTCTTCAAAGGTAGGAGTAAATAAAACAGACAGAAATCAGATAGCGATATACTCTTTGATGAAAATAGACAGGTATTGCTGGAAAGCAACGAGTGCACCTAACGTACCAAATATACCCTCGATTTTGTACGATTAATTGTAATTTAAAGTTACGATTTTCCTAATTGTTAAACAGTAAATAACTATAAAACATGAACACTAATTCGTTAAATAAATAAATAGATTTAAATTAAATACTAAGTATTAAAACAGTTAAATATAGATTCGAATTTTAAAGTTTTAAGTTTTTTATAATAAGAAGGAAATGTAATATTCACTTTCAGTGATCAAATACCGAATATCCCTTTTGATTTTACAATTCCAGGGTACCAAAATACCAAATACGCCGCAAAAGCAACATGTGTTTTTACACACACACACGCACATAGAGTGCCGGCATCTACATACGTATACTCTTATGAGAGTATATGGAAAATACAATATTCAGATATACATATAGATGTGTATACAAATGCCCCGTCTGGCAACATGTTGCGCGCGGGTCTAATACGATTCTGATTGGGAATGGACGGTGCTTATCAAGTGGCTTAATTTGTTGTTATTGTTGCTTTTCACGGTTTGTTTACACAGATAAAAGAGGAAGAGCGACTCTCGTGTGCGTGTGTGTTTGTAAGCACGTGTGTGAACTTTGGTTTTGGAAACCGGTTCGTCTCGGCGACTGAGAAAAACAATAACAAAGGCTTTGGGGCTGGAAATTGCGTGAATAATTTGCAAGATTTTATTAAGACGCACTTGTAGATATGTATTTTTAATGCCACATCCTTCGCACACACCCACACATTACACCAGCAACTACATGCACACTCACAATTCCTTGTTCTATCTCAAGCTCTCTTTTTGTCTCTCGCTCAGCTGCGCTTGTAGTTGTGAACACGTTTTAGTTTCGATTCAAACGCGCCTTCTGCCGTTTGTTTCGCGATACCGTTATCCCGTTATCAGAGCTGGCCAATTTCGCACATTTAACACTGTTTACGTTGTTGCTCGCTTGCGAATTGACTTCAATTAGCGTGTGGCAAATGAAAGTCAAACAACCGAATTCAGCGCCCAGTTAAAACGGACTCAGTGCTTGCTAGGCCCTAAAAAATGCCACAGAAAAGTTTAGCCCATTGGTTGTGAACTCTGCTAAGGTATTTGCTGGGCTGGTGGTTGGGAACTTGGCTAACATTGCACCCAGGTGGCAGCTCTGGCGGCTCAACGGTCACTTATCGCTAGAAATTGGGCATATTTAAAACGAATTTTGAGAACCACTCAATTAATGTATGCGGGAAAGTCAGTCTACCAAATTCAGCGCCTATTAAAAACTAAAAAATGCGACGGAAAAGCTTAGCTCAGTTTATGGTTGGTAACTTGGCTAACATTGCACCCAGTTGGCAGCCCTGGCGGCATCGCCTGGTCATCGCCATTGCTATCGATATCGCCGGCTTGGAAAATAAACAGATTTTAAACCAAGATTTTATCAGCGGGAAAGCAATGAACTGGGCCCCTGGACTCTGTCTGCTGGCCATGGCCGTGATGGGCGGTGCATCGGCCTCCATGGACACCGCCTTCCTCACCCCCGGCAGCGTCATCAATGTGACGGCAAACGAGTTGGGAACGCAGACTTTGCGCATCTATTGCTACGCCGGCAAGCGGCACTCGGTGCTCGATCTCTTCGAGACTCTGGAGCTCCGGCTGGCCATCGGCGGCGAGGACTATGCCCAGTACGGCGGGCGGTCGCCGGAGGAGGTGCGCGAGCACTACGACGAGCAGCGCTCCCTGTTCAGCATCACGCTCTTCTCGCAGAAGCGCCAGCGCCTCCAGCTTTCGCCCTTCGAGCAGCAGTGCATCGGGATCTCGTCCAGGCAGCAGTACAGCGTCATCCTGAACACCATACCGCTGGATCTGTGGCGGCTGGCGCAGCTCTCGCTGGGATTCCTCATCTTCTGGAGCGCCCGGCGGCTGGCGAAGAACAGCGGTTTCTACTATCTCGCGGGGATTGTCGTGGGGATTTGCGCCTCCCTGCTGGTGGTCATCTATCTGGCCGCCAAGCTCTTCCCGCGCCGTCCCATGATGTACGGCGTGCTGATCGGCGGCTGGACGATTGGTTTCTATGTGCTGAAGCAGTTGGCTGACAACCTAAGACTAATCCTGCTCACCTACCGCGACCATGTGGTGTGGTACCTGGTGGTCACCGGGCTGATCTCCTTCCTGGTGGGTATTCCAGCTTCCTGGGGTCACTTTAGGGGGGGGTAGGATTTTTTTTTAATTTTTTTCTTCTAGCTTAACATCTTAAGATTATACAAAAAAAGTTTCATGTCATTCGGACAAAAACTTTACAAGTTATGCTTAAATTTGTACCCTAGGCTCTAAGACTTTAGGTAATTAATTAATTTAATTTCATTTTTTAACTTTAAATATTTTTTTTTAAGCCGAAAGTCACAAATTTTTAGGTGAAAAACGCATTTTTGACTTTGGTTTTTTTTTAATTCTTAAAAATATCGATTTTTTTTACATTTTTTTTCTTGTAGATTAACATTTTAAGATTATACAAAAAAAGTTTCAAGTCAATCCGACAAAAACTTTAGAAGTTATGCTAAAATTAGTACCCTAATCTCTAAGACTTTAGGTACGCAAGTGCGTTTTTTTTTTAATTTTTTAACTGTAAATAATAATAATAATAATAATAATAATTTAAGCCGAAAGTCACATTTTTAGGTGAAAAACGAATTTTTAACTTTGGAATCTCAAGAAAAAATTCTCAAAAATAAAATATTAAAAAAAGGGCTTTCCAGGGGGCGGGTTTTTTTTTAATTCCTAAGCGAAATGTAAAAACAAAATGAAAATCCGATCATTTTTAGCGGAGGTACAGTGAACACCGCAAAACGCCTTTACTTCTAATAGTGTTCCAGCAATAAAAATTAGTGGATTTTACTTAAATGACACTTAATAATATACAAAAGGTTTGAATTAAATCCATGCAACCAGTTTTTATAGAAAAAATCGCAAAGTTGTTGCCCTTAAATCCATGCTAACGTTCTCCTTTCCTGCAGATTTGCTATCGCATTGGGCCGCCCAGGAATCCGCGCTCCCAGAACATCATCATGTGGGTGCTGCAGGCGATGGGCCTGGTGATGGTCTACTTCAGCAGCTGGCATACGAGCGCCTTGGTCTTCCTGATGGCCCTGGCCTTTGTGGCCCACTACTTTCCCCGCTCGTGGATGCACTACGTCAAGGCGATGTACCGTCGCCGCTTCCCGCCGAAGAGGCAGCTGCTCACCCAGGAGGAGTACCACCGACAGACGGCCATTGAGACCTCGAAATCGCTGTCGGAGCTGAGGAAATATGTGAATAGTCCCGAGTGCAAGCAGTGGACGGTGATCAGCAATCTGAGGAATCCCATGCGCTTCGCCTCGTTCGCCAATGGGGCACCGCATCTGGACGACGAGGAGATCGAGGACTATTCAAGGGCCATCGAGGAGGAGGCGGCGCCGCAGGAGGATCCCGAGGAGTTCCTGCAGTGCAGCATGTACTACCGTCCGTCGAATCGTTCGCGCCACCGGGTGAATATACCGCTGCCGCCGCAGCTGCCGAATTCCCAGTTCCGCCGGCGACTGGCCGCCCGCGATGCGGATGACGAGGAGAGCGAGGATGAATACCTGGAGCAGGAGCAGTAGCTAGCCATCGGCTAAACCAAAAACTCATTAGGCTAAGTTCAGACCATTTCAAAACTCGTTTGTATTTCGTTCTTTTCGTTTGTTAGTCTTCGTTTTCTTATTTTTTTCATTTATTTTTGTTTTTTCCGTGTTCCTACTGGACTGAAACTCACTGTACTTATTCATTCGAGACCCATTTTCCCTGTGACTGGTTAGGCATTAAACGAAATTCGTAAGTTTACACTATCGAGAGTATTTATTTTATGGTAAATGTATGGAAAACATGTAAGTACACCCACACACAATATTAGAAATCTCGCTATTAAAAATAGAAACAAAATTTCTTGCTAGTAGAAAATTTTCCTTTAAAAAAAGAAAACCTGTTCCGACTGGACTGAAACGCACTGTACTGAAGTTTGTCAGTTTACACTATCGAGTGTATTTATTTTATGGTAAATATATTGAAAACATGTAAGTACACTCACACACAATATTAGAAATCTCTCCATTAAAAATAGACAAAAAATTTCTTTCTAGAAAACGAAAATTTGTAAGTTTACACTATCGAGTGTATTTATTTCCCCGCAAAAACGGACTCCACCCATCCCGTTCACTTTGGCGCCGCACAATCGATGGGCAGCCACTGACAGGCCTCCGAGGGCGGCGTGTGCATCTGACCCGGCAGCATCTTCACCAGCCTGCGCTCCTCGTCGTACTTCTCGGCCGCACAGAGCGTGAGATCGCGCTGCCGGAAGATGAGGGCGTCGCCGGCATAGGCGATGCTCCAGAAACTGGACGACGAACTGGGACTGCCCGAGCGCAGGGCGCCCAGTCGATTGGCCTGCGTGGGATCCACGAAGAAGTACCATTTGAAGAGCTCGCTGCGCAGCGTGAAGACAGGCGGTCCATCGGAGTGCTGCTGCTCCTGGACAAACGCGCGGATGAGGCCCGCGGAATCGGTGTAGTTCTGCTCGTGCCAGGCGAAGACCTGCCTGCCGTTGAGCCCGTAGTTCCACTCATCCGTGATCGTCGTGTAGATGTACTCGCGATCGGAGCGACTCAACAAACAGAAGCCCTGCGGATGGAAGAGCAGCGCCAGCACAGCGGGCAGACTTTTGGCCACCGACTCCACTCGCTTCTGCAGCGAACCATCCACGCTGGCGTACATGTGATGCGTCCTAATCTTGCTGACCATGTGCGCCATGTTAAACAGGAACGCCTCGCTGTCGTCCTGCATGGAATGGTAGCGCCAGAAGAGCACCAGCTGCGCCTCGATCATCATGCGGAAGCTCACCTCGTCGCGATCCGCGTAGATTTGCTCCAGCTGCTGGACCAGCCTGTCCGCCGGCCGATGGAAGTACACGTCCTCGATGGCGCGCACCAGGATGTCCCTGACCAAAGCGGGCTCCACGCTGGCCGCTATGTACATGCCGTACGTCCGGAGGCTCTCCTCGGCGTTCAGCTGGTTGGCCAGCCGCTGGGCCATCAGCGTCCTCAGGTGGCGGCGCACCTCCTGCTGCAGCTCGCAGGCCGACCGCCCGGCGGCCCCGCTGCTGCACTGCATCTCGTCGCGGATGAAGGCGCCCAGCTGGCCGTAGAGGCCCTTCACCTTGTCCGTGTCCTCGGCGAAGTCCGAGCGAATGGCCCCCCAGATGCTGTGGAAGACCTGCAGCTTGTCTCCGCGATTGGCACTCCGCACGCTTAACTAAAATTGGAGATAGATTTTATGTACAAATTACTCTTTGATCAAGGTAAAAGACTTTTATAATAATATTTATGCTGAAAAATTAAAAAATTGTTTAAAAAACAAGTTTATACAAGTTTGTACAGATTTTTAGGGATTGTAACTATTTTAAAGCTATAATTCTGTATTATTCTCTGTGGATATATTTTAGACAACCTGAAAGATAGTAATACTTTTTGAAAACCATTATAATATTTATATCTATAATGGAATTGAATTGATACTAGACAGTGAAATATTGTTAGGCTTATATATGATCTTTGTTTTCTAAACAAACCCTGTATTATTCTACTTGCATATATTTTAAATAACCTAAAAGATAGTAATACTTTTTGAGAACCATTATATTGGAATTGAATGGATACTAGAAATACTACATATGGATCTTTGTTTTTTAAACAAAACCTGTATTATTCTCCTTAGATATATTTTAAATAACAAAAAAACAATTATAATTTGTATATCTTTCGAATGGATTTGATACTGGAAAATAAAATAATGCTTAGCCTACATATGGATCTTTGTTTTCTAAACAAAACCATAAATTATACTACATAATAATCACTAATAATTACTCATTATTAATCCGATGACTGTGATTTCTTTTAGATCAAACTTTTTAGGAGTATTGAGCCACAAACCCACCTGAATGTTGTCCAAGTCGGGTTCCAGGGGCAGAACCTCGCCAGGAACGCCCAGTGGAACGCAGGGGAGGAGCAGGAGGAACAGCAGGTGCATCTCGTTGGAGGATCGTTGGCCTACTGATTAGTGGGATTGCGCTGGGTGGAATGAGCCACCCATTGGCTTATCGGCCGGAGAGGTCAGCGCAGGTCCATCTTGATTTGCTTGGGTCTATCGTCGTCGCTCGGAGCCGCCGGCAGTGGTCGCTTTTGCCCCACCATGGCCACCGATTTGATGCGCTGCGTCAACTGTTCCATTTCCATGGGAATTGGATTGGGATGGCGTGGTTCCCGCTCTCTCCTTGGCCGGGGGATCACAAATTTCCGGTATATTTCCTCCAGCCGATCCAGCGAAAGACTCTCCTCATCGGGCAAATATATCTCCCTCTGTAATGTAACCATGTACTTTACTTATTCAAGACCTTCTGTTATATTTTATACCTTTTTGAGCTCCTTCATCATATCATCTCGGGACAGATCCAAGTCCATTTTCCAATATATTCTGTATTTTTATTTAAATACTATGATCAAAATATAAACAAAGGTCGGTTTCTTATCTACATATAAAGCGATGGGAGTCTAAAGATTATGTCCCCATCCGATATATCGATAATTTACTTATTAAAAAATAAAAAGAATGTTAGCTTAAATTTATAAAAATGTACTTTACTTTACTTTTCGGAAAAACAAACAAATAAAAATTGCTTCACCTAAAATTCACAAAAATTCCAATGTTTTTTAAAACCACTTCCTCCAAAAAGAAACTATTTCCAAGTCCGATGAATCTGAATATTTTGTCCGATTCTTTTCAGAAGTCCTCTTTTATAAATGCTCAAAAGACCACATCCGCATATGTTGTTTTTATCTTTATTTGAAATTGATTTTTAGCAATCGCTAGGTTTATATATAATTTTTCGACTATAATTTCATTTAAATATTATGGTTGTTGCGTGAAGGCTTAATCGATTAATTTAAAATAAATTCATTAACAATTCGTTTCAACAAAATAGGTTTTGTTCATAGATATATCTGATAATACGTAATTAGCATAAATAATTGGAACTTGCTGAAAATCGATTCATGGAAATTCAGTGCCAAAACCTCCATAGGTTTATCCTACACATACATATATATATATATATATCGCCCGATCTGATATATTCTTACAATACAAATGGTATAAGTTCTTTACACATAATTAAAGCAAACTTTCTCTTTTGCTCCTTAAAAAACAAATAAAACTCAAAATGAATCCTTGAAAATAAATAAAACCAAAATTTTCCTTTTTTGTCTGTCTATGTCTTTCTCAGTAACGTTTTTTCTGTGTGCCTCTGTGGTTTCTTGATCTTTTGTTATTAACAATTTACTTGCGTTAAGTTTTTGAAACTCCCTAAACTTTGGTATAATATCGTTATCGTATAGATCAATAGCTAATTTCTCAAGATATTTGTGTGTTCCATTAAATCGTTACTTTAGCTACAAAATTGAAAAAGGCTGTGAAGTCTGAAGTTCTGGTTGTTTTTTGTTCGTATTTCTTTGTGCTTCGGGGAGTCGTTGTCTGAATTTTAATCTTTTTTTTTTTTCGTAATCCAATGGGTTTGTTTAAAAAGTCTGTGCTAGCTTATGAACAAAGTCGATTTGGTTGCAGCTGCTCCAGGATGTCTCTGGGTTACCATATAGGTCCTATATATTAGGTAGATGCAAATATCGCGGTGCAAAATTGAACACGTTCTATAGCCCGTTCCCTAGACGTCGATCACGCTGTCGTTCTTCTTCATCTCCATGAGATGGGTCTGCTTGAGCTTCTCCTGCATCTGGGTGAGCATGTCCTGCATCCTCCGTATCTCCTCGTCCTTCTGCAGCAGCAGCCTGTCCGTCTCCGAGATGGCGGCATCGAATCCGTTGGTCGAGCTGATCGAGTCCCGCTTCAACTTTCCCCGCTCACGGAGCGCATGCTGCGAAATCTGCGAGATGCACTGCGCCCGGAAGTTCTCGTAGTGCACGTCCTGCAAAAAATGAGCAACATTTTAATTTAGTACAACTAGAAAAATAATTGGGTTCTTTATCGACCGAAATTTTCTATTTTTTAGTTTAGTAAACCAGTTCCATTGGGAAATCCACAATATTAACCTATACTAAAACTATTTTATATTGAATAGATACTTTTTACGAAATTTAAGAATGAAATTCCAGCATTTTAAATTACTTATTATAAATTTTTTATATTTTCTGGCTTGGTTTAAAAAAATTAAATAATATAGAAACTGTGTCTTTGGAACTGCCATATTTTTATAGATTTTTAGATATTTTAGAAATACCTCCAAAATAAGGGTTAATAATCTTTTTCGGGATGGTTTTTAAAAATAAATAATCTAGAAACTGTGTCTTTGGAACTGGACTATTTTACTATACTTTACTGTACTATTTTTAAACAAATCAAGTCAGGTTCATTAGGAAATCCAAAATATCTACATTAAAACTATTTTATTTTAAATAGATATTTTTACGAAAAATAAGAAAAAATCCCTGTGTCTTTAAATACTAAAATAAATTTAAATAATCTATAAATTGTGTCTTTGGGACTGTACTATTTGATAGGTTTTAAGATATTTTAGAAATATCTCAAAAATCGCAGATCCCCAACCCACCTGCGTGGTGTCCTTGAGGTCCTGCATGTGCGTGGATATCAAGAAGGTGCGCAGCTTGATGAAGTCGCTGTGCTCCGGATCCTCCACGTTGACCACGCCCCACGGATACTGGCGCCCCCGCACCTTCTTGCCGGCCACCTCCAAAATGGTATTGCTGCCGACGACGGCGAACGGGATGGAGGCCTTCAGCTCGCGATCCTGCTGCTTGAAGTCGTCGTCCTCGTCGGAGTCGCACTCGGGGAACTGGTACAGCTGGATGTGGTTGTCCTCCAGGTCCTGCAGGATGCGCTCCTTCAGCTTGCGCACCTCCTGCTTGTTGAGGCAGTCGGCCTTGCCGATGACCAGCACGATGTTCACCTTGCGGTGCAGCCGCCGGATCAAGTCGAGGTCCATCTGTCGCAGGCTGCAAGGATTTGGCAAGGATTAGATATTATCTATAGGGAAAAATAATAAACTACTAGCAATTTTAAGATATAAATATAACAAATAAAAAAAATGTATTTCCTTTAATTACTTTTATCTGCCATATTGCGCACCATAATTTGTTAAAATAAAAAAATAAAACCTTATTTATGACACACATTATTTGGCAACTTTATCAAGAGTCGAATGAATCTAGAATCATACTTGTCACGCATGAGGAATTGTTTTTAATCGCATTTTTTGAATGACACACAAGGGAAACGGTATTTTGATATCTAGAACGTTTAAATTAAGTATTACGAATTTGTGGATTTTTTTAACTGGAGAAATAATAAAAAAATTGCTTTGACTCTAGATTTATTTGTAAATATTTTTAAAAACATGTAAGATGATAAACTTTTTAATTTATAGTAATAAAAGAGTCTAAAATAAAAATGCAATTACTCTCCTACAGCCAAAACTGCTCAGTTTAAAAATCTAAAAACAAAAATCGAAATTCGGAAATAAATCAAAGATAAATACAAATATATCCCACTTAGCGAGACCCACCTGTGGCCCCAGGGCGGGACAAAGTAGAGGCAGCAGTGCACCCGGTTATCCTGGATGTTGCGCCGATTCAGGCCGCTCTCGTCGGTGAAATACTGGCGGAACTGCTCGTCGATGTACTGGGTGCACACCCGCCAGCTGTCCTCGCAGTTGATGGCATCCCCGAAGCCCGGGGTGTCCACCACCGTCAGCCGCAGGCGGACGCCCCGCTCCTCGATGTCCATCGTCTTCTTCTCGACCTTCGTCGTCTTCTCGATGCGCTCCTCCACATTGGGCATCTGCCGGTTCTTGTACAGATCGCCCAGGAAGAGGCTGTTGATCAGGGTGGACTTGCCCAGCCCCGACTCGCCCACCACCATCAGGGTGAACTCGAAGCCCCGCTTCACCGACTTCCGGTGCACTTGCTCTGGAAGGGTGGCGAAGCCTATGTAATCCCGATCCTTGTCGAACGAGGGCGTCTTAGCTGCAAGGGCAGAGATATATGCACGGTGATTTAAATATTAGAATTTATATAAATTAATTTGGAATATTAAGAACATATGAAAGTTAAGTTAAGGAGTTTTATCCCTGATAGCCATTGATAATAAAGTAATTTTTCATTTAAATAGTAGGTACCTAAAAATTTACAAAAATTTAATATATTGTAATATAGATAAAATATAATATAAATAATAATAATAGTATAGTAATTATAGTATAAATAGATGGCAAAGAAAATTAATTTCTTATGACTGTTATATCCCAAATCAAATGGAATCCTTAGGCTCACAACCTAAACAGTATTATTTTAATAATATTATATTAGAATATTATTTTAATAATTGAAATAGAGAACCGATTTAAGTAATAAAGCTATCAAATGTTATGAAACTTTAACAGATGGCGAAGAAAATGAATTCCTGATGATTGTTATATCCCAAGTTAAATGGTAAGGATTCTCAGGCTCCTTTTTTTCTGAGTGGGTGAAGTGAAGTGAGGAGGAGTGAGCACACAAAACGGGCTAATCGACTGAAGGACCTTGCACTTGGGTCTTGAATCTTGAATCTCGGTTCTTGAGCGACTTCATCGCCGTCTCATTAGGCAAATGAAATGGTGGAATGGCTTTCGAGTGGAGGAAGTGGAAGTGGGTAGGTGTACGCCTAGTACCCTCAAGGATGTTCCTTACACATATTCCTGCTGCTGCTGGTGTGTCCTGTGTCCTGTAGCTCCTCAATTCCTGCCGCCCCTTCCCGCCGAGTTTCGTGTGTATACGGAACGCCTACTTAAAACGTAATTGGCCCAAGCCTCGCCACTTTTTCTGCCTTCCGGGTTTTCACTGTATCTCCGCCTGTGTTTATCAGCAAATTTGCCACATTGTCGGATTGTTTGGTTCTTTGGCCGTTTATTTAGTTATTTCTTTCGTTTTTTACTTAGCGTCTGTAGTTTTGTTTGTTATTTGTTTGGTCGTTTGAAAAAATAAATCCCCGAGTTTGATGAACACTTTATTGTATTGTGGTGGAGCTGCAACTGGGCAACTGGCGAGCGAACTGCCCTAAAACCATCCAAAATTAATGGGCTCTCTTTACTTCTCTCTCTCCCACCCACTTGCCACGCCCCCCCGCTCCGCCCCGCGAGGATGTGCTACATGAAGTGGCAACACCGAAATGCAACTTTCACCCGTACTATCACCCTCTATTCGCTCGTTCTCACGGCGCCTGCGCTCAAGGACCTGGCCCAAACTAGCGGAAGCCCGGAGAAAAGTGGACCAGATGTTACGGGGCTTTTTGGCCGAAACGGTCGACCCACGGCGTTGCCAGATAGTTACAATAGTTACGAAAATTTTTGGATTTTTTAAAATTTGTAATTATTTAAGAAACATTTTCAAGTCAATTTACGGAGATTTTAAAAGTCTAGATATTTCTATGACTGAAAAGTGGTTCACAGATATTTTCTGAAAATTTCTTTTTACCTAAACTTTTCTAGCCTTAAAAATGTTTTGTTACATTTTTGGTTGGTTCTTAAAAGCAGTCAGTGCCTAAAATAGTTATCGTTTTATGATCACATATAAAAACCCATAAATTTGAATACAAAATATTAAAAAATAAACAAAAATTGTGTTACTTCTTCACAGATATTTTTTAAAAAGTTTAACAAATGTACTGAGAACTTTTGCAAATGTAATTTAAGGGTATCCCCTTTTGCAAGCACATTTAATTTTTTCTTTGCCTTTCCTTCTCAGGTTTCTTGCATTGCCTCACAAACGATTTGGAGTTCCCACCCCGGTCAGCCTGGGTACTTCCCCTTTCCGCTCCTTGAGATATGGTAGCACTGGTTGAGGGCCACTCCACCCCCGTGGCTCGTTCAGAACCACCCACCCTTCGTGTTCCGGAGTTCCTAGGGGTGTCATCAGCGTGGAGACAGTCGGTTCATTGTTCCCGCTCACGTTTCCCATTTAAATCGAGTTTGAAACGCGCTCAGCTGGCAAGGCCACGGGGAGTTAAAATGCAACTTGAGTACAACCCCTCAGCCAGAATTTAAACCCAAGCCCTAAAACAGCATTGTAATACCCAGGGCGTTGTTATAAATATTATTGTTTAATCGTAATATTTTACAAGAAATCGTGTGATAGATTAATAATAAAAATAATTGATTTCTATCACGCAATCGTTTGATTTTAATATATGTACATACAAATTACGTATTATAATTGAATAGAGTGTAAAACCTCCTCAAAGCAAACCCATCGACATGCGAAGCAAAACAGAGGAAATTAGGGGAAACCCACTATATAACACCCCACGATCATATAAATTACTCTCGAAATATATTTTGTGTAAACTTTGTTCAATTGTTGCGAATCGCGTGCAAACACTGAATGAACTTGCTGCTCCGCATTATCGCGTTGGGATATTTGTTTGGGTCTTAGGGCCCAGATACAGTTATCTTTATCTACCCGAGGCCCCATATCTTCTGCACATCTCCATCTGTCGGATAAATGTGCGAAATCGGGCCCAGACCACAAGGAAGGCTAATGAGCGCAATGACTTGGCCCGACTCGAAGATTGGCCTGGGTAAACACAGTTCTACGGGGGTGAGATGCAAAGTACACTTGGAAAAAGTGTTTATGAGAGTTAAGGGATTTAATTTAAATTTAATTAGAATTTATAATTAATAGATAAATTAATATTACAATACGTACTATCATGAGAACTTAAACTTCCAATAATATTATTTCTAGATCATGTAAAATGTAGGTTATATTGGAAAATAGTGAAGAGTTCCTTCAACTTTGCCTTCTTCCACCTCCACCTGCTCCATCTATCATCTATCACATCCATCGAGATGTGAAAACGCCCACTGCAATAACACCCACTACACAGAAAACTGTATGGGATACACTGCATTTTCCATTTTTCTCATTTTCCACACCCCCCACACTCCCACCCACACGCGACTGACAAAATCTGAGCTCTCAATTCCACAAATCAGATTGTATTTCCCCCACCCGCCGGCTGTCCAATATTTCTCGCTGTGTCTCTGCTCTCGTTGAAGATCTTTATCGCCGCTGCTTATTGTCGTTTGTTTATCCCAAAGAGCTTTTCTGTGGGCGTTGCAGTTCTCATCTTTTTCCCCCCACCGATTTCCCCACTTCGATGTGGTTCATTGACTAGACTTGTCGCTGTCAGCGGCCTACACGCAGAGAAAAATCGTTTCTGTTCCTTAAAAGGTTGCCAAAATATATAAATAGTATAGTATAGATTTTATACTTTCTAATTCTTATATAGAATATTTTAGAAATATTTATAATCCCTCTAATATTATTTTTAGACGTTTTATAGAACAGAAAGTCTATTTTTCCTGGTGTATCTTTTGTAATTCCCATCAATTTCAGCGCGAGATAGAAAAAAAGTATCCACGGGAATTATTAGATGGGTTGTTGGGTGTCAAACACTTGAGCATTTATCGTTTGATCGGAATCGCTGGCAAATGGCCTGGGAAATGATTTTCCTTCGCTCTCGACACACGAGATCCCGATCGGCATTATGACAGACCATTTAACACTTGGCGACACATCAATTTCAATCTCGGTCGCTCACTCATTCGCCTTATAACAAGTATAACCCCTCCATTCCCCATTTCTTCGCCCATCTCAATTTCATTTCAATTAAGTTCAATTCGAGTTCTGCTGCAGAATGCAGCTCACTTTTTATGTTCTTCAGTTTATTTTTATACCCTATACCAAAAAGGGTAGGGTAATTTCAGCAAGAGCATGCGAGTATATTATAAAGAAAGAAAGTTATATAGATTATAGAGGTCATTGAAGCCTTTTTATTTAATATTTTATAAGTTTTATTCCTATTGTAAATTTATATTTATAATTCCCAGAGTATTTGCGATTTCGATTACCCCGGCTAGCCCTTCATTCCTGTTACACATATTCCCTTGGAGCTCTACGCATCTTGCTCCTCTTCTTGCCAGAGTTCGAGTGGCTTGTTGAACGCACGAGTGCCCAGACCGAGAAATAGGAATATAGAGAGGGGGGTTCTGGGGTTCGGGGTCTTTGGGGGCCTGAAGTGACTCTCGATGCAGCCATCGAACGTGCATCGGCATTGGGTTTCGTCTCCGCTTACTTTTCTGCCTTTTCCTGCCCAGTCTCAGAGGCATTTGGGTAGGTAAACAAAAGCCAGGGGGACAGGAACCATAGTAAAACTGGCTTAAATATAACAAAAGCTAACTAGAAAATTGAATAGGTGTATACAAAAAATTCTAAAGGAGCTTAGAAGTAATATTTTTTCAAGCTCTATCCTGAAACATTTCGTGCTTTTTTTGTAGCATACTTTTAGACACCTTATTAATCATTTTAAAACCTTATAGATTTAAAAGCTCTGTCTAAAAATAACCTCTAAAATTTTCAATATTCTTGCTGGAATATCGAATGCAACATGGCCAGGTATCACTGTACTGCTGTCCACACATCCAAGGGCATTCGCTGGTGCCTTGTTGCAATGTTCCATAAATAGCTGCATCTCCGCTCTTGGCACGCTGAAAACTTTCAAAACAATTGACGGCATTTGAAGTAGCTGCCCAGGTTTACCACCTCCCATTTCACCACCCATCTCAACCCCCCGACCCACTCTTCTTTCACCTTTTGCTTGCATTTCAAGGGAATTTCTCGCATTCAAAGAAACATTTTCAATCCGTTCGATTTTCTCGGCGATTCAATTTCGAAATTCCTCAGTTTCCACACAGAAAATTGTTTATCTTTGATGAACTCGAACCGAAAGCCACACAATTGCTTCATAAATTCTATCGATGATCACAGATCAGGTCAAAGTACTAATAATTCTGATTTCATCAAAGAAAAAAAGATTGCAAATTTTGGAAAACTTTAACAACCTTTGAAATTTGGAAAATTATGTTTTGTTTTAACGAACAAAAGGAGAAATATATAAATATATTTTCTTTAAATAAATTAATCTTAATAATCCCGAAAAACATGTAATATCTATTATTTCATCCGCAGTTGTTAATGGAATGTAGGTGTCAGTCTGAAACTTTGATCTTTGAAATGGATCTGTCCCGCCTTTGACATCCCAGCACTTTTGGGTTTATTCCCGCCGAAATGCACCCCGCTTGATTTACGCATTCTATTTATAATACGTGTATAGCCGAAACATCAAAATCTATGCCATTGCAGCGCCGACACTTAACCCCTTTTTGGAGAACCGAGCATTTGACAGCTTTATGCACTGATTTCCCTAATTGCCATGAAAATTCCACTCCCACTGTGCACTGTGTACACATGTGGGCGAAATAATAGTGTCGAGAGTTTAAACTTATTTAAAAAGTAAAGTTAATAATTATTATTCTATTTTAAGTTTCAGATTAACAATTTATTTTTTTTTTTTAATAATATAGTTACATAAATAAGAGTTGGAAAGTTTAAACAGTTTTCTTTATTTTAGTTTGAAAATATTTTAAAAATAGATATGTTACAAGAAAATTATTTAAAATATAAATTTCTCAATTATTATTTTCTTTTAAAATGCAGATTATAAAAAAATCATATAAGTTCGGATTTTTTCCTAACCATCTCTAGAGCTCTTATGTTGTCTGCTGCTGTAGAACTGCATGTTGACGCCCCCGCATTTGAACAATGCATGGAAAACATATAGGAGAACATATAGTAGACATCGAGAAAAGGGAACGACAACCACAAAACATTCATTTGCCATAACAATGAAGTTGGCTCTTAATGAGTTTTTAAACGCTAAACTGCAGCGTTTTTAATTGGAATTAACGAATGAAGGCCTAAAAAATGGGAACTGCAACTTGGAAGTGAATGTGAAAGGCAAGGCGGCACAATGGAGATGGAAATGGTAATGGATGACTAAACTTAGACAATCGATGAGCGTGATTTTTCCCGATGCATCAACTAATTGAACACCATTTGGGGAGAGCAGCTGTAAGTACAGTAAACTCCCGGAAAATACTAATAATAATAACAAAATCAAGCCAGTTTATTGATATTATTTATTATAAATTAAAAATAATACCATATTTGACATCCCAATAAAAAGCTAATTAACATTTATTTTTTTACGAGCAAACACTGTAAAATCAACCAATACAATAAAACAGCACTTAAGGTGAGCTCAGTACAATATTTATAAATACCTTTAACACTCGCTAAGTTTTGTTTATCTTATCACGTTTGATTCTAGGTCTATGACTGTAAACATGGGTTTGCCGATGACTATACTATACTATACTATACAAACAATACAAAGAGACAGAAGATATTTCTTGGTATTATTGGTATAACAACGAGATTACCAATTTAAATTGAACTCATAATTTATTATTATTTCTTTTAAATCTCTATAAAACCTATTGGAACCCGAAGAAATATAAGAAAAATAATATAAAACTTTTTGATAATTCCCTAAATATAAGAAATAATTACCTAAAATTCTAGCTTTTCATATAGATTTTACGGAAAAATGTCCCAAAAATCGTTGACTCATTTGGACCCAATTTAAGGTAATTTTTTTGTATAAAATATAAATGGTAGGCTCATCTTTTAGTTCATAACTTCTTAAGTTGAGGTATTTTTTTAAGTCTTTAAGTCATTTTTTTTTCCAAGTGTTGTCTGGATCCATTATTAATGTAGAACCCATTGGTTAGGCTAAGGCCTCCCCCTACTTTAACGACACAAATGCTCATCGGGGGCACTAACGACATGTCAACGAGGAGAACCGTTAGCTGCGGTCACGTTGCCACCAAGTTAAGGCCAATGCCAAAAGGCCCAAGGCCCAGACCGATCTGCAATTGGGATTGGTATTGGGGATTCGGATTGGGTGCGGCCAACATAAAAAAAATAAAAACAAAGTCTACGCCTACCAAAAACGGCAGTGGCAACAAGCAACACACAAACTTCCAGCTCCAAAAGCCAAGAAATAAAAAAAAGCTAGGCGAAAGCGAAGCCAAAACAAAAAACGCAGCGGGCAAAAAAGGAAAGGAAGCCGCCGTCGCCGTAGACGTCGACTTTCCAAGACATCGGGAAATGGGGAAAAATAGCTGGCCAGGCCAGCCAATTTTCTTGTCGGCGGAAAGGCAGAAAAGCAGAAAAGCGGCAGTGCGCCACGTAATGGGGAAGCCAATCGAGATTCGAGATCCCAGATCGCAGATCCCAGATACCAAATGCCAAATATCAGATAGGATCGATCCAGCCGAGGGCAATTGGCCCCCAGAGAACCTAAATACACTGGAATTTAAAATATAAATATTTGTATTACAACCAAAAAATTTTATATTGATTTCTAAGATATGGGAATTTTTTCTATATTTAAGAAACATTTTTTTTAAATATATTTAAATATTTATAGAAGAATATATCTTATTTTTAGTATGTTTTTTGTTTTATTTTATCAATAAATAATATTAAGCGCCATTTCCAAGATAATCGATTACATATTTCGTGGAATCCCCGATGAACTTGCTTATCTTATCTAGTTAGGTTGTAAAATAATTAAACCTTTATCTGGAAAGGTCGTTTCTAGTAATAATGCAACAGCATAGATAAGAGTTACTGCGAAAATGATGTAAGCATGGGAATTTATTTTAATATATAAAAAAAAACACTCATATTTATAGTTTTTGCAGTGTTAGAATCCTTTTAAAAATCCTGTTTAGATAGTGTAGAGATGAAAAAACACTTTTAACCCTCTGTAAAGCGACCGATCAACCCCTTAACCCCTTTTATTTTTTTCAAAATATTTTCGCACCCTTGAAGGCGGAATTTTACTCACGTTTTGGGTAAATGGGTGGACGACATTTAACCGTCTCGCTGTTGTTATTGTTGTTGTTGCTGCTGCCGTTGATGCTGCTGATGGCACTGGCCACGCCCCCAGCCGCTGCACCGCCCATCAGGGGCGGCTGGCTGAGGGGAAGGGGCGGGGGCGGCGGCTGGTGTTTCATGGACGTCGTCGAGGGGGGCAGTTGCACATTGCCGCCCCCGAAGAGGCGACGCTGCGGTAGAAACGCCGTTTTGTCGCCTGTGTGTTGCAAGTTGTTGCAGGTTGCACAATCTGTTGTTGTTGTTGTTCACTATTTAATTGCACTGCACCTGATTGGGTTAAAGGCAATGGGTATTTAAATATAAAATATTCATTAAATTGCATTGATTTTTTAGAAATTTAAACTTAAAAAAAAAATTATTTTCATTTTCTCTTTTTATATTTTTATGATATTTCTTATATTTTTCTTAAAACATTTCTACTTTGAATATTTTTTCAGATAAGGGTTAAGCTTAACTGTAATTTACGCACACACGCTTATCTAGTGCTTATCTCACGCGAAAAGGTGCGAGTAGGAGAGTGGCAGAGTGGGAGGCAGGGAGTGCAAAAGAGAGGGGCTAACTGCAATATTGACTTTTTACGGTTTCTGCATATACATACACACATACGTGTAACTATGATGCATTTGCAATTTAAAACAAACAAACAGCAACAAAATTGCAAACTCAATGGGTGGAAAACTAACGGTGCAGCTGCTTCACCTTGACCTACACAACCACAAATACTAGTGAGATGCACATCACACACAAACACACACACTCAAACAAATTAACACACACAAAAAATAATAATAAAAAAAAGCTCACGCACTTTGTTATTAACTATTTCCGCTTGTTTTGGTTTCTCCTTTTCAAGCTAATCTTCCGACTAAAATTCCAGGAAATTCCAAAATATTTCCAGCGAATATGATCTCAAACCACAAAAGGGTTATTTTTTAAATTAACCCAGAAAATATAGGACCCCGGCACTATATATATATATTCCTGTGTTTTTTAAGCGAAATCGACGGAGCGCGCGTTGTTTATTTCCCACGAACTGAAAAACGTCTGTTCAGATGGCAACAAACCACCGAATTCAAACGGAAATCCACTAAAAAATCCACACTATATAGAAGTGCGCGCCAATGTACAGTACATCGGGATTTTTCAAATAACAAAATGCTTTCTTTAATTGTAAAATATATAGCAGGGAAAAGGGTTTGAAATTGAATATTCCTATTAATTCGTAAACTCAAAAATATAACTTTACAATAGACAGGAAATTATAAGAAATTATTAAGAGCATGCGATAATTTTTATGTTTCAGGTTTTTTAGTAAGCCAAACTTTAAGAATTATTATAAAAATCTTTTTAAATAATTGTGAAGTTTGTAAGATTCTCTTCAGCATTTTTGTTAAACGTAAATATAAAAGAAAACTTAAAATATACATTTTTTGTTGGAGGATATTTTTGGGTAATAAGGGGAAATAAAGGAAACCGCACAAAGTCGATTCTATTTATTTTTCTGAAAACATTTTTAATTGTTTTTATTTATTAAAACATAAATTTATAAATAAATTTACACTCGAAATTAACTGTGTCACTAAAACTCAGCTATAAAACGGAAAAAGTCTAAAAAAATCGTCAAAAAGAAGAAATAAATTAGAAGGCGCTGCCAGATGTATAAAAATAAACCGATTGAAGCAAAAGCTGTTTGCTGTGAAACTGAAGCGGGCACTTTAACTTTGCTGGCTGACGGAGGTTGGATGCTTCGAAAACAACCCGTTGAGAAGGGTTTTCAAGAAAAATCCTTTAAAAAAAGCGCAAACTAAGCAGTAGAAATGTAAGAAAATCATTATTAAACCAAAAAATATATATATTTTCAGATTTTCCAAGAGTTTTGCTTGGAGTAGAGCACAAGAGAGCCCAAATGGAGGTCGTAGCATGGGCAGCTGGATTTCTGTTTCTGATTTCTGGCCTCCATCGCACACGCACATCGCACCAAGCGCCACAAATTTAGTCGAACAGTCGAACTTTAACGGCGCTGGCAATCGGACGCGTTTTGAAAACCAGCTCGCTCTCTCTCTCCTCGATTTCATTCTGGTTTTCCTTTGATTTTTGACTGGGAAAGTGTAAGCTCGTGAATCCTCCTTTTCTTTAGTTTAACTTAATTTCCCAAACCCGGGTTAAAAACAATTTTTTTTTGTTTTGTTTTGAGTGCTAATTTGGACAATCGCGTAGGCGTAAAGAGAAACTACCTATTAAAAAAAAAAAAGAAGAATACTTTGTTTGTATTTTTTGTTATTTGTGTGTGTGCGACATACTGGAAGGCCCGGCAACAATGAAAGTTGATTGAATATTTTATGCAAATTTCCCATTGCAGAAGAAGGTGCGAAAAAAAACAAAAGCAAGCAGCAAGAGGAACTGCAAGAATAATAGAAATTGCTGTTGAGAAGCTGAAAACAGGAAATCCAGAGGCGAGAAATCAGGTGAATACCAAAAATATACAGACTGTTATTCGTGGGAAAGTTTAAGATCAAGGCCAGGGGCCTTGGGTGGTTGCCTCAGTGGCCTCGGTGGCCTCGGTGGGTGGTGCAGGCGCCTGGCGGCCTTGCTGCCACTGCCAAGGTGAAGGTCACATTGCAGGCGAATGTCGGCTTGGGCCTGCACTCGCATTGTTGTTATATAAACACCCCACACTCCCATAAACACCCATCACCCATCGCCCATCGCCACCCACAAATGGCTCACTAACCCAGTGCGCATGTCGCCTCCTTCGAAGGCCATCGCCTGACCTCAGGCACCGCCACGCCCTCCACGGCCGCCGCCTTCTTTTCGGGACAGCAGGGGGCATAAAAATAGTAGGGGGTAACTCAATCGGAATCTTATTGAAAAAATAAAATCAGTAAAAATTGTTTATCACAAGATGTTTTACTAATCTTGATTTATATAAATTCTTACAGTATTTTTGGTGAAAGCAAAAATGTTTAAATTAAAGAAAAGTACAACTAATTTAAAATATTTTACATTTATTTCAATCCAAAAATCCTAGGACCGTAAATATTTTTTTAAATATTAAATTTTGCATTTAAACAGTTTCAACAATATTTATGCAATATTAAATATATATATACAACATATATTAAATAAAATAACTAAAAGATAACTGAACTTAAGCTTAAAACTTATTTTGCCATAATTAATTCAAAAGAATTCATTAGTGAATTTAATGATAAAAAATCAGTAAAGCTAAATCAATTTTTAATCCACACATTTTAAAACTAATTTTATTAAGTTGGCTACTACTTTCTTGGCCTTGGGTGTGCCCCCTTTGGGCAGGCTTTTAGCATTGAACTTGACAGTGGCGGAGCGCCTTTAAGCCACTGGCTGCCCACTTTCAGCTAACAGGGTTAGTGGGTTAACTGGCCTGCTCCGCACTCCACTCTTCAATTGCCAGTCTTCAGTCTTCTGGCCTCGGTGCCCCATGAGAGACTCCACTACAGTCTTTCTCCGGATTCACGGGCAAACCCAAACCCGTTACCATTAACCCGCCGATCGGCGTCGGCTTTTGGCTTTGCTCTGACCATTAAAAGCCACTTACACTGACTTTCCATGCTAATCAAAATTGAAGCCCAAAATAAGAAGAAATTTCAAATTTGTTTGCTGCGACATGTCTCGACTTTTGAGTGCCAGTGGAACTGGCCAGTGGAGTTGGTGGATGTGGATGGTTATGTGGATGGGTTGGATGGATGGCTTCTTGGAACTGGCACAGCCGTGGATCGGGTGAAATTGAGACACTCGATTGGGGCGGAGATGATAAACGCTGCGATTTCTTATCAGGTTTGAACGACACTCAGCAAAATTTTCAATTTTGTGTTCACTGCTCAGCTTTTTTAGTGGTTGCTCTATAGTTAATTGGGAACTAGTGGTAACAATATTTATTACACATTTTTTATTTTTCGAAAAATATTGAAAATAGATTTTTTTCAGTTAACACTTTTGATTTTTTTTTATTTGACTCACACATTTAATATTTAATTTATATATTCTGCTTATATTTTATTTAGCTAATATTTCTTTCAAAAAAAGTGCTATTTCCCACTGTGTAATGAGTAAAATGCAAGAAATGCAAGACTAAGTGGCAAGCAGTTTAATTAATGATGAGTTGATTTATGGATTTACCATTTTACAAACGGGTTATAGTTTGGATGAAACAGCTGTAAATTGGTGTAAACGGTTCAGGTGAAAATCGTTGTCTCTGGTGGCTATGAAGAAAATCATAATAATATCTTAATGTTAAGGTGATAATTTGATAGATGACAAAATGATTTCAAAATAGGTTATTACTGGAGTGACAATATCATTTGTTAAAGTATATTTGAAACGGGGCTTGATTTTTAGATGAGTTCTAAATCAAAAACCCTTTTGGAAAAAGTATGGTTTTTTTTTTTTTAATTCTGAAACTTAAGAAAAACTTTGAATATGGTTAATAAAAAAGCTACATATTCTGAGGAAATTACTAGGCAATTTCTTATAAGTAACAATTTTTTTCTGAAATTCCCAATGGACTTTAAATATTCGGGCATTTAGAAGCCAAGCTCATGAATCACTGAGTTCTTTGGTTTTAAAGGGTTCGATGACCTGGGCCGTGAATTGCATTTGGAGCGGCACTTTAACTGACAGAATGAGAGATTGACGGACTGAGCGATCGACAGCAGGGTGGACAAACTGAAGAAACGTGCCAGGTTAAAACAAAAAAAAAACAAAAGTCCATCGAGGCACGAAACGATCCCCAACGAACCGATAATTGCGCCCAAAAAAGAGAGCGCACAAAAAGCGAGGAAAAATAAAATAAGTAAATATAGAAAAGACTGGAAAATTGAAACTCTCGAAAATGAAAACGAAAAATAAATAAAGAGTGCGAGACCAGTTAAATGAAAAGCAAAACAAAGTCATTAAACGCTGGCAACTGAAAACTGAAAATAAAAAAAGCGGAAAATTACCGAGCAATAATAGAAAGAGTTGGGCGTTTGGAGTTTCGAGTTGGGCGCTGTTTTTCACTTTCACTGCTTCGGCGGGGAGGAAAAGCGGGGAAAAGGGGGGAAAAGCGGGGAAAAGTTGCGCTCTGATAAATTGCCAAGCGGCCAGAAAGAGAAGCCACCAAGCGGGTTCTGAAAAGCGGTCACAACCCGTTGGCTCGCAAATGAGTCATGTAGAGATGGCTAAATAAAAAGGCAGAAAGAAGGGAGGATGGGCCACTTCCTCGCAGGCAACAAAAGCGGAACAAGATCATTATGCCAACTGCCTACCATAAATTGTATTGGATTTTTTTAAAATTAGGTAAAACAAAATAAATGAAATACTTATAAAATTTAATTTAAAACACTTGCTAAAATGTTTTTGTGACCTAGAAAACTTTAAAAAACTCTAGAAGAGAAAACTGCGCAAATATAATTTAAAAATCTTGAAAATATTTAATCATAATAAAAGTTAAAAATATAAAATTATTTTAATACTTTTTTTCCATTTTTTATTGTATTCTCCCATTAAAAAAATCTTTAAGGTTACATTTCATGTTAAATTTTCTCTGTTATAACTGACCATTAAATAGATTATAATGACCCCTTATTTAGGTTATTTTATGAAAGGAAAATTAAAAAACAAATTTTGCTGTGCTGCTTTTTATTATTTAATATTTCAAGTGCTCGATATAATATAGTACTTCGCTGCGTTATAAAAATGAATTTAAATCGCAAACAAATTACACGTGGTATATAAAAAAAATAGTTATTTTTAGGCGAAAATCAAAGAAAAAATTGGTAGATCATTTTTGAAATAGTTAGGGACCAAGAAGAAACACCAATTTTCAATTGACTTGCATAAGGACGTTTTTGGGATCCTACAAACCGGCCTTCTCCCTGATCCAAGTCCTCAGCTGGGAGACCCTCTCGTAGCCATCGGGGGCATCTCGTCCACAGCCGCCGATCACGAAGCTGGCCAGGCCGACCAGTTTGCCTCCGTAGGTGGCCGGTCCGCCGGAGTCGCCGTAGCAGGCGCCCTTGTTCGCCGGATGCATCAGGCACATTGTCGTCTCCGGCAGTCCTCGGAGGTACCTCCGCTGGCAGGTGTCCCGCGACAGGGCCTTCACCTGGACGTAGAGCAGCGAATTCGAGAGCGGTCCCTTTTGGGAGATGGCTCCCCAGCCGGAGATGTCCACGGTGGCATCGTTGGGCGGATCATCGGTGGCCAGCTGAATGGCGGCGATGTTGGAGTCGAAGGTCAGGGATCTGGAGAGCCGCAGCACGGCCACATCGTAGCCGTTGCCCCTGTAATTCGGATGCACGGTAACAGTGGCCACTGGAATGTTGACTCCTCCGCTTGAAAGGAGCAAGCTGCCCGCCTGGATGGACAGCTGGTTGGCTGGGGCTCTAAGAGGGCAGGAAATAAAATAAAATTAAAAACGCGAATTCTTTAGGATCGGCGCTCCCGCTACTTACACATCGTTGCCCTGCTTCACGCAATGGGCCGCGGTGACCACATAATCGTTGGACAATATGGAGCCACCGCAAGTGTGACCTCCGCGACGGCGCAGGGAAATCTGGTGGGGAAATTGACCCTCCTTCGCCCGGGTTCCGCCCACAATCCGGGGCTCCACCACATCGGAATCGTTGCCTTTTTTGCCCAGAACTCCGGCAGTGCAGAGCAGCAGTAGAAAAGTGGTCCAAAGAGGTAACATGACTGGTAGATTGTACTTCCCGAAAGATTTCCCCGACTATATATAAGCAATATCTGCCGAAATTAGGGCGCTCATCATCATTAGTTCCTTGAAATGTCAAAGTCAATGTCGCTATCGAGCTATAACCTAATTTAGTTTTTTTCTTTCGCAAATGAAGCCCCTCTAATTACAGGGGGGTTGCACAACCTTCGATGGTAAGGGTTCGGCAGTGCCTAAGTTTATTGTTCAGATTCCGGAAACTACAAAAATGTTTTAGAAAAACGGCTGAAGGCTAATTACTTTTTGATCAATATTTGCTTTTCTTTTAACGAGCTCAAAAATGTATGACATTCCATATCATCCATTTTTTGCATTGTTTCAGTCAAAGTAGCTGTAACCAAAATACTATTTTTGTTTTGGTGGAAAATCAGGATGTTGATTTTTGGTGCAAATTTAAAACTTGGGCAAAAATTGTCCCAAATAAAAAAGGCATACTGTTTTGAGCATCTTACAACCTAATAATTAATATTAGTAAACTTTCCGTCTGATTTGAAAAAAATCAATTTTCGACCCAATTTTCACTTTTTTGATAAGGGGTTACATCATAATTTTTTGCGAAAATTGGCAAAAATTAAAAATTTCCAGGTTTAAATGCAGATCGATGGGGATTTTTATTACGAGTTCAGCGAGGTATGACATTCCATATTTGGATCATTATTTCAATATTTATGTCCAAAATACTATAATTTTTTGGGTGAAAAATCAGGATTTTGATTTTTGGTGTAAATTTGAAATTTTTCCTAATCGATTTCTTTTTTGTATATTGTATTTGTTATTTTCCTGTAATGTTAAATTGCTCATGCTGAAAGGTTTCTTCGTCTATATTAAGTATACGTTCCGAAAAAAGGGGTCATTATTTGGCTATTCTATTCAGCTTTAATCTAATTTATTTTGTTTTACTTCTCGCAATTTCTCACACCAATGAAGCCCTGCCAATTACAATGGGATTTAAGTGTGTGAAAAAGGAAATTGAGGCATTCAAATGGACTCTTATAGCCTTAAGTTCAAGGATCTGATTTTGGAAGTTACCTAAACTGCCATAAAAGATTAATCTCAATGTCTTATGTAATTTTTCAAAATACCCAAAATCCAGATATCTCCATCGATATCTCGATTTGTGGGCCATAAAAGCGGAGCCATTGAGGTCATAAATAAATAAGCATTTCACACGTACGATTATTACGTTAACCAGTGTTCAGTGTGTTCCAGTGGCAATCGCCGATGCTTATCCTTATCGAAATCGCGGGGCCATTGAGTCACTACTGCCATTAAAAGAACTTAGTTTGGTTTTTTGGGAAATAACTAAGTATTTTAATTTTTAAGGGACGTGCTCAGGGGTTAGGTTCCTTAAGCGATCTGCTCCTGGATCCAATCGCTGAAGCTGGAGAGGCGCACGAAGACATCGGGGTAGCGGGATCCACAGGCGCCGACCACAAAGTTGGTCAAACCAATTAGCTTGTCCCCGTAGACGGCGCCACTGCCTCCGTCGCCGTGGCAGGTGCCCTCCTTGAGTTCGTGGGCCAGGCAGAAGCTCTGCTCGCTGTGCTCGCTGTAGGCATCCTGGCAGGCGGACTCCTGGGCCACCGTCAGCGACATTTCACGGATCTTGTAGGACGTGGTGCCCTCGGCGGTGCGACCCCAGCCGGCCACCGCGACCTCCGAACCCTCGGCGGGCAGCGCCTCTCCCGCGTCGGCCACCGCAATGGCCTTGATGCGATCCGTGTAGACCAGCGGGCTGCTCAGCGTGATCACGGCCAGGTTGTTGGTCAGCTGATAGTAGTCGGGATGAACGGTTACGGATTCCACGGTCACAATCCTGCCGCCGGCATACTGATTGGTGCTGCCCACTCGGCACGAAAGGCGACTGGCATCGATGCTGAAGAATTCGCGGGGATTTAAGAGGATTAAAGTTTTTAATTATTTACAAAAAATTGGTAAAAATATGCTTATTTTGAATGTTGTTATTATTCATTTTTTCATAAAAAGAAAATTGCTTTTACTTAAATTCTTTTGATAAAAAAAAATAATATTACATTCTTAAATATCACTCATTCGCCTAGTTGTACATTCTCAAATGAATTTTATCTATTCTTTTTATTAAGAACTCGAAAATAACATCAAGATTCAATATATACTAAATTAAAGTTAAGATATTTTTTTTTTTAGCTTTATAGTAGTAGAATTTACTCACAGATTTCCCTCGCGATGGACACAGTGGGCGGTGGTCAGGATCTTGGTCTCGGAGAGAATGCAGCCGCCGCACACGTGGGCGTTGTCCACGCGCAGGGAGGCGGCGTAGGGCGTGGCCGTGGGGTCCGCCTCCTCGCCGCCCATAATGCGTCCGCGGGCGTGGCAGACGCCCACGAGGGTCAGGCAAATGAGGGCCAAAATCAGGGATCTCTGCTGCATCATTTCGGGGTTTCTTCTTTTGTTATTTATTCTTAATTTGGTGGTTCAGTCGCCCACGACGGTTGGACTGGAAATGCGCAATGCCAGCGGCTACAATTTAAGTGGACGACTCCATCGAACCACCGTCCCTCCCTTCTTGGCCAATCCTTATCTTTCCTTGCCTTTCGGGCATCACACTAAATCTAATCTTATCGCCCCGTTTATAATGCCCATAGACTATTGTTACTTGTTGTTTCACCGATCAATTGGCACATAAATAGAAAATTGCACATGGCGGCGGAGGGAAGTCCAAACGATCCAGTGACCATGACAAGACAACACAACACCCATCTGAGGTAGATAAAGATGAGTAATCCGTGAGTCAGGGGATTTTAAAAAAATATATAGGGTAGTTTTGGCAGATATTAAAAGAGGGTGGATTCAGAAATACCTTGAATATTTACCATAGTTACTTTTTAGTTATATTAATATTTAATAAACAACTTTTCATATCTCAAATAAACCAAAATTAAATTCTAACATATTCTAAATTTTCTGCAGTAACTAAACTTCTTCTTAAAAATAGTTTTAAAGAATTGTAAATTTAATTGAAAGTACTGTAATAGTCAAGATATTTACCATGGTTAGTTGGTATTACCCAAGATCGGTAGAAATCTAAACTTTGGCGATAAGAAATCTGGATTATATAGATCTCGCTCAGTCACTGACGGATCGATCAGTAATCGCTAATCTGGCTAATTCCCCGAAAAGACCTTGTTTCCTACGGCGATCATGGGGTTTTCCTAGATCTCTTATCTGACATTTTCGGGCTGTAGCTTTGATGAACAAAATATATGGGCTCTATAAAGAATAATTGGCAATAGTCCGTTGTCATTGTGGACATTTCCTTGTAAATTCTGTTAGATAATCCCAATAAACAAGAACTATTTTCAAGGTTTGCCGAGAAAACGAGACCTTTGATCGGCGCCAATTGGAGGTTCTACTATCGGCTTTAGCTTTTTATGGCCAGCACTAAATTCCGTATCATAAAAACACATTTCTTTTTTTTTTTCTTTGAGGGTGAAACACACATTTTATGCACAGTAAAAAAATGTAGAAAAAAAAAGGAAAAGGGCTAATCCTCGTTTACTGGCTGTTGGCCTCGATCCAGGTGAGGTAGTAGGAGATGCGGGTGGCCACATCGGGATACTTGCTGCCGCAGGGTCCGAAATTGAAGCTGGTCACGCCGCGCAGCACCTTCTGGTCATCGATGACCGCCGCACCGGCATCACCGCGGCAAATGCCCTCGTTCTCGGCCCTCGAGAGGCAGACCACCGACTCGTAGCCATAGCCCGCCTGCCATTCGCAGAGCGATCGGCTCAGCGTATTGAAGTTGGACTTCTGCTGCTTGTAGGCCACCGTCCCATCCGACTGTTCACCCCAACCGGCCACATAGACGGGCGTTCCGTTGGGCAGCTCCGCGTCCACATCCTCCGTTTCCGTTTCCGTTTCGCCACTGCCCTCCACTTCGGTGCTGGGCAGGTCGATGGCTGCGATGCGATCGCTGAAGGTCAGGGGATCGACCTCCAGAATGGCCAGGTCGTGCAGGAAGTTGCCGTAGGAGGGATGAATGACGACCGATCTCACGTTCACGATGATGCCGCCGGCATACTGGTTAATGGTGCCCACTCGCACGGCCAAGTCGCTGATGGACACTCTGGAAGATCGGGAAAAGTTGGTATTAGTAGCCTTCTAGGGAAATTAATTAAAAGAGGGAGTGGAGAAGGAGTATGGAAGGAGTAGTGAAGAAGTAGAGAAGGAGTAGAGAAGGAGTAGAGAAGGAGTAGCGAAGGAGTAGAGTTTATAGCAATTTACAATCATATCATTCTATCTTTGGAACTATAGAACAAATATTTCACATTTATATTTTATGTGTTTTATATATTAATATATATTTTTCCTTTGATAAATATTTAAAGTCTTTAGAATCTAAAATATTTTCTATTTCCGAAAATAGGCAAATTGATTCTTTAAAATTAGAAAAAGTATTTAATAACTTTACTGCCAAATATTGGAATAATATTTATAAAAACTTCTTAGCTTTCGAAATAAATCTCATAATATGAAAACATTTTTAAATATAATTTGATTATCTTTAAGGGTTCATAACTTCATAATTTTAAACTATATCGTGTGGCTTATTTTTGTAATGGATTAGCAGTATTATAAATTCACAAATTCGAATATATGCCAAGAGTTAAGAGCTTTCTCTTATATTTTATTGATAAAAAGAAGGGAAGCCACGAAACCAAGGTTTATATATAATGTTCGGGATACTTAAGGATAGGAAACCCTCCCAACTTACGGAGTGACGCCCACATCGGAGACGCAGTGGGCGGCGGTCAGGATGCGGGTCTGCGAGATGATGCAGCCGGAGCAGACGTGGGCCTTGTTGTAGCGAATGGAGGCGGACCAGGGGTACTCGCCCTGCTCGACATCCTCGCCGCCCAGGATGCGGCCTTGGGGTGGCGAGGCCTCCGCCCCCGAAATGGCGAAGATCAGGCCGAGAATTAGCAGGCCGAGGACGGACAGGTGGTGAATGCGTGGATCAGCCATGGCGATGGATTGGCAACTGAACGGGCTGAGGGCCCACCGATCGATGGTCAGCACTCAAGCCTCGTCGATCTAATCAGCAGGGAATATATATGCTGATAAGGCAGGGGCGATTTATGGCTGGGGGGCTTCGATTAGATTGCTTAACCCATGGTCGTAAACGAATTGGGTGCTGCGTTCTCTATAAAGGCCCGGCGGCCGGCAGGAGCACCTTTCAGTTGATCAGCAGAGATCCCCGAAGGCATGAGTCCGGTTCAGTTCCTCCAGCTGCTGCTGCCCCTCCTCCTGGTCGTCGTGACCTTGGGCGTGGGCCCCACCCAGGCCAGTCGGCTGCCCGCGGAGGTGGGCTCCCAGCCACACAGCGTTTCCCTGCGCCGCAACGGCGTCCATGTCTGCGGAGGAGCCCTGGTCAGCGACAACTGGGTCATCACCGCGGCCCATTGCGTCAGCATCAGCGGTGGTCAGCAAAGGTAGTTGTAGTTGTAGTTGGTTAAGATGCACGCAGAGAAATTTTCTTGGCTTTAAATTGATTGGCTTTAAAGACTTAAGATTTAACTAAAACATTTTCCTTTTAAAGATCTCAATTAAGAAAATCTTAAACATTTTAGAAACATTTTTTTCTTTTTTTTTTTAAATATTAAAATTCTATTGAAAATATAGGCCATATTATAAAATATATTTATTATAAATATTTAAACTAGAACATTTTTAATCATTATTAAAAGTGAGAAGTAGAAATAGAAACAACTTTTTCTTTTTTTATATAAATATTAAAAACCAAAAATTTAGGAACATTTTTTTTCTGTTGCTAACAATATTTGTAAAAATATTTTTAGTAATTAAAAATATGTTTATTATAAATATTAAAAGATCTCACGTTTCAAATAATTGATATTTGTTTTTAAAAGTCAGAAAAAAATTAAATTCTTATCAAAAAATAGTTTGTTTCATTTATATAAATATTTTATTTATTTTTATAAGTCTTCAAGTTCTACATAGTCACAAATGTTCAAACAAATTCAAGAGTAATTGGAATTAATTTTAAAATTCATAAATGTTGCTATGACATTTTCTCTGTGTACGTTAGTCCTGTGAAGAAAATTACCTATTTAAAAATCCCCAAATTAGCTACCCTGCCCAGTCCTACAATGTGCGAGCGGGAAGCATTCAGCGCCTGGCTGGTGGCCAACTGGTGCCCCTGTCCCAGATCATAATCCACCAGAACTACTCCAGTTCGGAGGCGGCGGGGGCCAATGATTTGGCCCTGTTGCAGCTGCAGACCAAGGTGACCCTGAATGCGAACACCAAACCGATTGACTTGGCCACCGAGCGACCGGCGGCGGGCTCCCAGCTGAGCTTCTCGGGCTGGGGATCCAGCCAGGCGGAGGGATCCTTCAGCCACGGCCTCCAGGTGGCCAGCAGGCAGAGTCTGAGCGCAAGTGACTGCCAGAAGCAGCTGTTCCTGGAGCAGGAGGATCTGCTCTGCCTGTCGCCCGTTGCCGAGGATTACGCAGGACTTTGTTCCGGCGATGCTGGAGCTCCGGCTATCTACAATGGCCAGCTGGTGGCCATTGCCGCCTTCTTTGTCGGCGGCTGTGGCTCCGGACAGCCCGATGGCTACGTGGATGTGACCCAGCATCGGGAGTGGATCAATGAATATGTTAATTAAATAAATCAGAACTGTTGGTGGGGAATTTATGAGTGGTTTCTCTTTCTAAACTAATACAAGAGTCGTAACAAAAAAGGGACAACTCTCTAGAAGCCTAAATGGCTTTACTTAAAAATCTAAAAAAAAAACAGGAATTCGGTAAAAATAGAATATAAATAGTGATGGAAAAAAAATAACTAAAAAAATATTTTTATTGTCCAAGAAAGATTTTTACAAACATTTGCAGTTTAAGTGGTTTGTATGAAGAGGGGTTTTCCGGTTTTGATTTACACCTGACCATCGTTACTATTACAACATTTTTTCCTGGGTACTTGTAAGATCAAGAAAGGTTTCTTTTTTTTGCTGATACAAACTTACTGTTCTGAAAATGTTATACAAATTTACACAACCCAATTTCAAAGGCTTACTCAGCATTTTAGTGTTTGGTGTTATATATCAATCGCTAAATCGATTAAATTCTTTATTTACGGCATACTAGTGTCTGTACATATATTATTATTTACTCCTATAAGTATGCCAGGGAATTCTAATTCCAAAAGGCTTACAAAAATTGGAAAAAAATCGAATATAGAAAAAGTATTCTGATATAAGATTTTTAATTTTAATTCCCAAATAATAGTTATAGAATCTGGATAGATAGTTATAGAATCTAGACCAAAGCATAACCTTGAGGTATAATAATGTATATTTAGATATCCGAAAAATCTGAAGGATTTAAAGCATTTTCGGGATGTTTTGTTGAACTAATAGGGCAAAAAAAAAAACAAAAGATACAAATAGTGCAAACTACCATTCGGATGTTATAATTTTATAATAACCAAAGTATATTGTCATTTAAATATCAAAATATTATCCTATAGATATTGGAAGGTATAAAAGTATTTTAAAAAAAAATCATTTATAAACCCCCTTAAAAACACCATTAGTGATGATTTATCGCTCCTCTATTATCGATATGCGTTTATTGCAACTGCTGCTGGATCCAATCGTAGTTGGCCGCGATGCTGACGAATCGCTCGGGCAGCATGCCGCCGCACTCGCCGAGGATCTGGGCGCCCAGGCCCACCAGCTGACCCTGGTAGACGGCCGGTCCGCCGATGTCGCCGCTGCAGATGCCCTGCCTGCGTCCATGGCCCAGGCATAGCACCTGGTCGTCCTGCTCCTCCGCCGCCGCCAGCTCCTCCCCCTGGGAGGCCATCGCCAGGATGCATTCGCGCGGTGCCTCCACCTGGGCCTCGCCAATCTGCAGGGTGCGGTGCATGTTCACCTCGGTGGCGGTGGTGCGACCCCAGCCAGAAACCTCCAACTGGGCGCCCAGGGGTGGAACCACCGCGGACAGCGGAATGGCGGCCACATTCTCACCGAACGGAATGTCCTCCTGCAGGCGGAGCAGCGCAATGCCGGTCTTCAGGGAGCTGTAGTTCGGATTCAGGGTGATATCCTCCACGCGAATCTGCTTGCCACCGGAGTAGAGATCCACCGAGCCCACGGTCACGGCGAACAGAACAGCTGGCCATCTGGAATCGGAATCGAAAGATTTCTTGTTTAATCGGTGGTGTGATTGGAAGTAATCTAATCGCAAAAGCTTCTTTTAAAGTGTAGGAAAGTATGCTGTAAAGACAGCTTTTCAAGTTAAAAAAGAAGTGATGAAGAAGTGTTTTAAGATCATAATAACAAATATGTTATTTATATATTGAGAAATAATTGAAAAGTTTTGGAAAAATGTAATTACTTTTTTATTGGTTCAATATAGATATTTATTTAACCAAGTGAATTAATTAAACTTTTCAAAAATCTTTAAAATTATCCTCAAATTATTAAGTTGTAAGTCCCTAAAAATAGTAAGGAAAACTTTAGGAGTCTACCAGGAATACTAAAACTAAAATAAGTAAGTGTTCCAAACAAGAAATTAATTATAACTGATAATAATTTATCAATGAATAATGGAAATTGGATGTTCAAAAAATGATTTAACACATCTACTTTCACATTTTTTCTTATCACCATAGTTTTCTTAAATTTGAATAGTTTTTAAGAAGGTGCCGAAAATAATCTTTTTTTGTCCTGTGATATATGATATGATAATCAGGCAAAAATAATGATTATTTTCGTTTTTAAGCGGATGGGTTTTCTTGGGTTCTCTTGGGATCCTTTCAACTTACGGGGTGTCCTTGCCCTCGGAACAGACGCAGGTGAGGGCGGTGAGGGCGTACCGCTGGCCGATGATGACGGCGCCGCAGTTGAAGCTGCCGCCGACGGAGAGGGCCGCCTGGTAGGGCAGCTGGCCGTTGACGGCGTCCTCGCCTCCAGCGATCCTTCCCTGGGGTTGGGCCAAAGCTCCGGCCACGAGGATTAGTCCAATGGTAACGATGGTCAGCTTCATGGCGCTCCGTTTGTTTGACTTTTGATGGGCTCGCAGCGATGGCGTGAGCTCTTATAGGGCTCACCACTCACCACCCACCTCCCAGGGGGTGGCGAAGGTATACGGGTCTATCTTATCAGGAGATAGCCGGATAGATAGAGCCATCCGGTGACGGTGGACTCCTTCTGATTAGACAAGCCCTCGCCTTGGCCAAGGGGTTATCGGGATCGAGCCTGGTATCACGGTATCTCCGGGGATCAATTTCTGGGAACGCGATAGGGATGGGCACAGTGTCTAAAAGTATGGCTATCATATGAAGAATATGTCCGAAATCGGACCATAAAGAAGGTGATTAATTGCCATAGAGATGAACATAAAGGTACTCATATAAAAAGTATAGATAGAAATAGCTCATACTGAAATATTTAGAAATTCGAAATTCACCTTCAGATTTTTCGAAAATCAAAACTATTTATTTTTCCATTATATATACAAACAATTTCCGAATTTCGGTTTTTGCTTTTAGATTTTTATCTTAAGCCGTTTTGGTTGCAGAAGAGTTATACCGTTTATTAGTTTAGTGGAGTGCTTACAATAAAAAGGACCTATTAAATAAATTTATTAGAGGTTTAGAAAGCCATTATTTAATGTTGCATAAAAAGATTTCCATTACCATGCATTTTTTTGATATTTTGAGATAATTGAGTTGTGATATGACGATTATGTGGGCATTTCCTTGGCCATGTATCAACGAACTCTGGTCGGGTGATGGATAGATGGATGGATGGATGACGGTATAGGATAGTGGTCAGTGTCAGGGGGGAATAATCCAGGGCGAACACGTTTGAGGCATGCCACAAACGTCGACGGGGCCAACGATCGCAGATCTCGATGCGCACGTAGCAAGGCTCATCTCATCCCAACTCAACCCATTCCATTGCATCCAATTCGATTTGGCCAGCAGCACAACCAGTTGGCTCTCATTTCGAACCACATTTCGCACCGCCGCGAGAGCCTTATATTAAATGGTCTGCCCGGCCGCCAGTTTTGACCATTCGCAGACTCACCGCCGACCGACCATGATCTTGCGAACGCCACTCGCCGCCGGCCACCAGCTGCAGCTCCTCCTGCCCGCCGTCCTGCTCCTGCCCCTCCTCCTCCTCCTGCTGCTGCTGCCCAGCTCCTCCTGCGATGCCAAGACGGTGAATCCGGGGGATCAGCTGCAGATGCAGCACCATCAGATGTCCGCAGAGCCGGGACTGCCGGAGCCGAGAGCCTACATGCCGGATGCCCAGCACCTGGACTTTGTCTACCACGACCACGAGGAGCTCACGAGGTTTCTACGGTGAGTCCTGATTTTATTTAGTATCATTTTAAAATATTATAGAATTATAAAATAAGGCCCCCTCACAATCAAGAAGTTTCCTTAATAATAAATTGCTTTTTTGTGATTTAATTATACCCGTTACTCGTAGAGTAAAAGGGTATATTAGATTCGTGCAAAAGTATGTAACAGCTAGAAGGAAGCGTTTCCGACCCCATAAAGTATATATATTCTTGATCAGGGTCACTAGCCGAGTCGATCTAGCCATGTCCGTCTGTCCGTCTGTCTATCTGTCTGTCTGTCCGTCTGTCCGTCTGTCCGTCTGTCCGTCTGTATGAACGCTGAGATCTCAGAAACTACAAAAGCTAGAAGGTTGAGATTTCCCACACATATTCTTTGGCTTCCTACGCAGCGCAAGTTTATTTTAGCCGAGCGCCACGCCCCCTCTAACGCCCACAATCGCCCACTAAAGATTTTAAAATGGGTCCTGCGCCCACATCTTTAAAGATTTCCGAGAAGTATAAATGCAATTTTGTGGTTTATATTTATACCTATCGAAATGTAGAAGACATTTTTCAAATCGGACCATTCATTAAAAAGTTATACGCAATCAAAAATTATATATCTATCTCCCTCGCACTCCCTTTAGCTGAGTTACGATTATTAGTCGGGACACCAACCCGACACAGCGTTCGCACTCCCTTTAGCTGAGTGACGGGTATTAGATAGTCGGGACAACAACCCGACTATAGCGTTCTCTCTTGTTTTAATTTAAATACGAATTTTAAATTAATTTTAGAAATCCCTCTAATTTGTTACGAAAATTTGAGACAATTCCTAAAAGAAAATATTTTTAAAGAGATTATTTTATATCTGTATTTTTATTTGGATAAATTTTAAAAAAGGATTTAAACTCTGAGTTGCAATACAATTTCCAGGTTGCTTCCTACTTAAAATTTAAGTACCAGAAAATGACCCCTAAAATATTAGAAAAACTCATTATTGTTAAATAAAATATTTTGCTTTGGGAAATTCCAGGAAATATTTAGGAACATTTTAAAGATTAATTTGTATAATCCGCATATTTTTCAAAGCAGTTTCTATATCTTTGTCAATGAAATAACCATATTATGTAAAGGAAAAGTTTTAGCTTTTACAATTTATTTATTATTTTAGTATTTCTATACAAATCTTGCAATATTATTAATATTCTGTATTTTTTTTAATAAATCTTAATTTATTTTCTCCACAGGGCCACCAGTGCCCGGTATCCCAACCTGACGGCCCTCTACTCCATCGGCAAGTCCATCCAGGGGCGGGATCTCTGGGTGATGGTGGTCAGCTCGTCGCCCTACGAGCACATGGTGGGCAAGCCGGATGTGAAGTACGTGGGCAATATCCATGGCAACGAGCCCGTGGGCCGCGAGATGCTGCTCCACCTGATCCAGTACTTTGTGACCAGCTACAGCTCGGATCAGTATGTCAAGTGGCTGCTGGACAACACCAGGATCCACATCCTGCCCACGATGAATCCGGATGGCTATGCGGTTTCCAAGGAGGGCACCTGCGACGGCGGCCAGGGAAGGTTAGGATCTCCTTCTGAAATGGAAAAAATATTTATTTACTATTTATTTATTTATTATTAATTTTAAAAGGTACAATGCCCGCGGCTTCGATCTGAATCGCAACTTCCCCGACTATTTCAAGCAGAACAACAAGCGTGGCCAGCCGGAAACGGATTCGGTCAAGGATTGGATATCCAAGATCCAGTTTGTGCTGAGTGGCAGCCTCCATGGCGGCGCCTTGGTGGCCAGCTATCCCTACGACAATACGCCCAACTCCAGTAAGTAGTCTTAGTAGTATGAATTGCCTCCATGTCCTTGCAGAAAGTTTTAAATTTTAATTTATATTCCGATCATAATGGTTTGTCTGTCTGGTTAATTGGTTTCCTAAATCTTGGTTTCCAAATATCATGCTAGCTGATATGAAGAGATGGGCGGGTCACAACCGAAACTTTGTTAGGTTTCCAGATAAACCCTATCAGCAGGGTCTTACAAAGTCCAGCGATAGGTGATTATCTCTCAAGAGATCTTGAATGTCTTAAATAGCTTATATTAGGGTTGGTTAAACGATCTATCGATTTAACCTTACTATCGATGGTTTTGGAATTACAATTTAGAATTTATCAATAGTATCGCTCAGCCCAAGATTGTGGCCACTAGATAAGTGTTTATCTCTTAAGAGATCTTGAATGTCTTAAATAGCTAATATTAGGGTTGGTAAAACAACCTATCGATCTATCGATACTATCGATGGCTTTAAATTTAACTTTTAAAATTTATCGATAGTATCGATAGTCTTAACTTTCTGCAAGGACATCATCCCCCTTCGGCTCTGAGTGACTCTTAGTAGAGTTCCGATTGATAAAGCTGATTCTGTACTCTCCCACCAATATGGCTGCTTAAAGGGATCTGCCGTTCGTCCGCCCTGTGCGCGAGTGAGTCCGCGATCATAGAACCCGAACGATCCATCTAATCGTGTTTGCTTCTCTTTCCGTTCCGCTCCTGTTCCCTGTTCCTATTTCCGTTCCGCCAAACATGTCCCCTGGGCGCAGTGTTCCAGACCTATTCGGCGGCGCCGTCCCTGACGCCCGACGACGATGTGTTCAAGCACTTGTCCCTGGTCTACGCCCGCAACCACGCCAAGATGTCCAGGGGCGTGGCCTGCAAGTCGGCGACGCCGGCCTTCGAGAACGGGATCACGAACGGGGCCGCCTGGTATCCTTTGACCGGTGGGATGCAGGACTACAACTACGTGTGGTACGGCTGCATGGAGATCACCCTGGAGATATCCTGCTGCAAGTTCCCGCCCGCCTACGAGCTCAAGAAGTACTGGGAGGACAATCAGCTGGTGAGTGGGCGAAAAAAAAGGGGAGATTCTTCAGGTATTTTAAGTACATCTAATGGTAAACATAGAAAGGTCCAAATCAAGGTAGAAAATACTAATATTCTTTAAATTAAAATTTGGAATTCAGAGATATTAATGATATTGAATATAAAATGTATTTTGTAAGATTTTTATTAGAGTCCCTTAACGAAAAAATTTTAAAAATCCCCTATGACGGCGTCTAAAAGTATGCAACAATATATTCATTCCGCAAGCTGAGGTTCTTCTTTTTCGCTGCATACTTTTAAACACCTTTATAAGTAATTTCTGTAAATTTAATTTTCAATCATCTTATGTTCCCTCCACTTCATTCATCAAGTCCCTGATCAAGTTCCTGGCCGAGGCGCATCGAGGGGTCCAGGGATTCGTGTTCGATCCGGCGGGCATGCCCATTGAACGGGCCTCCATCAAGATCAAGGGCCGCGATGTGGGCTTCCAGACCACCAAGTACGGTGAGTTCTGGCGCATTCTGCTGCCGGGCTATTACAAAGTGGAGGTAAGTCTCAGAGTTATGAGTCCAAATAAATGAATAACTATTCCAAATCCATTTCAATTTAAACTCAAGGTCTTTGCCGAAGGCTTTGCCCCTCGGGAAGTGGAGTTCGTGATTGTGGAACAGCATCCCACGCTGCTCAATGTGACGCTGCAGCCCTCGAAGGTAGGTCACCATCCCATCGGTTGGGGTCACCACTTCATCTAATTTATCCCTGGTGCTGGCTTAACCCCTTTGAATCCCTTTAACCCTTTACTGCTTAGTACCTGGTGACAGCTTCTGGTTCAACAACCTCAACTGCAAAGCGTCGCGTCAATGGAAAGTTGCAGCTGTCCACCGAATAATCGAGATCCGATTTCCGGGAGTCCACTACGATCGAATGTAAATAAAATAGCTGCAGTGCTTTAGTCCTATTAACACCTCCTCACCCCTGAAACTCCACACATTCGTTTGTTCGTTAATTCCACATTAAATCTAGGTATTTCCGGTACATTCTGGTATATTCCTATTGTACTTACCTGAGAAGCTAAAAATAATAATATGTAACATACTATATGATTTAAGAAAGGCCTAATAAGTTTTCTAAAATTGTAAACATCTTGAGCACAATTTGTAAATTTTCGTTTTAGCTGGAAACTTTATATTTATTATTTTTTTTAAGATAATCTTTAATTAGTATATTTGTTCTTAACCCATAACTTTTAAGACCATTGCTGGTACAAGGTCTAATTTGTAATATAAGGCTTAAAGTGGTAAATGGAATACTAATCCAAAGAGAACCTAAGTAATCACTTGTTAATTGATTTCGCAGCGCATTGAGGGCATCGGGGGTCCCATGGGTCCCGCAGGGGTGGCCGTTGGGGGCGTGGCCGGGGGCGGTAGCGTGGGTCCCGGCGGACTGTACCGCCCGATCTCGGCGCCCCAGCACTACCGACCGCCCGTACCGCCCTACGCGGGCGCCGCCTCCAGCGATAGTGGCATTTTCTCGACCATCAGCAACGGGCTCAATAGCCTCTACTCAAACATTTTCGGCTAAGGACAGGCCGAGGATCGCCTGAGGATCTTAATTAAGGATTTTTTGTTTACTCTATAAGCATGCCTAGGATTTAAGTTGGAACCTTCGTCGTACTATTTATTGTGAGCAAGGATAGAAGGGGAAGCCCCCGAATAAAGCGTTCAACCAGTGCAATCTATTCTATAATTCAAGGATGTTATTTATTTGGGATCATTTCTGTTGCGCAGCTTTTGAACTGGTAAGTAAGTAAAAGAAGGTTATTTTCGTCTAAAATTCGAATCCACGTTTTCCATCCTCAAATAACACTGTTTTCCCAAAGCAAAAGAAAAAAACCAAATTTTTGTCAAAAACTGAAATTGCGAATTTCCAAAAAAAAACCAAACCCGTTTTTTCGCTAAAACGTTGCAGTTTTTTCGCTATAACAAAGCGAATACTGATTCAAAGTATGGATTGTCATACCTTTCTGAACTCGTTATTAAATTTCCTAACGATTGGCATTTAAATCTTGACAATTTATTCATTTTTAATTTTTCGCAAAAAATCATGGGGTACCCCCTTATAAAAAAATTAAAAATTGGCGAAAATTTTATTTTTCCAAAATTACACGGAAAGTTTGATGGATTTATAGCAAATTTTGTTATCTGTTCAAAACAGTATGAATTTTTGGTGTAGGACCATTTTTAGCCAAGTTACAGCAAAAAAACCAAAAGAAAATATTCCAATTTTTGTCAAAAACTGAAATAGCGAATTTCCAAAAAAAAACCAAACCCGTTTTTTCGCTAAAACGTTGCAGTTTTTTCGCTATAACAAAGCAAATACTGATTCAAAGTATGGATTGTCATACCTTTCTGAACTCGTTATTAAATTTCCTAACGATTGGCATTTAAATCTTGACAATTTATTCATTTTTAATTTTTCGCAAAAAATCATGGGGTACCCCCTTATAAAAAAATTAAAAATTGGCAAAATAAAAATTACAGGAAAGTATGGTTTATACAAATTTATCTGTTCAAAAAGTATGAATTTGGTAGGACCATTTTAGCAAGTACACAAAAAAACCAAAAGAAAATATTCCAATTTTTGTCAAATACTGAAATCGCGAATTTCCAAAAAAAAACCAAACCCATTTTTTCGCTAAAACGTTGCAGTTTTTTCGCTATAACAAAGCAAATACTGATTCAAAGTATGGATTGTCATACCTTTCTGAACTCGTTATTAAATTTCCTAACGATTGGCATTTAAATCTTGACAATTTAATCATTTTTAATTTTTCGCAAAAAATCATGGGGTACCCCCTTATAAAAAAATTAAAAATTGGCGAAAATTTTATTTTTCCAAAATTACACGGAAAGTTTGATGGATTTATAGCAAATTTTGTTATCTGTTCAAAACAGTATGAATTTTTGGTGTAGGACCATTTTTAGCCAAGTTACAGCAAAAAAACCAAAAGAAAATATTCCAATTTTTGTCAAATACTGAAATCGCGAATTTCCAAAAAAAACCAAACCCATTTTTTCGCTAAAACGTTGCAGTTTTTTCGCTATAACAAAGCAAATACTGATTCAAAGTATGGATTGTCATACCTTTCTGAACTCGTTATTAAATTTCCTAACGATTGGCATTTAAATCTTGACAATTTAATCATTTTTAATTTTTCGCAAAAAATCATGGGGTACCCCCTTATAAAAAAATTAAAAATTGGCGAAAATTTTATTTTTCCAAAATTACACGGAAAGTTTGATGGATTTATAGCAAATTTTGTTATCTGTTCAAAACAGTATGAATTTTTGGTGTAGGACCATTTTTAGCCAAGTTACAGCAAAAAAACCAAAAGAAAATATTCCAATTTTTGTCAAAAACTGAAATCGCGAATTTCCAAAAAAAACCAAACCCGTTTTTTCGCTAAAACGTTGCAGTTTTTTCGCTATAACAAAGCAAATACTGATTCAAAGTATGGATTGTCATACCTTTCTGAACTCGTTATTAAATTTCCTAACGATTGGCATTTAAATCTTGACAATTTAATCATTTTTAATTTTTCGCAAAAAATCATGGGGTACCCCCTTATAAAAAAATTAAAAATTGGCGAAAATTTTATTTTTCCAAAATTACACGGAAAGTTTGATGGATTTATAGCAAATTTTGTTATCTGTTCAAAACAGTATGAATTTTTGGTGTAGGACCATTTTTAGCCAAGTTACAGCAAAAAAACCAAAAGAAAATATTCCAATTTTTGTCAAAAACTGAAATCGCGAATTTCCAAAAAAAAAAACCAAACCCGTTTTTTCGCTAAAACGTTGCAGTTTTTTCGCTATAACAAAGCAAATACTGATTCAAAGTATGGATTGTCATACCTTTCTGAACTCGTTATTAAATTTCCTAACGATTGGCATTTAAATCTTGACAATTTAATCATTTTTAATTTTTCGCAAAAAATCATGGGGTACCCCCTTATAAAAAAATTAAAAATTGGCGAAAATTTTATTTTTCCAAAATTACACGGAAAGTTTGATGGATTTATAGCAAATTTTGTTATCTGTTCAAAACAGTATGAATTTTTGGTGTAGGACCATTTTTAGCCAAGTTACAGCAAAAAAACCAAAAGAAAATATTCCAATTTTTGTCAAAAACTGAAATCGCGAATTTCCAAAAAAAAAAAACCAAACCCGTTTTTTCGCTAAAACGTTGCAGTTTTTTCGCTATAACAAAGCAAATACTGATTCAAAGTATGGATTGTCATACCTTTCTGAACTCGTTATTAAATTTCCTAACGATTGGCATTTAAATCTTGACAATTTAATCATTTTTAATTTTTCGCAAAAAATCATGGGGTACCCCCTTATAAAAAAATTAAAAATTGGCGAAAATTTTATTTTTCCAAAATTACACGGAAAGTTTGATGGATTTATAGCAAATTTTGTTATCTGTTCAAAACAGTATGAATTTTTGGTGTAGGACCATTTTTAGCCAAGTTACAGCAAAAAAACCAAAAGAAAATATTCCAATTTTTGTCAAAAACTGAAATCGCGAATTTCCAAAAAAAAACCAAACCCGTTTTTTCGCTAAAACGTTGCAGTTTTTTCGCTATAACAAAGCAAATACTGATTCAAAGTATGGATTGTCATACCTTTCTGAACTCGTTATTAAATTTCCTAACGATTGGCATTTAAATCTTGACAATTTAATCATTTTTAATTTTTCGCAAAAAATCATGGGGTACCCCCTTATAAAAAAATTAAAAATTGGCGAAAATTTTATTTTTCCAAAATTACACGGAAAGTTTGATGGATTTATAGCAAATTTTGTTATCTGTTCAAAACAGTATGAATTTTTGGTGTAGGACCATTTTTAGCCAAGTTACAGCAAAAAAACCAAAAGAAAATATTCCAATTTTTGTCAAAAACTGAAATCGCGAATTTCCAAAAAAAAACCAAACCCGTTTTTTCGCTAAAACGTTGCAGTTTTTTCGCTATAACAAAGCAAATACTGATTCAAAGTATGGATTGTCATACCTTTCTGAACTCGTTATTAAATTTCCTAACGATTGGCATTTAAATCTTGACAATTTAATCATTTTTAATTTTTCGCAAAAAATCATGGGGTACCCCCTTATAAAAAAATTAAAAATTGGCGAAAATTTTATTTTTCCAAAATTACACGGAAAGTTTGATGGATTTATAGCAAATTTTGTTATCTGTTCAAAACAGTATGAATTTTTGGTGTAGGACCATTTTTAGCCAAGTTACAGCAAAAAAACCAAAAGAAAATATTCCAATTTTTGTCAAAAACTGAAATCGCGAATTTCCAAAAAAAACCAAACCCGTTTTTTCGCTAAAACGTTGCAGTTTTTTCGCTATAACAAAGCAAATACTGATTCAAAGTATGGATTGTCATACCTTTCTGAACTCGTTATTAAATTTCCTAACGATTGGCATTTAAATCTTGACAATTTAATCATTTTTAATTTTTCGCAAAAAATCATGGGGTACCCCCTTATAAAAAAATTAAAAATTGGCGAAAATTTTATTTTTCCAAAATTACACGGAAAGTTTGATGGATTTATAGCAAATTTTGTTATCTGTTCAAAACAGTATGAATTTTTGGTGTAGGACCATTTTTAGCCAAGTTACAGCAAAAAAACCAAAAGAAAATATTCCAATTTTTGTCAAAAACTGAAATCGCGAATTTCCAAAAAAAAAACCAAACCCGTTTTTTCGCTAAAACGTTGCAGTTTTTCGCTATAACAAAGCAAATACTGATTCAAAGTATGGATTGTCATACCTTTCTGAACTCGTTATTAAATTTCCTAACGATTGGCATTTAAATCTTGACAATTTAATCATTTTTAATTTTTCGCAAAAAATCATGGGGTACCCCCTTATAAAAAAATTAAAAATTGGCGAAAATTTTATTTTTCCAAAATTACACGGAAAGTTTGATGGATTTATAGCAAATTTTGTTATCTGTTCAAAACAGTATGAATTTTTGGTGTAGGACCATTTTTAGCCAAGTTACAGCAAAAAAACCAAAAGAAAATATTCCAATTTTTGTCAAAAACTGAAATCGCGAATTTCCAAAAAAAACCAAACCCGTTTTTTCGCTAAAACGTTGCAGTTTTTTCGCTATAACAAAGCAAATACTGATTCAAAGTATGGATTGTCATACCTTTCTGAACTCGTTATTAAATTTCCTAACGATTGGCATTTAAATCTTGACAATTTAATCATTTTTAATTTTTCGCAAAAAATCATGGGGTACCCCCTTATAAAAAAATTAAAAATTGGCGAAAATTTTATTTTTCCAAAATTACACGGAAAGTTTGATGGA